AGTTTAACACACTTCAAAAGCTGTTTTGCATCCCATTCATGTTTCATCAATAAGGAAACCTCCTCATGTTGCATTTTTCATATCGGGGTTGAAACTAGGGCGGATGTTAAAGGTAAATATGTGTGATGGGCGATAGCCTTTTATTGACAAAGAATAGCTGGATCTTAGCCAAACATTTTAATGCAAAATGATCAATAACTTGTGTCCAGCTACAAACTATTAATTCGTTTTTGCTGAATCAAACCGGCCAACTTCTTTTTAAATAACTTCTTAATCAGCATTGAATGTGTTACATTATTTACTGTCATAACTTCTTATTGCCGACCCGACCACTTGCTACCCAGCTAACCTGTCAACACTCAACTAACAGGTATGACTTATGAAATGTCGACAAAAATAGTTGATGATGGCTGGGATAAGCTAGATAACACTTATTGACAAACAGGTGACACCATCATTGTTGAGGTGTGTGGTTGTGTAATGATTTGGAACCGTGGTGCCGCTGCTCAGTACATGGTGCACAATGTGCAGGACTGTAACACAGTATACTTGGTGTGTTTGTCACTGCTGACCACAGCACTGTGTAATGTACTTGCATCACTGGTTGAAACTTGATCGGATTTATTGCAACTTGAGGTTATTCTCAAACAGGACTGATCATGGTAACAAACATTTCATAACTGAATCGCTAATAATTATTTAAAGGGTGTCTAGCGTTTTCAATGAGTCAAATTGTTTAAACAATTCTAGCATTTTTCAGTTTTATATTATTGTTCACTATTTGGTGGTTGGTTTTTTATCAGTATAAAAACAATCTTCAAAATTTTGCTTTGCATTTCAAGTAGATAAATAGATTTGAACATACGATTGAGAAATTGACATTTGCACTAGGTATTCAACATTCAAGACAGAAAATAGATATTTCACAATAAGGTCTTAAATAATAGTGTGTGTTTTCTGAATCTATTTTATAACTTCATTGTGGATGTAGCCTCCAGATTGCCAAATAATATTAAAAAAGTTTAAATACCTGCTATCAAGCAATCCATTTAATTGCAGTTTCAACTAGTTTCGACTCCTATGTTGAGTCATCATCAGGTGGTACAAGGACTTCTTCTTTCTTCATATGAAGAGCGTCATATTTAACACGTATATTTTTTTACTATTTTATAAGAAGAAAAGTAGGGCTGTATTATATGTGGTTTTTTATATTTTAGTTTCCAATAAAATGTTAATGTTAACAAAATACTTTAAACTATTTTTTTGGCTAACGTTCTCATAAGCTGTATCTTGCATCTTTTCTCCTTGAAAATGATAAATGAGCAAATTCTACTCTTTAGTTTGTTGTAAATAAATTTGTATGCTCTAAAATGTGTCTCATCAAAAAACTTACATCTACTAGGTCTACAAAAGAATAAGTTATATCCGTCAAATATATTACCTGAATAAATTAAAGTGATAATTTGTAGATTATCCATGGTAAAACTTATTTGATCCATTCTATATCCAAAAATAAAGTTTTTGGCACAAAGAAATTTTTGAATCTTCCATCTCCCACTATTTCTGACAAAGATGTGAACAACCATTTGTTATTCTTGCAGAGCTAAGCGATCGTTTTCATTAAGTTGCACTGTTGACTGTTGGAATCAAAAATCAAAGCAAGATGGAAAACGCAAAACTAGAGGCAGTTTACGTCTCAACCATAACAGATGCTAAAGTCCACAGTAATCGAGGACCCAAACCTCAACAGATTGCTAAACTTCAACGAAGTCCGAAGGAGTTTGTATTTCAGACTGCAGAAGAGTGCAAAAAAGCAGCTGTGATCATATCAACAGTGGTTGTTTCAAAGATTTTCTCCATGGGAAGGTCTGTCATCAAGTATTTGAAGAAAGACTACTTGAAGAAAGAGGGAGTGCCTTTCACAGGGTTGGTAGTTCATAGGAGCGCCAAGGGGATCGGTAAAAATGCGAAGAGTGGAGTTTGAGTTGTCATCACTATTGGTTTTATTGTTAAATGAAGGTCCAATTTTTGAATGAAGATTTGTGTGCAATAAGAATTCTGTGCAAATTATGTTTTAAATCTTTATTTGCATCAAGATAAGTTTCATGTTTCATCCTTGAATATGGATTTTAACATGACTTGAAGTGGCTTTAATTGAAAACAAAACTTGGTTGGTAAAATCAATTATTTCAACTTTTATTAAGAGTTAAGTGGATACTTATACACTATCTGTATGCAATACACTAAACTTGTTTTACCTTATCAATTGTGTAAAAATATTAAAACTTATTCTACATAGCTTAATTAGCATGTATAACTAATTATAAAACCTAAAAATTACAAATTATAGGTATTTCAAATAAAAATTAACAGAATGTTTTATTTTGTCCACAACCTTTATTCACCAAATACAATATCTACGTAGGATGAAAAGTATATTACATTTTCTATTTTAAGGAAGCTGATGAAAAATACTTAAAGGAATTATGTACTTTGGTAGAGTTGTGTTTTTAAAATTTCTATCAAATGAAAACAAAACAAATCATTTATAAAGAAGTATAATTAAGAATTCCAGGATTATCATAGTATCGTAGTATACTATAAGGATACTACTAGGTACTATTAAATATAGGATTATCGTAGTATGTTGATTAATTAATTTAAGGATACATACATTATTAACGTCCATGCATTTAAATATAATTGTTTGTGAAATGTCATTAATTTCAAAGCATTAAATATTTTGGATTGTTCCTCTAGTTTTGAAAGGCAATCAAACAGAGCAAGAAGTGTTGTTAATGTGTTGCATTAATTATACGTTTGGGCTGTTGCTTTCTATGCTCATGTATTATGGAAGTCATTTCAAAGTTATGGAGCGAATTATATAGCCAATTTTCAGAGCACCTGGAAAATCTTCCTTTAACATGGTGTAAATGTTGAACCGTAATAACAAAATTGTACTAAGATAAAAAAGTATACTGCCATGCAAAAACCTTTTGTCACAATGAAGCTAGAGTATTAGATTCAAGTTTTTAATTGCCTATTTACAAGGACGGCTGGATGATTATAGAGCTCGCTTCATTAGGTTGTTGGTTTCATCCTGAAAAAAGATAGTACAGATACTAAAGGATCAAAACTGGACTTTAAAGCAATGGATAAGGGATTTTTATAAATGATCCTGGCTAAAGAATCAGCTGATCTTATAGTCTGTATAATGAAACCTGACTCCAGTTTCAAGACGCACCGTCTACCTGGGACTGGACTGGGTCATAAACTATTGGTCAAGGAGTCAGGTTTCCTCATACAGTGTGTAGTCGGTATCAAACAGCACTAGATACAGATCATCCTGTGTTTGTATTCTGTCATTGCTGTCTTAATAGGGTGATTCCAACTGCAGAGGTAAATTTTAATTTCTTTGCTTGTCTTTTGAGGGTTTTGGTCAATTAGCTGGCCTGCATCCTGATACTGTGATACAATATGACGAGGGTGCCAGGCTTATGGTGTTAAATATGAACAATTCTTGAACAGTATACAATCTCATTACAAATCTACACAATTGAAAACAGGATTTGTTTGACATGTTGGGTATTAATTCTTTGGTGATCTTACAAATTTAAGTGGAGTGAATCTTCTGAATTGCTTGTGAAATAAATCAAAATTCCCTGTGGATGGTACATGTACAATGCATCATATTTTTAAAACCCCTTCTTTATCAGGGTATACGGTATTGAAGGTATGCGGTAATAATAAACATTGAGAATATTCACTTTTTCCTTCCATACCTACTGAAAAGCAGTCGTCAGACACTACTTTTGGTTATATTACAAGACTTTATTGACACATCTTAATTCCTTAGAAACAATTTCCCCATAAGGAATGGGGTAGAGGGTGAAATCATCTCTCCAGGCTATAGTGTGTCAACCATTGGACTGGGTATGATAGGTACATGAAGATAGCTTTAGGTGACCAAGGTTTAGAACTGTTTAATCACTGTTAAATACTGAATTTATTTACCTTGTGAAAACGTTTTAATTTGTTGAATAAGACTAAAATCCACTGAGTATTACAGTTAGTTCCTTTAAATTTTGAATGTGCTAGGGCAGCAATGTGAATTTGTAGTTTAAAGTTATTTATATTTGTGATGTCAAGACGTCAAGAGACAATCTTAGGAAAACTCATGCTTCCGGCTTTATCAATTTCTCCTTTGCAATTGAGTTTAGATAAAATCAAAAGAAAAATTGTGACTCAGATGGGAAAGAGTAGGACTATTGCATTAAAGGTTTTAGGTTATTAATGTAGTATAGAACTGTTACGGATACAGATTCCCTATAGAGGCTAACATTTGCTCAACTCAAACTGGAATACCCTATCCATTGGGAAAGTTTTTTTTACATGAAATTTGCTTTTCTGTTGCTTAAATCAAAGGAAAACTTTCTTAAAACAATGTTTTAAAGTATTATAATTTTGTTTAAAACCATGAAGCTTTTTTGGATTTTTTGCTTCTTAATGAAAAGTATCGTTCACTACTCGTCATGGAAGCTCCATTCTGGGGCTCAATACGGGTTTACGAGCCAAGTGCCCTGAAATGGGTTACTTTTGGGACTAGCAGTGAAATATTCTATTTTGATCCCTTATGTTTTTTCCATGAATTTTAATGGACTGAAATCAGTCTTTCAGCCCATTAAATTACTGTATAAATGAGATTTTATACTGTAATCTTTCTTTCTTAAATCTTCCTTTTCCTACCATGCAGGCATGGGGCCTATTAAGAAGATATCATCAAGAAAGGCGAGGGGTGTGTGAACCGGTACCACAAAATGAGCTGTAATAATAAATCTAGTGGCTGCACCGGGATATGAACGGACGACATCAATGCCAGTCCATCAAGCTCCTGACTTAGCCACTAACCTTAAACAATAAAATTCAGTCTTATAGGAATGAGATGGGTTTATAGTTGAATTTTTACCATTCATTTCTCTAACAATATTTAAAAATTTCAGGATCACAGGAGGATCTCTAGAAGAACCATGACAGGGACAAAGACTCCTGAGGTTGATCCTGCGTTCAGAACCATCTCCAAGAGCTCCACAGCCTTTATTATCTGGAGAGTTGAGGTAACTGTTAGAACAAACATTAACCCATTGCTGGATTATCTCCGACTTAACTTAGAAAATTGAATTAATCAATAAATGCCCTTAGTTTACCTGTGTATCTTATCCAGGTGTAGCTTTGACTATTGTTACAACTAGACATTCCATCCTCGCATGTTAAAGTTGTTGCGAGTTTTTTATCAAATCGTCGTATGTGAGATACTGACAGGGGTGGTGCTGATTTGACTTGTTTACCAAGTTGAAATGATGGAACAACTTATGTGAGCAACTGTTGAGCCCATCATGTCAGCAACAAAAAGTAAGGGAGATTACCCTCATTACCTTCCCTGTAGCAGCAAACCAAGGTGTTCATTGAAAATAATGTTCTTTAAAAACTAAAAAAATCTGACAATTTTAAGGGAATATTTTAGTGGAAATCTAATCAGGTAAATGGAAATTTGCTTAGTCTGTAGTTTTGCTGCAGCGGGGGTGTAATTAAAAAATAATGTTGTTATGTGAGCCAGTCAGAGAATGTGCTAGTGTCTAAAACTCTATTTTATACCTTAATTTTTATTGCTAATATATAGTTGATGGAACGTATCAGTTAATAGCTTACAATAAGTCGTTCCATTAGTTTGACTTGGTAAAAAGTGTGTGCTTTCAACAGTAATCAGTAATCAGTAATTTACATTATCACAATCTGTCAATGGCTCACATCAACTAGGAAAATAATAAAAAAAAAACTGGCAACAGCTTTTACATGGGTATGGGATGTCTAGTTGTATAAATAGTCAAATTTTAATGAAAAAATTGTGACTGTCTACCTCAGTATCCAATAGTCAACGATAATAGTTTAATTCTTTTGCGTTATTTAATTATTTATACAACACCTGGCTGCTTGTATTTTGCAAGTGTATAATATGTATTGAAAATTTTTGGAGGGAGTTTTCCTGTCAAATTTCACTGATTTGAAGTTTCTAAGTTAATGATGATGGTTATTAATGATTTAATGCAATCTTTACTCTTGCAGAATTTCAAACTGGTTCCAGTTCCTAAAGATCAGTATGGGTTGTTCTATGAGGGTGATTCGTACATTGTTTACGCAGCTTCTGAATATGGGAAATACATTGTGCCCGGAATGAAAGTGAGTATTAATGGAAGTTTAATACATTTAGCAGAACTATTTGTGTTTTAAGTAGCCTTTAAAGTTTGACTAAGTAATTACAAGTTCAAGTCTAAATACTTGATTTTTAGGTAAAACTACATGTTTAAAACTCCGAAACATCAAATTTATTATCACATAATCTAAAATGGTTCTTAAAGTTAAAATTTGAAACTATCCAGCTGGGTTGATAAACTTGAGTTCAGTAAATAAACTTTTCTGTTGTGGTCTAAACTTTAAATTGAAAAGTTAATGGCCTCATTCACCTGTATACTTGTCGATTCCATATGGTTTAGACAGAATAATCACAAACTAATAGCTGCGTAGAGTCTCAATCTTCCTAAAGTGGTTTAGACTTTTCTTGAATTGAATCGGTGATTTTAGGATGTCTAAGTACACGTCGACCATATTTGTTTATTTCAATCAATCATTTTGTTGCTTAACCTCTAAGCTATAAGAAAAATACCCTCAAATATATTTTATAGGAAATCACCAATCCATTGAGAAAACCTGAAATCAAAACTTTCCTCATGAAGTCAAGGATTCATGGAGGAGGATTCATTCTAACAATATTACTACATTTGTTTAACTATACGTATTTTTATCTCATATTCAGTCAATTGGCATGCGATTGACTTCAATTTGCTGCTTATGCAAAAGAAATTTTCAATTTGCAGCAAAAGGCAATTAGGGTAATAGCTGCTGTAGATAGGCACCATGATTGCACTGAATTTTTTAAAGAATACCAAATATTAACACTGTTTTCTCTATTTATTAAGCAATGCCTGTTATACTTAAGACCACAATTAGATAAGTTAGATTATAGGAGAGATATACACTGCCATAATACTCGCCATAAATGTAATATAAATCTTCCTTATGTTAGACTTGCTAAAACTGATAAAAAACCATTAATTTTAAGCAGTAAATTTTATAATAAGTTACCAATAGCCATAAGATTACTTAATGATAAGGATTTCAAGATTAAAATAAATAACTTTCTTTGTAATCAGCCATTATATTCAATAGAAGATTATATGTCAAGAACACTGACTCCACTAGATTTTAATTAATGTTATATTTTATGACTAATTTGACGTGCCAATGTATTTGTATGGAATATCAACTGGCAAATAAAAATCTCATTCTCATTCTCATTCTCATTCTCAACCAAAATAGAAATGAGGTATTGAAAGTGTCAGTAAGTGATATGTTTCTGACAGAGCACTGGGGAGGAAAGATCATCTGGAGATCCACGTTCAACCTCAAAAGTCACAGAAAATAAAAAAAATTACAGCAAACACATAATAGATGTTAGAGGATTATTAATTTCTGAGCACCACTGCAATTAAGATGACCTCTTGCACCAAACTCAAAACACACTTAAATCTCTTCACTAAGATAGCACAGTACACTTGGTGTTGTAGGTATCTAAACAGAGAATCACTACTCACTAGTCTACCAAGACAATTTGTTGGTTTTATAGAGTAGTCCTAGCTCGTCTAACTTACTGGTTAGCTAGTAAAATATGAACATGGAATCGAAAGTCTCAATAAGTGATATGTTTTCGCAGAGCACTGAGAAGAAAGGCCGTTTGGAGATGCATATCCACTTTTGGCTAGGCGCAACGACCTCGCAAGACGAGAGTGCTGTGGCGGCCTACAAGACTGTGGAGCTGGACGACCACCTCGGTGGGATCTGCACTCAGCACAGGGAAGTGCAGGGACAGGAGTCAACACGTTTCCTGGCGTACTTTAGCAGCGGCATCAGGTACGACCATATTCGTAAAAAAAATAAGTAGAGCCGTTCAGAAAATAATATTTAATCAGTTGTAGTGGAATAGATTGTCTGGGTAGCCGAGTGGTCCCCTTCAAATCTGAAGGTCGCTGGTTCGATTCCAAGCGAGATTGTTTTCAAACCCAGATGCCATTTGTCATTATGGGCTATGAATTAATGATACTATATAACAAAAAGGCCGATGTTAGAAAAAAAAGACCAGGATTTGGACCGTTTCCTTTCAAAACGTAAAAAATTCCATTGGTGTAAAAACACACAAAATAAAAAAATAAACTATGAAAATAAGAGCAAATCATTATATGCAACATAGTGTTAGGTACCTTAAAATTTTAAGCACTTATACAACAGTGTTTGTATCTATAAACAAACTTCGAAGTCCAGTCTTCATTAAATCCTACCCTTGCCTTCAGCTCTGTGACCACATCTCAGTTCTTCATCATTACAGAGAACAGCATTAGACATTCTTCAAAACAAATTTGAGGGTTGTTCACAATCTACATAGTAAAAATATTATTTTTTAAGCATGAAGACATTTTTTTGTTTTTTAGAACATTGAGAGCTGTGCAGTAATTATATAGGAAAATGGAAAAAAACATTTGGGATGTAATACTCGGCTAAAGTTCGGCCGCTTAGAAAGCGACCTCCTCCAGCATTGTTTTAGCATTAGTGCGCAGGTCATTTTCTAAGCGGCCGAACTATAGTATACTCATTATGCTGCTTACCTATTCAAAAACTAATTTGTTAGGCATTTATCAACAGTACAGTCAATTAATGATGTTAAGATTGTACAATTAAAATCACAGCTGTATTTTTGATAAATCCGCCAATCCACTGTTATACCTTCTCCTTTTAACATACACCTATTATTAAACTTTCTGCTAATCGGTCTAAAAAATTGTTAATCTAACAAAACCTATTTGTAAATTTTGGGATTAAAAATGAGAAATCATTTTTAAATTGAATTTTTGTCACAATTTTCAATCATTCAAAACCAGCTCAAGTATCTGGTTTATAAAAGTTTTTAAAAACATACAAAATTTTGTTTCTAAAAAAAACATATTCTTTGTACTTTTACCCAAGTACTTTGACGTAATAATTCTTTGAAGTAAAAATTATTTTTTAAACAAGAACTCAATTCATACGACACTTTTTCCATTCGTTCATTATGCAGGAAATGATTTGAAGGGAAACCTGATATGAAAGCCAGGATATGAATCAACTATCGACCCAAAAACAATGTCATAAACAAAGTCATGAGCTATAAATGACCATTAATGACTCATACTTGATGGATCACATCTAAGTGCTCTACTTTTAAAGACCATTGTTTGATTTTCACGACTCTAGATATCATAATGCAAGTGTGTGATTGGAACCAATGAACCATCCAAATACGGTTAGTTTCCATTCATCTTTTGGTCTAGTACGTTGTTTGGTTAATTGGTCGGCTTTTCATTTTATAAGTTTGAATGGATTAATAATTGTTTTTTAACAATTTTATATGGATCTCCAAGATATTTTAACCAAGTGAGTAGGTTTTTGATGAAAAAATTAAATTTTATTTCAGATTAGTTTAATGTAAACTTAAATTAATTTTTATTTCCGATTAGTTTTGTGCCAACTTTATGCTTGGTTATTATTATTATATTATACTAGCAAAATATTTACTTTTCTGTTTCACAAATTGAACATGATTGGCCCGTGGTTGTAGAACGTTAATTCAAGTTGAAAAATTCTATAGTTTCTGATATCTGACTTTAATTGGCTATGGTCGGATGAAAAAATTATTTTTAACATCATTGTAATCATGTTAAGCATCATTAAATTAACAAAACTTTTTTTATTTTTAACCCAATTCAATGCTTTAATTCGGACTAAAAATTTCAACCTCTTTTTCCATGTTCATTACAATTTACATACCTACAAATATTCTGCCAAAGCTACAACGACGCAGAGATAAACATAGCCAAAAAAACCCTTCATATAGAGAGTACTATTATTTAAGTTATATATTTTTAATTTGTTTCAACTGTGATAGTATTTATTGAGGCCCAAACAATGTTATACTTTACGATAAGGTGGGCATGTTTGAAAAGTTGGTAGACAATGTATTGGTAGAAAACATTTTGTAGTCCAATCAAACTGAATATTGTTTCTAACATTGTAGCAAAGTTATAGGGAGGGGAATAAAATAAAATTTTAAAACAAAACTTTCTATCAATGGCTCAATTAAACCTATTTTCATGTTAACATGTTTACTTTGCAGCAGTGCATCTATAGTCAATGCTGTAATTTTCCGCAGGACACTGAAAGGTGGTGTGCAGTCGGCTCTGAACCATGTAATATCTCAGTTTGAGCCCCGGCTGTTCCGAGTGAAGGGCCGTCGCTACCCTGTCATCAGACAAATGCCAGCCATCAAATGGGAACACATGAACAAAGGCGACGTCTTCATCATCGACACAAAAGATGTTGTGTTCATCTGGATCGGCCGGTCTGCTAACAACATGGAGAAACTTCAGGCTATCAAGGTAAGGAACGCAACAACAGCAATTTCTGGTCTGTTACTATTCAACGTCAAACTTTTTTCTAGACATTATGGATAGCACAATGACAAAATGGATAGGCTATATGGGTCGAGAATGTATACTGTTATGGCATCGAACCAGCAATCCAGATTTTAAATAGGTATTGTTGGTTGTTGTAGAGTAGATAGGACAGGTACTGTCTGAAACAGTTGATATTTGATGGCTGTGTTGCTTCAGCTTTTGCAAACCATAACCAAGCGGTGGACTCTAAAAGATGAATTTTGTTTTAGACTCTCATTTGATCTATATAATTATTCTCTTAAAGTTTTTATAATTGGTTTTTCTTGGTGCTGTATATGCCTGTGTGATCTTAACATCATCATGTAATTGGTAAAAGGTAAATTTGGATATGATTGGTTTGTTTTATTCACTTTAAAAAACTATTAATTTTCCATAAAACCAAATTGAAAAAAATTCTATTAATTATATGTCATATTTTTTTTCTAATTCTGAGTGAATATTAAATAATGGACAGTAAAGGTTGGGTATCTGAGTGTATATAGTGGTCAATTCAATGTTGAGAAAAATCAATGGATTTTTATTGATTGATACTGTAGCCCTTGATCATTTAGCTTTGAAAAAAATGTTCTTGGCTCTTCAACTATTTTATCTTTAGAAACAAAGCTATAATTTCAAACCTCCTACACAAATCTTCCTTCACTCCTCATTGTCGTCACTTACACACCCTGGTGTGGTGACATCGTACTAACCTAATTGTGAAAGTTATTAAGACTTAATACATACAATTCATCAGTTAGACTAATATCCCCTTTATTTACCAAATTACAGGTTGCAACACAGTTGAAAGACGAGCACAATGCTGTGTCCATCGTTTTTGTAGACGACGGCAAAGAGGAAAAGCTCCTAGAGTCTGAGAGAATGTTACTTGGAGTCTATTTGGACCTAAGCGCATCGGCGCGTGCGTCACTGCGGGAGGCTACAGACGATGACGGCAAAGTGGAGACTAAGGAACGGTCGGCCCTCAAGTTGTACAAGTGTTCTGATGAGGACGGAACTTACAAAGTGGTTGAGGTGAAAACTGGTCCACTACTACAGACAGACCTCAACACTAATGTGAGTAACAGGATTCTTTAAATTAATTCATTGTTGGTGATATTATAAGTTTATGTTTAAGGATTTATTGTAAGTAAGTAAATCAGAAGTTGGTTCCAAAAACCGAAGGTTTTTCACCAACTGGTATCTGGCGATTTTATGTGCGAAGGAATTAAAGGAACATACCATGAATATTACACTATTACACTAACTGGGCGTTGCAATAGCAGGAAACACTGTAAGTGCATTTCTTGATCAAACTTATAAGCAGGAAATATAATAAATACAGAAGATGTAAAATTTCACAAATCTCAGAACTCAAATAACTGTTTTTCCCACGAGTTAAATAATTAATAATTCAACTATGTATTTTCAACAGATATACAGTATGTGTATGTCAATTTTGAATAGCTGTAGTATGTACTTAATCAAATTTTTAAGGTAATAATGTATTTGCGAAATTTGTTGATAGAAATAAACTAAACATCCATCCCCATGTTAAAGCACTCAGTCGTTCATTCAATGTTCTATTAGAATTAAAAATTAGCTACTGCTGGTCCAGATGGAATGTCTACTTCGATATCCAAAAGTTAATTTTTTAACTTAATGAATCTTTTTTCCGCAGGACTCGTTCATAATCGACAATGGCGCTAACGGTATCTGGGTGTGGATCGGTCGTCACGCTTCAGCGAAGGAGCGAGTAGAAGCTATGCGCAACGCACACGGTTTCATCATGAAGAAGAACTACCCGAGCTACACACACATCAGCCGGGTCGTCGAGGGCGGAGAACCTACAGAGTTTAAGGCTCTGTTCCTCTCGTGGAAGGAGAAAGAGATCATAACCAACATTAACAATATCAATAAAATGCCAGGTACTGATGTCGCTTGACATACTTGTCAAAACAAGGCAAAGCTAGAGACCATTAACGTTTAACAAATTGTGTTCTTCACTTGCTATATCCACCATTATGCTTTTTCACTAAATCATTTAGATTCTGGAAGAGATTATTTTGTTCAATCATAGCGTGAACTTTAAAGATATAAATTAAATTATTAGTGTAAACATAACAGCATTTTACTTTTATTTTTTCACACTATCCAAAGTGGCTATAGTAAAACTTATGGATTCTAAATTTTATTTTTTGTTGGTAGCAGTGAAGGCAAAGGTAGTGACGATGCAAGATGCCACTACGCTGCACGAGTCACCACGGCTAGCAGCTGAGTCGCAGTTGGTAGACGACGGCAGTGGTACCACTACGGTGTGGCGAGTCGTCCAATCAGAGTTAGAGCTGGTGCCCAAGCCGTGTCACGGAACATTCTACGCAGGCGACTGTTACCTGGTCAAGTACTCGTATTTTGCACGAGGACAGGAACGGCATATCCTCTACTATTGGCTGGTGATGATACTTTTTAATTTGTCATTAGTTTTTGTTTATTTAGAATTTGGTTGACATAAATATAATTAAATTTTTTGGGACCGGGACACACTTTGAGGTGAATACACAATGAGCATAGAATCCAGTGAGAAAAAATAAAATGAGTCCAGTTTTAAACATCAAAAACTATAAATTATTCTCAGCAGCTCCGTTGACTTATTGACTGACTATTAGGTGAACCTTATTATACCATTTTTTTAAATAGTAATAATCTCCGCTTTTTGTTTTAGTTTAAAAATGTGTTTTTGAGTGGTTATAGTGCTTGTCTAAAAGAATATCGCTGGCTCAATTCCAAGTGATTTAACAAATGGTCCTTGCAAAGGAAAAAGCAAAACAGCTGTTCTTTACTAGTTACCTATTTACAGGGTCTCCACTCGAGTGTGACGGAGCAGACGGCCCTGGCACTACACACAGTGGCACAAGACGACGCTCTAGGCGGAGCCGCTGTACAGGTCAGAGTGGTGCAGAGCAAGGAACCGCCCCACTTCCTGGCGATCTTCCACGGCAAGATGGTGGTGATGAGTGGCGACCATCGTGACTGGTATCCCGACAATCTGCTGATACAAGTGCGGGGCAACCAGGCACACAACACCCGCGCTACACAGGTGCGTACTTTGTGACCGGAAAAAGTGTTAATAGTAAACTTGTACTTATCTTTTATATTTTAACTTTATTTAAGAAATTTTGTACGATCATCGTGTGGACAAATCTTTTAATTGTTTCCAATTTGGTTCAACAGCTGGAAAGAAAATTTACCAGTATAATTTGGGAGGCTTCGACGGTTATAGTAGATTGTCCAGTCTTTAAGAGATGACTACGTCGTGGAATTGGCAAAAACACTGGTCAAACTTCGCTCTTAACACCACTACTTGTACTGTTTAGTATCTGAGCTGTTTCATAGTTTTGTTAACTGTGGTATTTGTATTTTTTGTTGCTTCTAGGTATTTACATTTATGACTTAAACCATAAAGACTTAAGTTGTTCTGTAAAGCAAGAACTCAATATACCGACCACTTGTTGTTATAATGATATTTTTATACCATTATTTTTTAAATGTATAATCTCTATGTAGGTGGTTCTGAAAGCATCTTCACTCAACTCCAACGACGTGTTTGTTCTGAGGAATGGAAGTTCTTGTTACGTCTGGTGCGGCAAAGGTTCAACCGGGGACGAGAGGGAGATGGCTAAAAAAATCGCCGGCTCATTGACAAAAACAGAATTTTCCGTTGTGTATGAAGGTGAGAAATATTTTTAAATGAATAAATCAATTTAAAAAAATTAGATTGTTATTTTTTATGAATACACCATTTTTAGGGTGCCAAATTGATGTTTTACACACTATTATCTCTTTTTACAATTTACAGGTCAGGAAAAGACAGACTTTTGGACCGCGATTGGAGGAAAGGAGTCGTACGCAGACTCTAAAAGGTTGGCTGAAACTGAGAATACAATCCCAGCAAGACTCTTCCACTGTTCCAATGCTACTGGAGTCTTCAAAGGTTAGGATTTTTCAAATTGTCATATCTAATTTATTAATGATTGAATTCAGTAGAGTTTCAAGTCTTATAAACGTTGTGTAAAGCAAACTGTAGAGAGAAAAAATTAAGTAATTTATTAACCATTTTAATATGTTTAACCAACATCGCAATTGGAATTGGACACAATATTTCTTGTACATACTGGTACCTACTTTAACCCTTTCACTACCACGTCTCACAACACCCCTCATACAACTGAGTGTGACGGCTGGTAGGCAACGTGTTAACCCTTTCACTACCACGTCTCACAACAACCCTCATACAACTGAGTGTGACGGCTGGTAGGCAACGTGTTAACCCTTTCACTACCACGTCTCACAACAACCCTCATACAACTGAGTGTGACGGCTGGTAGGCAACGTGTTAACCCTTTCACTACCACGTCTCACAACAACCCTCATACAACTGAGTGTGACGGCTGGTAGGCAACGTGTTAACCCTTTCACTACCACGTCTCACAACACCCCTCATACAACTGAGTGTGACGGCTGGTAGGCAACGTGTTAACCCTTTCACTACCACGTCTCACAACAACCCTCATACAACTGAGTGTGACGGCTGGTAGGCAACGTGTTAACCCTTTCACTACCACGTCTCACAACAACCCTCATACAACTGAGTGTGACGGCTGGTAGGCAACGTGTTAACCCTTTCACTACCACGTCTCACAACAACCCTCATACAACTGAGTGTGACGGCTGGTAGGCAACGTGTTAACCCTTTCACTACCACGTCTCACAACAACCCTCATACAACTGAGTGTGACGGCTGGTAGGCAACGTGTTAACCCTTTCACTACCACGTCTCACAACAACCCTCATACAACTGAGTGTGACGGCTGGTAGGCAACGTGTTAACCCTTTCACTACCACGTCTCACAACAACCCTCATACAACTGAGTGTGACGGCTGGTAGGCAACGTGTTAACCCTTTCACTACCACGTCTCACAACAACCCTCATACAACTGAGTGTGACGGCTGGTAGGCAACGTGTTAACCCTTTCACTACCACGTCTCACAACAACCCTCATACAACTGAGTGTGACGGCTGGTAGGCAACGTGTTAACCCTTTCACTACCACGTCTCACAACAACCCTCATACAACTGAGTGTGACGGCTGGTAGGCAACGTGTTAACCCTTTCACTACCACGTCTCACAACAACCCTCATACAACTGAGTGTGACGGCTGGTAGGCAACGTGTTAACCCTTTCACTACCACGTCTCACAACACCCCTCATACAACTGAGTGTGACGGCTGGTAGGCAACGTGTTAACCCTTTCACTACCACGTCTCACAACAACCCTCATACAACTGAGTGTGACGGCTGGTAGGCAACGTGTTAAAGTGGACCAAAAGAAATTGTGGTAGGTAGGCCTATCTATTCAAACTGTAGACTACCAGTACTGATTATGTTCTCATTACTTAAGGCTTATTTGAAATTTAAACGTTTGCTAAATATAATGGCATCCTTAAACTCATCAAGATTAAAAACTGTACAATGTACATTTGAAGTCATAGAAAACATTTATGATTTTTTTTATCATGGAGACTGTTTTTTTTTCAAATTTACATTTACTTCTACTTATTTCACTTTTTTGTGTGTGATTTGGTTTCAATTCCTACTTCCATTTCCATACACAAATTGACTTGCAACAAAATGTAAAGATATTGCGTATTTGGTAGATTTAGTTAAACTTTGAGATTTGTCAACAAAATTTGAATCAGTATTGTCCGAAAGATCGTTCAACTAGCGAATACAACAACGGAAAGTGTTAACATTGATGTTTTCTCCATATTTCCAGTGGAAGAGATGGTCAATTTCACGCAGGTGGACCTTGTGCCGGACGACGTGATGTTACTCGACACATGGGACGCAATCTTCCTGTGGATCGGACAACACGCCAACCGGGAGGAGAAGAAACAATCCATCACCCTGGCGTTCAACTATCTGCGCACAGGTATGCTATGGTTATTTGTCGACTATAGTTCTTTGATTGGATTTGATTCAAACGACCCCAACCATGGTGCTTATTTGAAGACAAAGAGTTGTTGGCACTGCATGTGTGCCAAATTAGGCGGAATTGGCGATCCTTTTGACTCTCTTATGGATTAGATTATAATAAGCGAGGCTGAAGTACTGGGTACACATTTTAAGGCGAGAATGATTGTTGAATAAATATGACAGCTTTTTTACTAACTAAGATTAGATTGTTCATTAGACAGTAATATAATAGCCATCAACCAAGGACAGCTATATCCAGTTTTGAACAGTCAAAAAGCTTTTCTCAGGATCGAACAGAACTGGTAACCATCTGTCAGGTTAGCACTACAACCACTCCGCTACCCAGCTATTTGATTTGTTTTTATTTGGAATTAAGGCAAACAATAGTTACAAAGTGTCATAAAAAACGGTCACGTGAAAAACAGAGTGAGATGATCTTTGCAGTTTTGTTACTGACTAAGACCACATGTTTCATGGACCATATAGTTCATTGCTAACTGTTCTTATTTATTTGTATTTCGTTGTATATTAATTATTAAACAGAAAAGGTACAACAAAACAAATGATGCTGTGTTGAAACAATCGCAATGATAATCCCTGGGGTTCAAACGGTTGAGAGGTAGAGAAAAATAAAAACTTACCTTAGAAACCGTTGTTTTATAAGTTTTTCCACAATTGTTTCAGACCCAGCAGGAAGAGATCCAGACACTCCTATTCTGCAGATCAAACAAGGATTTGAACCTCCAAACTTCACTGGGTTTTTCGGCGTTTGGGATCCTGATTTGTGGAATGTAAGAGAGATTAGTGTAGTGTACAATAATGTTGTGAATGTCTACATATAGCTTGTTTTGGGAATATGCACTGGTATTGAGAGTAAGTCACAGTTTTATTTTCCCTAAAACGGCACATATTTCACCAGTTGAACCAATGCATGTCGCCATAAAAGCGCCAATTGACCAAAGAAGTCATTATTTAGGGGCGGTTCACGAGCTCGGGACTATCGTAGTCCGAGCCCAGAATCCGGAAATAACCGGTATTTGGGCCGCGACTTAAAAAATCGGGTTCACGAGCTCGAGACTATATAAGCCGCGGACCAAACTGATAGGCGGCACACAATTAGTGCAGGGATAAAACCCGGTTTTAAAAGTTGGGTTCACGAGTCCAATTACAGATAGTCCCGGCTCTGATCATTAGTCCCGGTGGGTTCACGAGTCAAGTCCGAGCCCAAATGAGATGGTTCGGGCCCAAAAGAACAATGGTGTTTGGTCTCCAACTCAGACCTGGTAGGAGGCAGGTTTAACGTGACATTATGCCGGTTTTATCTAATTAGCTCCTTTATTTTTATTATTTGTTAAAAACTAATGTTTAAATATGGTTCCTCATTAAATTCCGAACAATTTCATTACCCACAACACCATATTTAAAAAATATGTAAAAATGGTAAAAAGGATCATAAAACATGAAAAAAATCATCAAACAACTTAAAACGACAGATAAATTATGCACGTAACAAAGTAGTATCATAACAAAGATATTTTACTGATAAACCCCATGTCATTACAATTTTAACGACAAAATTATGCGTAGAATATAAATATAACTAATCAGCCACAGTTAAACCATCGTTATCCAACATAATTATCAGTTTGAAATAGTTTTTTTGCCGTGGGAAACATCAAGCAAACCGTCAGTCGTTGAGTACGGTTCGCGGTGATATCACCGTCTTGTGTTGTAGGCTACTTCCTGGTCGCCGTGTGTATTGAATATGACTATGAAATATCTATACTGTATTATGTTAACAATTATGTACCATCACTCCACTACCTCGCATAGGACCAGCTCGTTATCATGACTAAAACCCCTTTACGACTTGATGAATTTAAAGATGGATTAAAATGTGTCCAAAGATGCCGTCAATGAGACATTTGAGGCGTTCACTCCAAGGCACGGATTTCCCGACAGCAAAATCCATTACAGTATTCTAAATTGAAAAAGAAATGTCAGTTGCACTAATATTTTTGGCTGATGGCACTTTTCATCGAGAAACTGGTGATTTATTTAATGTTAGTAAAGTTTGGATGGTAGCTATTTATTTGGTAATGAAAGCAGAACAAATCAAATTTTCAGTTCGAAACTATGCCCAAAGAAAAAAAACTATGTTTTCCTACTAGTAAATATAATATAAGTAAATCCTTCCTACCTAGTAAATATAAACGCATTGTAATGAAACTGATTTTAAAAATCGCAACAACACAAAATGTAAATTAAAAACCATAGCTGTTAACATAAATAATATTACGAGCTAATTGCAGAATATTATTTTCAACATTTTACAGTTAGATTATTATAGAGTGGAAGAATAACGGAAAGAATATTCTTTGTTTACAGCCACGATTAGATCTAGCACACACATACGATTTTTATATCTAATAATCAGTACCTCTAAATACATTTTAGTTTCAATAATTGTACCATTTAAATAAGTTTAGTTAAAATTATCCTATCCAAAAATCACCATCCTTAATTATCGGGCATTTATGCAAAATAGGCATTCATCCGGTTATAAATAGGCCTACCCGGTTATTTTATATCATGCATCTTAATTGAATTATAATAATGCACACAGAAAAATATATTTCTCTAAAGACTTCCATTATCTGACACAAACGTGGATTGTTGTGTTTATAAATAAATAAACTTAGATAGATTATCATAGGCGAGCATTGGGACAATGAAATATGGGGAAAATAATCGGTTTGGACGTTTTGGTTCAGCCCTTTTTCACGATCATCCTATTGTATGGAAGTGCGTATGTCAACAGCAGTGGCTTCACATGTGTTTCCAGACTGTTGTTACTGGTTGTTACCAACGTCTCAACAGAAATTCCCTGCGAATCCCTGTCATTAGGCTCCGCTATGGATTTGGTCTCGACCTACAATGGGCCCGGCTTTCACATCATTAGGCTCTGACTCGTGAACCCATTTTTTGGTCGTCGCTTATATAGTCCGGGACCAACGTCTGGTCGCGGACTATGAAGTCCCGAGCTCGTGAACCGCCCCTTAATGTTCCACTTACCATAAAGAGAATCCTTTTTGTTTAAAGAAAGGGGAGATTGATTTTTCAACATATAAAAGGAGGCATTGAAAACTCTACTCTAGTTAATTTTTAACAATGACATTTTTATTAGAAAATTTGAATAGTAAATAGGTATAATTAATTAGAAAGGCCAACAAAATACAGTAAGTAACACAATGAGATTAAGTTTTCCAAATTGATATGAGCAAGCTAAAAGCATTGATTGAGGGTTTTAAAGCGTCCCATGACAAATGAGAATTGGGTCCTTTATCATTTCTTTAAATTGTAATGAAAAGCAGAAATCAAAAGAATTCTATAAGCAGTTGTATTTTTTTAATCTAGTAAAAATTCACAAATTTGTTTTTATGTTAATTTTACAAAATTTTGAATTTGCTTTTTTAGGTTGGAACAGATTATGGTCGTTTCCTCTCATATTATATGTCAGTCATAGTGTTTTTCATGAAGTTTTAATACATTATTTTGGCTGCAAATATATTGTGAATCATTCAAAATTATTTATGTATGTTGACACACAAAATTGTCTTTTCATTAACACTTTCATTTTCCTGTAGGAATACAAACCATTTGCCGAACAACGGAAGGAGCTTGAAAGTCAAAAGCCGGTGCTTCAAGTTGAGTTGAAGATTACAAACGGTGTACAAGATTTTGAGGAGTATGAAAAATTTCCCATTGATGTCCTAAAAGAAAAAGACCCAGAGAAACTCCCGTTGAACGTGGATGCCACAAGAAAAGAAGTAAGTAATATTAAATGATTCTGAATGAATAATAATATCTACCATTTGATTTGATTTGATTTGGGACATCTTTGACTAAATGTGAAAAAAAGTTTGTGAATAGGAAGAGAATATCTGCCAGTTTCTGGTATCGTACATTTTATTTTTTGTTAAAACAAATTGTTGTAACTACAGTATGTTATTATTGGTGTATTACAGTATAACGTTCTAATGTTGGTCAAATGATGTATTCTATAATAGTTCAATATCTTTTACAGCTCCACCTCAGCCGTGATGATTTCTCCTCTACGTTTGGGATGTCGTTTGAACATTTCAACAGTTTACCAAAATGGAGGCAGGACAATTTGAAGAAGAAAGTAGGGGTGTTTTAAACACGTGTTAGTTGTAAATATGTTTGTTATTTATTGTTTATTATTAATGTTCTATGAATTGTAAACCCTATTAAACCTGTTCATTGCAATTTATTTTTATAGTTAATGAATGTATATTGTTTTAACAACTATGTGATGATGTCGATATTTATAAATAAATCTGGATAAGTTTAATATGCAATTCTAATTCTTTTCTACAACTGTTTATTTCACTATATGTTTAAACCTTCCTTTCCAAACATCATGATTAGATTCACAACAAAGCACATACGAAGGGGAAGATGAGTCTTGAATGAGAGATAATTGATATTATTACTTAGCATGATGAACTGGTTCTTTAGCCAAAAACTTTTATTAAATTTCCAATAATTGTCAATCACTGTTCAATTTTGAAATTATCTAAAATAAGAGTTCTTAGAATTAGACCAGGAACCTGCTGACTACCAGGCGGGCACTATGTCCATGAGAAATAAAACTTATTTTAAATAAACATTGCCTAACTGGGTTTTAAAAACCAATCAAAGCCATACATACCATGCTTAAAAACTTTTCAAGCATCGTTTGACTTGTAAAACTTAATTTATTTGTTTTATGATTTCATTCAAGAGTACCTAACAAAAAATGTTAAACAATAGTAGAGAAAATTTGTTTATTGTATACCTACTTGGGGTTTGATAAACCAAGCCGAATTAGAACAGAGTTCTATCTTCCATTCTGCCTGGCGGGGTACGGCCCTTGAGGGAACCATTCCGGCATTCGCCTAAGTGAGGAAAGAAACCGTACAAACTCCCCTCGGAATGGTCGGCCTGAGAGTCTGACCTCCCGAATGTGAAATGGCATGATGCCACCTCACTCGGTCAGATTAAAACTAATACAAAGAAACTTAATACTATACATCAAAGACTTATAACTAGATACAATGATAATACCTTGCATAACTAATACTAAGTCTTTTCTTCCCTACATTTTTTGTACGTTGTTTTCTTCCGAAGCTCTGAAGGCTCACTGTCCATCTCTTAACTTCTGACAGAACACATCATCAAACAGCTTGTTTTGTTTTTCTGTTTCATTTCTGTTTAAAATATCAGATGCCACTTCCCTAGTCTATGTATTCCTCGTCTTCAAAGCTTGGTTCTTCTGGTTCCCTCAACTTCTCCTGGTATACATAGAGTAATTCCTTTCGCTGTTTACTCTTATGAATCATCTTAGCAATGCTTTTTGTTGATTCTCAATGCTTAAGTGATGCATACTTCATACCTTATGCATGGTTCTGTGCACTTTTCAATGCATGGTTCTGTAGACTCTTCATTTTCTGAAAATGCTCGGCAATATCCAATTTTTTTGTCACCTCTACAACGAGAGTCCTGATGGAGGAATGGACTTCCAACAGATACTTCCTAGTTTTAGCTTCCAGAACTGCTTTTCTTGATCAATTAATTCTTCATTCTCTCAGAAGGAAGAAAGTCTTGCTCACTCTGATTAGATGCAGTTCTTCATACTTATTTTGTCCAGGACAAAAATTGTACTGCCACTCATTCAAAAGTCAGAGATTGAATAATTCAATTGTTTCCATAGTAACATTTAAATACTTACCAACTGTTGTGATGCAGTTGTTTTTAAACCTACTCGTTTGATAATGAAAGTTGAAACCTAGTCAGTCTCAAGAAATCCTTGTGTATCCTTGTATATATATTAACATGATGATTGGTTAAAAACTCAAATAATTGGATATTAATTTGTTCATTGAATATGTTTTCCTTTTTCTAGTTGTGGACCCAGTTTTTTATTGTCTATTTTGTACATTATATGAAACAAAATGTCAATAATTTTATTCATCCTGCATGAATCTGATTCTGATTCTTCAAATTCTGATTCTGATCAACTCTCATCCACTAACATAACCAAGAGATTACATTGAAGAGGATGTCAATGGTTTACTTAGAATCTATACAAACAAAATTACTGATTTGTGTAACTGCTTTTTCTCCAGTCATTCGCCCTTTATTTTAGGTTTGCCTCTTAAATCAGCTACAACAGCTGAAGCCTCAAGTAGGACACTACAAGTGATAACCAATAACCCTGTTGCTGCAAACCTGCAGACTAAGCAAATTTCCATTTGGCTGATTTGTCTTTTACCTATTTAAATAGCATTATGTTTAACTAGTACCTAGGCTTGCTGCTACAGGGGGGAGGGTAATAAAGTGTGTTTTTTTGGTAAAATATTAACAGCTTAGTATAAAGATATTGGCCAGGTTTGGTCAATATATATCCAGAAATTCACTGGCTCCTGAACAGTAAATGAAAATTGACCAGAGAAAATAAATTATTACTATATCTATATATCTAATTCCGTAAGCCCAAAATTTTACAATGAAATTGTGAGCGAACTGGAGGCCGTAGAAAGCTGGGAGGGGTCTCATTTTAAAGGTCTGGGCATGAAGTTTTGGGGAAAAATACTCATTTTTCTTACTTAAGCACCAAAAGGTTATTACAGGATAAAATAAATCACATTTAAATAGCATGGGAATCCAGGTCATGTCCGATTTGTTTACTTTAAAACATGTGGTTTAGATTTATTTAAAGCATATGGTAATATCATTGACTATTGGCTACAAAAGTTGTATTAATAGTGTTAAAGGTAGTATATGTAATATATGTATTGTATGTAACTATAGGGCATTTGAAAGTAAACATGCGTGCAAATGAAAATGAAACAGCATTTTGTGATTGGCTTCTACGCTTATATTAGGTAATGGAATCTTAGAGAGCAATAGGGCAACACCGACAATTGACATTCCAGATAACTTTGTTCTCTCTGATTGTGCAATTGTTTATGGCAACTCAATAAATCCAGAAAATATTCAAAACTACTCCAATCAAATAATTGTATGTCCTTTAAATGAACATTGTGATAATTTAAATGAAGAAGTATTAAAAATCTACTACAGTAATTATGAAGTAGTTCCAGAAGACCCTACAGAGAGGTTGAACATACCAATTGAGTTTATAAATTCAATTACACCATCTGGAATGCCACTACACAAATTAGTTTTAAAAGTTGGTTCAATAGTGATGCTCATACGAAATAGGGTCTGGATTAGTTAATGGAGTACGATTGGTTGTGTTGGGTATGTCTGAAAAAAGTGTAAAGTTAGTAGTAATTACTGGAGTAGGGAAAGGGAACATATATTTTTCATGCCAAAAATAAAACTAATATCTACAGATCCTAATATGCCCTTTAAATTTACAAAGGATTCTATTCCCATTGCGATTATCTTTCACCATTACTATAAATAAAGCGCAAGGCCAAACCTTCCCAAAAGTTGGAATTTATTTGGAAAAAAAACAGTGTTTACCCATGGTCAACTTTATGTTGCTTTTAGCTGGGTAAAGCGGCCAGATGACGTTAAAATAGGATTTCTAAGTGAATTTGTCTATATTAAAAAAAAATGTATATATATTTAATTAATAGTGAAGATTATTGAAAATGTTCTTTTGCTGTATTATGATTAGAAAATTTATGTTACAAACCCACCACATGAAGAGTCCTTTTGAATTTTGATCCTAAACAGAGCAGACATAAAAATGAATTATGCAGGTATGTGATAACTGTTATACATTATTATAATATACACAAAATTTAAACGATAATTCAAGGTAGTAGGGTACGGTAACCCATGAGACAAATAATTAGTACAAAATAATTATTAGAATATATTACATATACTATATAGGGGCTATTGCCCCTACAAGCCACTAGTACAAAGTAATTCTGAAGCCAATTTGGACTTATGGAATCCAACTGTGGGGAACATCAAGTAGGCCTATTTCAAACATAAATACTAACCAAAGATTTCAATCATAAGTTTTAAGATTCATCCTGTAAGCCCCTTGGTATGTCAATTATAAAATTCTTCACAAGGACAGTGGAATTCCAATGGTTGAAGAAGAAATAATAACATTTACCTAGTGTGAAATGCATAAAAAAAAACTTTAAAATTGTCCTTATGACCTGGCTCTAAACCTCTTGGTCAATAGTACCGTACGTTACATACAGGCTAAATGGAATGGGCACACGGAAGGGACTAAGGCTAAAAGTGTAGTGACGTCATATCTCTAGTGGCTAATGTATTCTCTTGAGGCAACACGATTACCGTAACGAAACAATGTGATTTCAGCGGCGTTCGTGGCATAGTTGGTAGCGTTACAGATTGATGTTCAGGAGGTCCCGGGTTCGAATCCCGCTGGCAGCATTAACTTTTTGTCAACAAATTTTTTATAGGCCTATCAGCAAGTTTGGTTGGTTAGGTTAGGTTATGACAGTTTAATTTTATAATACTAAATTTTAAAATTAATTTTATAACTAATTAGATTTTTATATTATATAGTTTTTATATTATCAGCAAGTCTGGTTGGTTAGGTTATGTTATGACAGTTTAATTTTAAAAATAAAAAATTAATTTTATAATTTTAAAACAATATTTTATAATTTAAAAGTTAATTTTATAACTAAAAATTAAAAAAAATAATTCTAAATAATTTTCAAATTAGCAGTTCTAGCGGCGAACGCTGACACTACAGGTTATGTTAGCCTTAGTCCCTCCCGTGTGCCCCACCGCAGACTAAATAGAAGCATAGATAAATCATACTATTCATACTGCTTAGTCTATGATAGAAGTCATGTTTTAGACCTCAGCTCATGCTTAATGTTTAGATAATTTAATTTTGTATTGTTATTTTAGCGAATTTCCCTATAGGGAAGTAGCTATTACCGTAGGTCTCATGGTAAGACCTAAGCCCGGGACCGATTTACTTTTTCATTTTGATGTCCCCAGAGGCCAAAAACACCATTCGTTCAAATTTTTATATATCTATATATATATATATATATATATATATATATATATATATATATATATATATATGTGTCCATCCGCACGATAACTTGAGTAATTTTTGTCCGATTTTGATAAAACTTGGTTTAAAGGTGTAAGGCGGGATAAACTTGAATGAGTTCGCGAACCAGCATGATTGGACTATGGGAACGGGGGTTTATGGGGGGTTTTATAGGGTAAAAATAGGTTTTTCCCATTTTTGGCCCTAAAAACACAAAATTTCACAATTTCTTTTCAAACCATTTTGTAGAGCTTAAAAAAACAAATAATTTAGTATATTGAAGCATTATTATGCGCCTAATTGTTACGGAGAAAATTCAAAAAAATTGTAATTTTAAAATTCCCATGTTATTCTTATGGAAAATAAGTAAACTGTTGTAGTTTGCTTGTTTATGAACATATTTTGATCAAATTTGGAATATACATTAATTTCTTACTAAACCACAGTACCTTTTAATATTTTACATTAAAAAAAACTTTTTTACCCTCCCTGTTGCAGCAAACCTAAGTACTCATTAAACTAATTCTGTTTAAATAGGGAATAAATGTGATATTTTTAAGGAGACATTTTAGTTTAAATCCAATCAGGCAGATGGAAATTCGCTAAGTCTGCAGGTTTGCTGCAGCGGGGGTATTTTCCTTCAAATATTTTCAAGTTGGGTCTGTCAATGAAAGATTAACTAACTTTTTATTAATAATTGTTCTCATATTTGCTGAATGTTCAAAAAGCTGAACAGATTGTAAATAAAATTGTGATAAAAAAAATATCCAGAAAAAAGCAAATGCTAACAAGTGTGTAGGCCTAAACATTGGCATTGCTCAGATGTTCCATATGAATTAGTACAACAGCTGGCTCGGAAGGCCGGGACTGAGACCTGCCAATTTTCCTTTGCCGCTGCCTTGTATTAGAGGATGCTATGGCTATAGGCTACCCTTGATTGTGTTGTGCCAGCGACCAAACCATTCATACCAAGTCCTTCTAGAAATTATGAGATTAGGTCTAAGTTATCATTTGTGCTACCTAGTTTCAAATAGCTGATATTAAGCAAAATTATAGAAAGATAAAAAATATCCTGCATATTGTGGTAGCAAACTTCAACGAGAGGCAAAAGTACACACATTCGTAAACCCAGTTATAAGTGAACTTCTGGGTTATGGCCTTAAAAAGATTTGGTTTGAACTAAATTACCTAGTTGTAAGGTGACTTTGAAATTAATACACAAAATTACTTGCAATTATAACTTATATTTAAGATAGATATGATTTGACAATAACAATGTTAAAAAACAATCGGTACTTTAAAAGTAAACTTTTTTAAAATAGAAAATATAATATGAACCAACATGAACAAGAAAAATAATAATTTTATTCACAATAAGTTATAAATTATTGACATGAGAAAATTATAAAGTAGCCTAAACAAATTAGGCCAATTGTTAGATAAAACTGATATCTGATATCATCTACTAGCAATACATAGACAAAACTTCCTTTTAAAGTAAAAATATTTTTAGAAACATGCAATACATATGTATATATATATATATAAGAACACAATAAAGTATTTAGAATAATAATTCTGTAATCATAATCAATGATCATAACATAATATTTACACATAATACTTTGTAAAAAAAAATAGAAAGATAAAATTTTTAAGATAACAAATTATGATTTTAATAGATCAGGTATGCCTTTGTATTTGTTTCACAAATCGACAATGGATAGTTATACCGTGTTTCTGCTTTTAAATCTATACAGCTTTATTAATCATTACAAAAATCAATAGGATAGCCTATTGTCAGTCTATTATTTTCTTACATACCATTCACTTCTTGCACTCACCTACGCAGTCACACAAACTCAACAGATTCAGGGTTGGTGGGAGCTTGGCCATACAGAAGTTTTAACTCTTCTTGTATTCGATTCTCTCCACCTTCACCTCGTCACCCACCAATTGATAAACATACGTTACCACAGTTGTACTCTGGATATCCATCAAGACAAAGGAAGGAATGATTGATGTATCTAGAGGATTGTAGGCCCCAGTGGCTGATCCAGGGTTGATGTAGAACTTGTTGTCATGTTCGTATGCTTCAAACTTATGAGTGTGACCCGATATAAGGATATCTACATCTAGCTGTCTTTGAACCAGCGCTAAAGACTCAGGATCTCCCCAAGGGACCACCTGATGGCCATGGCATAGGCCAATTCTGAATTGGCCTACTGTAACCACTTTCTGTTCTGGGTAGTTCATGTTCTCATCAAAATCACCTCGAACAACATGGACATCACTAGCTAAGGTTTTAAGATAGTCAAAGGACTCCTTGGTGCACAAATTTCCAGTGCACAAGATATGTTGAATGCGTCCTGGCACAAGTAACTTTTTAAACTTACTTGGAAGACTGCTGCATCTATGGGGAATATGCAAATCTCCTAACACTAACACCAACATACTTGCACTACTAAATCAGCTTTAGTTAATCGTTTACTTGACAAACTACAAACCTTAGTAAGTTAATATGAAAGTTACTAAAACAACTTATCTGGCTTCAGTAAAACAACATGATTTGAATGAATTTACAATTTCAGAAAGCGAAGTGGCGATATTTGCCGACTAAAATGACAACTACCTTTCTGCAACCACCTCAATTTATGACATTACAGTACGACGACGACGACAACGTAAAACACCTGTCAGAGACGCAGAGAGTAAGGAATCTATTTACAACAGAAGCCAGTGAGTGGTAGGATCGAGTTTATATTTATTTGTTAAATCTATTTTGAGCCGTTCACAAACAATTAAATAATTGATCATTTTTAATTGTTGGTAATGACAAATTCGAATTATAGCTCAGTGACAAATTCTGGGGCCCTATTTTTGAAATGGTTGACTGTTGAGTTGAGTGTCGAGTCATTCTATTTCCAATCGTTTCGTATTTTTGAAACGGTTGACGGTGGACTTATACAACCAAAACTACTCAACACCTATCGAGCTGTTGAGTGGAGGTTGACTGCACTTTATTCTTCCTCTCTTTCGGCAAAAATTACTCTTTTTGAGACGACGCCATATTGTTTTGTTATTGCTTTAATTTACTAATTGCGATTTAGAGGTTATGTATTTGTTGTCAATGTATTAGCACCCAATTATGCGATTGTTTTCTGTAGAATAATCGCATTTTAATTTTATTTACTGTGTCAATACTAGACTATTTAATCAAGGGTTTTATTCTTGTTGGAATGTTTTAAATAGACTAGGCATACTAATTGAACTTATTATAAGATAATTATTGTTATTAGACCTATGATTTAAGGTTTTAAGATTGTGGTAGAGAGAAACAATATCATAGTTTGTTTCAATACCATTCACCTAATAAAGGGATCAAATTAATTTAAGTTACGATATGCTTTCAGTGCAATGGCAAATAGCCGCTTTAACCTAAATAAAAAACAATTAAAAATAACATAAAACAAACCGATGAAGGAAACTAAAATAAGGTGATGTGTTCCGAAATAGAGACGAAGAAAGCAAATAATAATGTACCTATTTAGGATGAGTGTAGGACCTAAAGTAAAGTGCAGCCTATGCCTAAACTTATAATTAGCTACACCCTAAAACAAACATCCATAGTAAATTTTATTTTTTATACTTAAGTTTATTACTTTATTTAGTTTACTTTAGTTAATTACTTAAGTTAAGGTACTTTGCAATCACTAAGATTAAGCAAGACATAACCTCAATCTCAATTTCTCAAGAACGGAGTTGACAGTTTACCTCAGTGTCTCGAAATATGGCAGATTGAGATTGAGATTAGCTGCCAGATTTTAGAGTAAGAAGAGGTTAAATCGAAGTCCGCAAGAACTCTGCATTGTGATTGGTTCAAAATGACGTCATCTGAATTTTTGACGGTCGTATGCTCCACATTTCCACCACGAGTCTCTCAACTAGTGATTCCCAACTCGCTTCCCAACTGTTGGGTTTCAAAAATACCAAATCATGTTGTTGGTTGAGTTGAGTGCTGACGATTGACTCAACTGTCAACCATTTCAAAAATAGGGCCCCTGATCTGATATAGGTAAATCATCTCCTTAGAGGGTTTCTCCCTGTTTAGATCCACGACTAAAGGTCGGCCATGGGTTTTATAGTGGGAACTGAAAAAAACTTTAGGAAAAGACAATTGTTTTTTCCGATCATGAAAATTCACCATTAATAAGGTAAATTAATTAGGTGGGTGATTATTCATGATGATACGTAACACGGCCTCTGATTTAATTCGGTTAGGACCGTTTATTTGAGAACGTCTGTCAATTCAGTACGGCAAGTGCCCCATTCTGAACTATGGGCAGCTCGTCCCAGACGACGAGGCCGCCCACCTTTAACTCCAGGCCGCGGTGTTCGAGGTGGCAACACTGTCAGTAGTCCTGTTACAGCTGTTTTTTTGTTGGCAGCTAATGTGTATTTGTGTGTTTTTTTTTATTATTCGAAAGCTTAGTCACTTTTTATGAAAACATTGACTCCATTTTAAATGTACGGAAATAAATTTTCAATTTATATTGTTTTGGTTTAAAATACTGTATATTTTATTTTCAATCCTTTAATAAATTTATATTCATAAATTTTAATTAATAATACGTGGTTAAATGAGCAGTTGTCGTTGTTACTTGTTTGCCATGTTAGCTTATGGGACGTCTGGAATGGTCTGACTCTTTTTAACAGGACTACATGCGACGTTGCCAATTCTATCAGGCCGCGTCCTGAAGTTAAAGGTGGCCTGGCCGTGTCGAGGCTCGCTTGACGAAGAATTTGCGTTCCCTTCGTGTCAGTGAGTGCTGTTCACGCAACTGACATAAAGACTTTGCCATCTTTCCGTAAAATATTGTAATCAATCGTTTTTTATAATTTTAAGTAACAACATACTCTATGGCTTGTTTCTCTAGCAGTTAGCCAGTATTGACAAGTCAAAATGACAGGCGAGACGTAAACGTCAGAGTCAGAGTCACTGAGTCAGACAGACAGAGTGACAGAGACAGAAACACAGGACGAAAACGCGAATTTGGTCTTTGGTTGTGAACACAAAGCCTTTAGTTTTCGAGTTTTGGGGACTGATTGTTATTGTAAGGAAGAGAGTTGTGACAAAATATTTAATTAATTTTTAAAAGCAACAACGAATACATTGCTTCGAAAATGGAATTTGATTTCAATGTTAAAAAATTTGTGCGCGAGGCAGGAACGGCCCTTAGCAGGGTTGTACAGGTAGGTTTTGAGATAAATTTATGTTATTCTCATTAAAGCATTGATTTATTTTGCATCGGGCTGGATACCCAATAAAAACCCCAGTTCAAACTGTAATATTCTTGGCATAGTTTTCGTATCCTTGTTAACTTACTGACCAATACTTTGTTAAGTCTTTGTCCTAACCCAGATCTGAGTTAACTTAAGGGGTTTTCTAAATGCATAAATTATTAAGTTGCATCTCCTGATATGCAAATTCCCTCTAATTGCATATTTTAAAGTACCTTATTATTCAATTCAACTTGTAGGCTTATTATGTATTACCTATTGGGATTGGGACTAGAAGGCCGAAGTTACCTGAACGAGCCACTGGTTCACTCTAAACACGTTCAGTGCGGCATACCTTCAAACAGGCGCTTGCGAATGGCGGCGAGGCCCGGGCGAAGCCCCGCCGCGCTACTGAATCGGTGAACGCAATTGGCATTCAAATATTTCAGTCTGATTAATAAAAAAAGAGCAGCGGTGATTGTGCTGCGTTAGCCCGAGAGTGGACGTAGTTCACTGAATCGCCCAAAGGTAGCAGCACTGCCTGGATCCGTAGCCAGTGTCTTTGTAAAGTGGCTCGAAAAGAGAAAATTGCCGGAACCGGGACAAAAGCATTGCCAGACGGGATTTTACGGGAAATTTTAGTACCAACCTACACCAGACTAAAGCTTATATTCTAAGCTACAGGCTGGCAATGATTATGATGTTTCCCGGCAATGGCTGAGCTCACATTGAAGCAAGGTTGTTGGCATTGGAGAAGGACGACATTTCCCGCCCCACGTCAGTGGTGCTGGTACCGCGGGGCGTGAATTCCCGCCCCTAGCACTGAACGTGTTAAAGAACAGCGTAGGCCTATCAGAGTTTGGGGTGCAACAGTAATTGTTAGAGCCATAAGCGTACATTCTATGACAAAACTAGACTTGCTATCAAAATAGAACCGACATTACTTTTAACTTGAGTTTGGTTTTAAGCACTCTGTTTTGTAGTACCGCTAAGTTAACTAAATTCATAGAAGACAAATAATCGTTCTTTTTTCCCTAATCCTCTTTGCTACCAACGGTCTTGTAATTTAGTTGAGGTTTAGCCTATCTAACTTATCTTGTAGGCCTTGAAACTAATTGGAACAATGCAAATTTCAGCTTACAGAAGAAAAACTAGGTACGTCGGAAAAAACAGAACTCGATGCCCATTTTGAAAATCTTGCAGAAAGATCTGACATCACAAAGCAGTACACTGAGAAACTACTTCGAGATACTGAGGCAGTTCTCACTCCAAACCCAGGTATACTGACCAAACCTATAACTACCGGTAACTGATGAATAGCAGTAGGCTAGACCTAAATGGACCTTCAACTATTGAACCACAGAGGATTGATTTTTCAAACTCTTTAATTGCTTTCATAGTTCATTAAATTAGACCTAGGTACTATTTGTTGTGATTTTTCTATTTTCTGTCCTTGGACTACTAACTTACAGCTTACCACAATTGCACATTATTGAGGAGGATGTATAAAATTGTGAAGGGTCACTAAAGAGTAAAGCCGCATTTACATGAAGCCAGTTGGCAGGCATTTGGTCTCCTTCGGGTTTCTTGAAACACCAGAGGCAGGTAAACTGCCTGTCTATTGGCCTCGTGTAAACGTGGCTTAAATGACTTTTTTTGGTCCTAGGACGCTAGGCACGAGCCCAGGATTGTTTTTCACATTACTTCAGGCTAGACATAGGGGTTGCGGCATTATCACTTAGATAAAATTCATTGGTGATTTGGCGGAATTTGAACCCGAGACCTCAGGAACCTAAGTCCCGCGCTCTACATCAGCCACTACACCAGCTCGCTCCCCGGCTTAAATGACATTAAGAGTTCGGTTTGTAAAAACACTAGCGTACTGGGTAATCACTGTCTGTCGTCGGACATCTGCAAATATTGGATCTAATGTGCTAAAATAAATGTGATATGATTAGGCTGAAAATTTAGCCTATGTAATACATTTTGAACGTTTAATACAGTACCCTAATTTTGCAAGCAAAGTTTAATAATCTTAATATTTAATAGGGTAATAATTGAGATATGGCCTTGGATTATGAATTAGGAATATTAACTTTTTTGTGCTTACAGATTGTGTTTTTTCAGGTTACAGAGTGGAGGATTTTCTTTTTGAAAAGATTGATAAGAAACGTCCCAATCGGCTGAGTAACCTAGAATACTTAGGGCAAGACATGATAGAAGCTGGCAATGAATTTGGCCCCGGAACAGCTTATGGTAAGATATCATTGTATGACTATTCTAGGTAGAGTTTGCTTTGTCTGTCGTAAAAGAAAACTTCTTTATCGTATTTGTGTAAACTAGAAACCATCAGGATTGTGTGTAGATTACTCAACAGAGTGGTGAGTTTTGATAGGTACCGGTACTCTCAAAGAGGGACCTCACATTTAGAAAGTTGCCTCACAAACCATCCATTCCGTTCTACACATTGACATTCAGCTTGAAATACGCACACCACTGTCTTGTTAATTATATTTTGTTGATTGCAGGAAGCTCATTGATCAGAGTCGGTCAGACGGAGCAGCGGCTTGGTCATGTAGAGAGAGACTTTATCTCATCGTCTCACCATTGCTTTCTGCTGCCCCTCCGCAAGTTTCTGGACGGCGAAATGAAAACTATTATCAAGGAGCGGAGCATCCTGGAGAGCAAAAGGTACGAGAAAAATGTCTGAAAGTTATTTGGTCGTAATGACATCTCAAAGATTGTGATTATTAATTATAGTGTTTTGTGGGTCACAAAAGTCGCTAAAATCACAAAAACCAATAAATCTTTTAAAGCTAGTTTTATTTTGTCTTTTTACCAACATTTTGCATCAGAGGTAAAAAAACATTATCTGCTAAAAAGAAAAATTTTGTTGTAGGTAATTAGTGTATTTTAAAGATATGCTTAACAATTAACTAGTTATATTGCTCATTGTTTATAACATTTTAACCGGGTTGTACTCAGGTTATCAATAATCAGGTGGTAACATGAATTTTCCTCCTTAGACTGGATTTGGACGCTTGCAAGAATCGGGTCCGAAAGGCGAGAAGTATGCTTGGCCAACCAACTGTGAGTATCCAAAACAAATTGTATCACAATTTCATCTTCTAATAATTATTTCCAATTTTGAACAAGTTTATTTGTTAGGATTTTTGTCGGAATGATAAGATTCCATCCTTACACAAGTAGCCTAAAACAAAAAACTTAAACGTTTTTTTTCTGTCGTTAGCAATTGGCTAAAAATACTGATTTTGCCATCGTAATGTACTTAAACTGTGATTAAATTAAGAAAAATTGCATTGATAGACAATGTTAAGTACTGTATAGTGTAAACATGATTAGTTTTTGTATACTAGACACAAAATTGAGACATGGATAGCAGTTACTGTCCTTAGCTGCTTCATTACAACTGTTGTGTGTTGTACTTTACTGTTACATAGGCCTACATATATTTTCCAGTTATTTCCAAATCTGGGACCAAACCAAGCCTCTCCATCTTGTATTCCTCTGCACCATCTGCCATCTTCCTCTTCTCCTATACAAAACCCTCTTTACTTTACTACCCAAATTCTTCTTGGTCTTCCTCTCATTCTCTTTGCCTCCATCGACTCAATTTTTCTATAAATTGAATCCTCTATTCGATCTGTCCATCCTCATTTTGCTTTTATAACCTCCTTCATGGACTTAATATTGCTTCTCGTTATCAATCATTAAATTACTCCCATGGCTCTTACCCATCACGATAATTTATCACGTTTATATCATATATATCATTTAGCTTTTTAACAGATTTTTGTGATAGTAGGCTACTTACATAATACATGTACAGTACAGATTACCGTCCCCTGAGTACAGTCATGATCCTATGTGTTTGTAGTCTCTTGTTATAATAACTTGTTTCTTTGCTTATTTGCATTTTATGTTTATGCTACTAAAAGGAAGGGCCAAGTCCAGAATATCTTCTTGAGGTGGTAAGTTTATATGGATTTTAGCTTGAAACATAATGATAATGTTAGGTTAGAAAGAGAAAACTAGTTGTATGATTTGACAGAGTGCCCATTGCCCAATATGTTATTGATGTTTATTTTAAGTTTTTACGTACATTTTATTGATTTTTCTTTAATAGTTGATCGTCATGTTTGTAAAATACATTGGATAAGTCTCTGCAACTGCAGAATATGTTCTCGAATTTGTGGTAACTGCAAAATATGTTCTCGATCTCACCATGACCTCAGAAGATGTTCACAATTTCGTAGTAACCTCAGAAGATTCTCATTGCCATGACCACTCCGAGCTTTAATATTCATCATCGCTGAAAAGTCTGCAAAGGCCAAAAATATCACACACACAAACTAACCAATTGACGACGTACTGACGACAGTTGTTGTGTGACAGGCAGAGAGAGACTTGCGAGTGGCTCAGTCAGAGTTTGACAGACAGGCAGAGATCACCAAGTTGCTGCTAGAGGGAGTGAGCAGCTCTCACACCAGACACCTCCGTTGTCTACATGAGTTTGTGGAGGCTCAAGCCACGTATTACGCTCAGTGTCACCAAGTCATGGCAGATCTGCAGAAGGAAATTGCCAGGTAAGATAACAGTCCCAATTATAAATTGGAAATTTGTCTTATTTTTAACTTACTAAAATTAAAAATATCTCTAAAAATAATTCTAACAAAGGGCTGAGGATGTCTAATAGTTTCAGGTCAGGTCAGGCCAACATTGTCAGGCCGGAAACAATCTTTGGGTCAAACCCGACGCAATTTGATGTTTAACGTCTGAGGAGGTTCGCGATTTTGCCACTATCATGAAAGATGTTCTCAATTATTGTATGATAATGGAAGATGTTCATAATTTTGCCCTGATCACAAAAGAGATTTATGATTTTGCTGTGACCGCAAAGAAAACATGATTTTGCTTTAACCGTTCTCGATTTTGCTATGACTGTGGAAGATGTTTTTGATTTTGCTGTGACGGTGTACAATGTTTACGATGTCACCGTGACTGAAGATATTCACAATTTTGCGGAGGCCGTGGAAGATGTGCACATAATTACATCGCTATTGCGGAAGATAAAGTGCAATTTTGCATAAACCAATCGTAGTATTGCAATTATTTTCCAAACAATACTTTCCATAGCAACTTTTTTGTTTGAGACACGAAGACTAAAAATAAAAATGTTTGATTCGACCGGACCTGACTTTTAGGTTAAAATGTCTGGCCTGCAGACCCCTAATTCTATTATTAATTTATTTAATTCTTCTAATCTGTTGTATAAAGGGTTAACTCAGTTTTTAAAGAGGGTTTGAACACAGTTTGTAAAGATGTCTATCACTATCGAGAGCTAAAATATATTCTTTTGATGAAGATATCAAGTTATCTGTCACAACTCTTGACTCCTCCTTTCAGTGGTCATTCAAAACATCAGTGTCAAGTTTGGAGTCCTTTTATTGCATTACTAGAATTATCATATCTCTCAACTAAAATTTACTCAAGTAAGATCGCTGCTCTTTATCCTGTTTTCATACAATAAAAATGTTCTAATCTTATAAACCAAACTTTAATAAAAACTATTAACTTATAACTATGGTCAGCATTGTTTGTTATTAAATGAACAGAAAGTAAATAAAAAAAATACATCAAAAAACACTTGGGAGTCAACAGTGGAATGTAAATATATTTCACGTGTTAAGTTATCAGAAGTGTTTTTAAATTTACTTTTTTATCAATTGTGTTCTAAGCAGCAGACTTTTGAAAATGATCCACAATTGTGTCTGGGTTTTTCTCAAATTACTAAAAGTTCTTAAACGTCATCAAGATCAAGTTTTAACACAAGTTTTCTTATTATTATTTAAAGCTGTTATAATTAGTATCAAAGCTCTCTAGTTTCAAAACTTTAGTGTGTTTGTGTTGACGACATGGTTGTAATGTAGTGAGCGGAAGCCGAGTCCCATTGTCCGGATTAACAGTGAGGAGACGGACTTTGGTGCGGCTTACATTCCTGTCTCGCTCCAAACTGATGCGTACGCCTCTGTCTTTACCCTCCATTTAGCATGCGCTTGTATAGCTCCGCTTTTTAGAGTAGGAATCTATCCGGTAGTGCCATCTTGAAAGCTTGAATGAATGAAGGAAAATGTGCTTTATTTTCATAATTTGAAATAGGCCCACAAATATCTAGCACAGGGAACATGCCCATGCGCTACAGCAATGACCTCTACGTTGTCTACCAGCTTGGCACGACTAAAACTAAATCTAACATAACATTATTTTAACAACAGATTAATACACAAAATGAAATTTAACATCTTTCCTTGGGATAAACAATTTATAAACATGATTTAAAAGTTGAGAAATAAAAAAAAACAGTTTGTCTATTTACACAGCTATGTCAATTAGTTTTGTATAGCGTTAAGATGGTAAAAATCCATAATTGAAATTTTTTTTAAGAGGGTTTGTTTTTATTAAAAAAAATATTGCAGCTTTAAGCGATAAACTTTTGACTTTATTTAATTGGAAACATTTATTCAAATTTTAATTTTGGAAAACTTTCATTGGCGACTCACATTCAACTAACTTTTAGATTAAACAAATCAATTTGGTGTTACGTTCATATTAAATTAAAAATAAACGCAGAATCGTCTTTCAACATGAATGAGTGTAAAACATAGTAGAACAATTAACCTTCTATAGCTTCGCTTTATAGTGTAGGAAATCATATGGTAGTGCAGCCATGGAAGCTTTGATTGCAGCAGTTTTAGTGGATTCTCAATATAATTTTAATTTTACAAGGTTGGGAATAGAAAGTTTTGACGTTGGAAATCTGACAAGTGGTCAACTGACCAGTAATCTTTGTAGACTAAACAAATCTTAAAAAACCTTTATATAGAAGAAAAACTGAACATCACATTTCCAGGATCATCTTTTAACTTAAGTAAATAATTTACACCCTAAAATAATAATCTTTCCATTCAAAAGCTTTTTAAAAATCATATATGCTTGTTTTATTGGATGTAAAGTCACAAACTTAAAGGTTCTGAAATTAATCCTATAAGATTATAGTTAACTATTTTTTTCCCTTAAAAATTTCTTATAACGTTTCATATGTGGCCAATATTATTGAATTACTGAGCTACCATTAAATGCCAAAGTTGCAAACCCGGTTTTCATTCTCTTATAAGCTAAAATAAAGATTTTGCAACATTTATGAAAATCAGCAGTCTCACAGATGAGGGGGTCATAGTCTCAAGTCAAACCCTCGTGGCAATGAGCATTTATAATTTAAAATAATTTAAAGAATCTTGCATATCTATGCAAATGTATTACATTAAGTTTTTTAAGCTTAAAGAAACAGTAACATAGAACACCAATGCTTTTGAAATGGTTTTGTAGTTTGCATTTGGTATGCAAAAGAACACATAGGCCTACTTAGAATAATAAAACACTGTACAATTATTTGTTCTATTATATTAGTTTATCCATCATATAAATAGTATTTAGCCTAGTACTTTTGTTTGAAACTGTTAATTAATTAGTTTCGAATAAAAAATTGCACTTATGTTAATTTATATATTGGTCATCAAATAATTAGTTCATAACCATCCACTTTTTCTTGTATGTTTTTTTAAAACTACATCTTTTAAAACTGAACAAGAGCTAAAAAGTCAGGGGTCTCAGCCCAGGTCTGTTTAAAGTAGAAATGTAGTGGTGTCCAGTCCACCCACCAGCGCTTTCTACATCCAACCACTTTATACTGCATTCAGAGAGTGTTTGGAGTGACGCGCCTCCCCCAGTCTAATGGGACTGTGGGTTGTAGCCTATAGGAAAACATAAAGTGTGACAGAATTAGTCATCGCAAAGTCTAGTTCACACGAGTCGCTTGCCAACAGTCTAAACATAGACAGTTCTTAGAGTTTTGATCGCAATGACAAAATGGTGAAAGAGGTTGAGGGGCTTTTAACTAACATTCCAATGTCAAATTAGTTACCTAAGAGTTTGAATGGATTCAAGTGTTGATACCAATTCCAAGGCTTCGCCACTGTGAGTTCACTGTGAACCGGCCTGACCCTAACTTCACTCCCCCAGCAGCTGACGCTTCACTCCAAACACTCACCGAATGCAGTCTAGTCTTAGTCTAAGCCACTGTGTCAAGGTAAGGGTGAAACGTCTAGCAGCAACCTTCAACTGACAACGCGTTGATGGCAAAAATTGTTTTATATTTTTATAAAATTGGTTGCAAAATTCTCCCAATTGTGATTCACACATTGGTTTTATCTGTTAAATCTAATTTTAGTTATAAAACAGCAAAGAATCGATTCATCTTAATAAAAACACCAGGATTAGATATAAAACTATCCAAACTGAAAAGTAACGTATCTAATTTTATTGCACGTGTTTCAGCATGTCTGGAGGCAAGGTAAATAGCAGCCCTGCCCAGTCTAGGGCAACCCCCGCCAACTCTGCCCCCACCAACGGGGGACTGAGGGCACGGGTGTTGTGTGACTACGATGCTAAAGACAGCTCGGAACTTAGCCTCATGACAGACGAGGTTAGTTAATGCATCCTGATATCCTGTTTTTACGAGAGGTTAGTCAACGCATACTTTATCTTAGAGAGGCAATGGAAATTTACTCCTTAGAATAACCAATGCATTATATCCTTTGACGAGAGATTAGTTAATTCAATACAGTTTTAGGTTTAACCTCAGTGAGCTCCCATTTTCCGTGTGTGAAGGTTATTTCAGTTTTTTTATCCAGATATCACAATTATCATGATACGTAGTTGTAATTTTATGCTATTTAACACTCATTATGATGTAAGACAGTAAGGCTCAGACTGTTTGATCTTGGTCCTCAGGAGACAACCAAATTGTTGAACTAGCAATCGATCCCGATGCGTTGCAGCATTTAATCTTTAAGGCAAGATTTAACTAAGCTGGACTTTTGCTCGCTCTGAGTTGTAGCCACAACAGTTGGTTAAAGATGGTTTGCTATGTATCCAAACATTGCACATTATCCTCATTAGTTCAACAACACAATCATCTTCAGTAGATTAAAATTCAACAGACTATTTAAACTTTTTACGACTTTTTGTAAGGATAGCAAACTTACTGGAATGGGAAAAAGTACAAACTGGCACAAGTGTACAAAACATTTGAATATTCACTAAGGATAGATACTTTTCTTTGGGTCCAATATGGTGGCAAAATACCTGTAAACCTGAAGAAAACTCTCTCTTCCTTAGTTGAAAATTTTGTCAGCAACAGTAAAATATTATTATGTTTTTTGTATGTAGTGTAAATTTGTGTGCCTCTTGTGCCAGTTTGGACTTTTCCCCATTCCAGTAAGCCTGCTATCCTCGCAAAAATCCTAAAAACCCAGGCCCTTGTGCTCTATGTTAAATTCTTAGACTATATTAATTGTATAAGCATTAGCTCAAGAAAGGCTCAGATTTTTTATTGATCAATATGCCAAGATAAATTAGCATTACATTATTTAGTCACAAGGAGTAAATCTAATCTGCTTATTCGGATGTGTAGTGTTGTAAGTTGTTTAATTTTAAGGTTATAACCGTACACAAGATTGATGGAGAGACAGACTACATGATGGCTGAACGAGGCAACCAGAAAGGGCGAGTGCCGACTGCATTTCTCGATTTGATCAACTGATCCATCCCCAAATACCAGAGCATCGACTTGAGGTAAAGATCAGTGAAACTTGGTTTTAAAACACTTTGGAAATAAGATGGTTTTCTGTAAATTAAGCAGTGGTGTGCCCGGGATTATTTTTCACATGAAACTTCAGGCTATACCTAGGGTTTGCGGCATTATCTCAGATAAAATCCATTGTTGATTTGGCAGGATTTGAAACCGGGACTTCAGGGACCGAAGTCCCACACTCAACCAATAGAGACCAGCTCGCTCCCCCAAATCTACTAACTCATGTACAAGTTACAACTTACAAAAGTTGCTTTGTTTAACGAAATTAATAGTTAGTTATTGAGGTTGGTTTTACCAATTAATATTTGTGTGTTATTTTCAGTGGGCCGTGAATACTGCGAAAGCGAAGAAGGCAACAATGCTTGGTTAACCTTAAGCATTTTGTATCTATTAGTTAAGATTTATTTTTACGTTCAGATAATTATTTATATTTTAGTATTTTATTTGTTATTTATAATTGTCTTCCTTGATGTGTAATAGTATCTGTGTTCAAAACCCGTTTTAATCTTTTAAACAATACTGTTGTGTTATTACTTATTAATTTAGTTAAAACTACTTTTATACAGATTTTTTATGTGTTTTACAAGTGTGTTCCTTTATGTTAATCATTATAATCGTGGGAAAATATTAGTTGGAATTAATTCACATTAGTTTAGATATTGTTGATTGCTATTAAACTACTTCTAGAAACTGTAATTAGGCTGATGAGCAAGTTAGTAGAAACACTGTTTTTAAAAAATCCCAATAATAAGCCTAAATATCTTATCTAGTTTTCCCTGCCTAAATGTATCTGTAAACATTTAGTCAACAAACAAACTGGAATGTAAGGATTACCAGCTTCATTTCTTGAAGTTTTAGCTCATTTCTCCAACACATTGTTGGATTCTAGCTCATCAGTCGAATCTTATTACAGACTTAAACTATTGGGCTACTAAATGGCCTTTCGCAGCACGAATCTTATATATTATAGAATGCCACTTTGTTGAATAACCTAGAGTTAATAATAATACCTAGGATTCTTCCTAAAGTTTTGTCGGCCTTAAAAGTGTAGACTAGGCCTAATTTATTTATTTGTGTTTTTATAGACATAATTACAACTTCACCTGGTTGAAAGTTTAGAGAATAGTACGTACAGCGTGGGTTTTTTGGATTCTCACCTGGATCAACATTGTGTGTTTTACCTAGTTGGGGCAGCGAAGCAATTGATCTTATAGAAAGATCAAATTTAACAGCTATCCAAGGGTAATACAATAATACAGTAGAGTTGTGATCTTAGTTTAAATGCACCTCATCATCGTTAAATATAAATAATTAAACCAGTATTCATTTTACAATTTAAAATGGGTAACCTGCCTTTAATCACTGTTAAAAATTAAAGTTAAATAGATTATTACCACCTAAACTGACTGTTAAATTCAAATGATCTTCACACTCTTCCCTCCCTAATGTTCAGCTTAACGAATGCATCCAAGTGAGGTTTCTTCATAAAAAAATATCATAAATAATGAGTTTTTATAGAGTTTGAAATATGTTTTAGTAATCATGTGGTATTTTTGAATTATTTCTTGATCAGCATTGTCCGTATTATTAAATGAATGGAAAGTAAATAAAAAATATGTCTAATAACAATAACACTTGGATTCGCCCCTACGAGGGTAGTCCTGTAATCCAACTACTCAGAGGTCACAGATTGTGGATATTTATAGGCATGATCTGTGGATGCCATACTCCATGGTGTGGATTAACGTTCACACTAGTGAGTACTACGACTATCCGTAGTACTAACCTGATAATTAGACCAATTCGTAAATTACAAGGCAAAATGTGGTTCAGATTCTACTATAAACTGTTGGTCCCTTAGCTGCCATTGGCTATATGGGCTATTAATCAACATTCCTGTTTAAGGAACATATCAGCCTTAGTAACAAGACTACAAGATCGTGCCACTCATCTCCATTCGTACTTGGCTTAAAATACCTACCTTGGTATGGTCGCCATTTCAGATAAAAGTATTGGGTCTGATGATGATTGGAGTGTTCAATCTAAATTGATCACCTCTCACCATCTTTCATTTATATTTACCATCTTATGATTTAAAAGTATAGGTGTAGATATAATACGTTTCATGTGTTATTATACATATTTTTTATTTACTTTCTGAGGTATTTTCGCGAAACCAATGTCACTTTATGAACAAAGCAGAAATACATTCCAAGAAGAAAGAGTTTCAACTATGTTGACAATATGTTAACTTTAGCGTTAAAATAAAAAAAAAATAGTGATAGATACCTATAAATTTAAACGTTGTCATTATTGACGTTACATTGTTAAAACAGTTGTTAAACTTTGCCTTAGTTGTCAATGTAAATAGATGTATATAGTTGTTATGAAATTCTGTAGTCAATTAGAAATAATTAGTGTCAATTTTAAAAATTCTAAAGGTAAAACTTCTGCCATTTTGTTTCAACCAGTTTTTTTTACAATGTGTAACCTAACACGTTTTTTTATTTTTAATATCTAGTTTAATTTATCTAGCCTTATCAAGTTTAATGTTTTACTTTTGCTTTTCCAGAAACTAAATGAGAACGTAATAAAAAATGAAAGGGGATGTGATTATTACAAATATTAACTCTTTTGAAAATCAATTAAATTTATATTGGTTCTTTTTTCTTGCATTAGGAAAGCTCTTGCAACACTTCAAGGTATCCATGTGAAATACTCAAGCTTGTTTTCTTAGCTTTGAAAACTTTGCCTCATAAGCTTTACCGCATGTAAGCAATAATAATTATGAATTAGCTGGTGTATAATATTTCTCTGTATTATATAACTGTGTTACGAGTGTTAAATCACAATAAATAAAAGTAATATTTTATGGTGTGAAATTATTTCTTATACTTTTTTATCTTGGTTGTCAACCTAGTATAAGGATGAATAAACCATTGAATGACCATTTTGCATAAAAAAAATTATATTAGGTTTACTGTTTTGCCTAAAACATCACAAACGGCCTTATAAGTAATTCTGGTGCCTGATTGAAATGTGCTCATTCACTTGTTCGATGTTTTCTTAGCAGTTCATCTGTGAGCTGCTCATTGTGGTGTCTCGCACATGTTTGTTGGTTGGTTGTAATTTGTCATGGTTTTAATTATTGATTGAAACTGCAATATATTAAATGTAAATTTATGGTAAACATGCTCAGGTACAATTATGTACTCTATTTCAAGAACAAATTCCTAACCTACGATTATTTGAAAGGACGGTCATTTACTCAGATTACAAATTTTGCCTGGGTATAGCCAGTGAATGAACCATTTCAGCCATTAACTGGATTTCGATGTTCAGGTACATGTAAGTATGTTTGCCTTGAATAAACTAGTATCATCAAAGCTGTTTTCTGTCAACACAAAACTAAAAATATACAAAACTGTGATTCGTCCAATTCTGCTTTATGGTTCTGAAACATGGACTCTGGACAAAAGTACTGAAAAAAAAACTCGTCACCTTTGAAAATAAAGTACTAAGAAAGGTTTTTGGACCAACAAGAGAAAATGGTGAATGGAGGATCAAACATAACAGAGAAATTAGAGACCTTTTTATAAAGCACCAGATGCTGTGGCGGAAGCAAAAAGTCGACGAATAAGATGGCTCGGGCATGTGTTAAGGAGAGAAGATGATGCATTGATAGAAAGTTTGGAAAGAGAACCCTGTTGGAAGAAGACCTCCTGGGCGTCCCAAAATGAGGTGGAAAGATGAAGTGTCCAAAGTTATGAGGAAGATGCTGAAGATCGGAAGAAATGGAGGCATTTAGTTGGCGAGGCCGAATACCACCTTGGGTATCGATGGCCATGGGAGTAAGAGTAAGTAAGTAAGGTACAACTATGTACTCATTTCAAGAACAAATTCCTAACCTACAATTATTTGAAAGGACGGTCATTTACTCAGATTACAAATTTGGCCTGGGTATAGCCAGTGAATGACCATTTCGGCCATTAACTGGATTTCGATGTTCAGGTACAATTCTGTACTCATTTCAAGAACAAATTCCTAACCTACGATTATTCAAACGGGCAGTAATTTACGGATCACAAATCTGGGTATAGCCAGTGAATTACCATTTCAGTCATTACCTAGATTTGGATCTATTTTCTTCATCGATGTTGATGACGATGTTTTCCGATGGATTAAGTGATTGCTAGGAAACACAAAATCTCATCAGAAATCACGTGGGTACACTAATATAACCAACATTTGATAGCATGTTAAATGTTACAGTAATATACTAGATGAAAAGTGGTCAGTCACTAGAACCTACATTTTAACCACCCTGATATCGTTATTTTTACTATGAACAGGGTGTCCAGCTTCAATGGAGAATCTTGAACCTATTTGGTGAATAGGTAAAACATCCAGTCACTAAACTTAATACCTTTTATTGGAATTTGTTCTCCCTTTTAAATCGGCTTGGAAGCCAAATCGGTTGGAAGTGTTCTCCAAATAAATAGTTTGTTATTAATATTCTTTTAATTTTTTAGAGGAAAGAGCGATTGGCTTAGGAACTTGATTAGGAAGAATGAAGTTCAAAGCAGTTGAAGGTCATTCAAAGTCTACAACAAAATTAATTTTTATGTTTTAATCTTCCTAAAATATGTGTGATGTGAAAAACTCTTCCTCAGGAAAAAAATACTAGATTAGTGAACTAACTGGTGCTGTTTGAATTATGCAAACACAATACGTTAATAAAAAAATAGTAATCCTATACTCTAATACGAGCAATGTTTGCTTGTATGTATGTATGTATGTATGCTTGCTTGCACAAAGATCTCGAAAACGGTTCCGACGATTTTCTTCAAATGTTGTAAATAGTTTAATTCTGATTCTGGCCTAAAAACGAGTTTACTGCAGTTAGAACTGCCAACAAAAATCTAATTACGTAGAAAAATGAAACTGAAAATCACATTTCTTAACATTAGTCTTATGGGTTGCTAGGTAACCTTGTTGGCTGAATTAAATAACAAGGAAAAAGTAAACAAAAGACTTGAAGTTGTAGCATGTGTTCATAATAAGCCAACTACCCACAGTATACTAGCAAATTACAAATACAGTACAAAAGGAAAAACATCATTTAGCAAAGATTATCTACTGAAGATTACTCGATACATTGTAGTCAAGGGTAGCAGTGAGAAGTCTGGGATCTGTTTATGACGATTAGATAAGGGTATGGGCAATCCTAAAATGCTATGGGAAGGGAGGGAAACAGGTCCGTGACGTAGGAAGTGGTGAAGGAAGTAGTCAAGGCGAGCTGTCCGGAATGTGGGAACTGTTTATGACGATTAGATAAGGATATGGGCAATCCTAAAATGCTATGGGAAGGGAGGGAAACAGGTCCGTGACGTTGGAAGTGGTGAAGGAAGTAGTCAAGGCGAGTAGTCCGGAGCGTGGGAACTGTTTATGATGATTAGATTGGATTAAGGTATTTGCAATCCAAAAATGCTATGGAAAGGGAGGGAAACAGGTCCGTGACGAAGGAAGGTGTTAAGGAAGTAGTCAAGGCGAGCTGTCCGGAGTGTGGGAACTGTTTATGACGATTAGATTAAGGCATCTATAATCCTAAAATGCTATGGGAAGGGAGGAAAACAGGTCCGCGACGTAGGAAGTGGCGAAGGAAGTAGTCAAGGCGAGCTGTCCGTAGTGTGGGAACTGTTTATGACGATTAGATTAAGGTATCTGCAATTCTGAAATGCTGTAGGAAGGGAGGGAAACAGGTCAATGACGTAGGAAATGGTGTAGGACGTAGTAAAGACGAGCTGTCCGGAGTGTGGGAACTGTTAATAACGATTAGATTAAGGTATCTACAATCCTAAAGTGCTATGGAAATGGAGGGAAACAGGTCCATGACGTAGGAAATGGTGTAGGACGTAGTAAAGGCGAGCCGTGTGGAGTTTGGGAATGGATCTATGTGTCTCCAATACAGTACTAAGACTGCTTTCAGAGTGGACTAATGATTTTCCCCGAGCAAAGCTTGGTCCCCAGGTACTTTATATTATCTCCAAAAGAAGATAAGGCCAGATAAAGTATGCTTTGGAAGGGCTGTTGCTAGCCCAAGGCATGGACATTGGACAGGTTCAATTTTAGGCATATCCCATTAACATCGATGTATTTGGACTGATTTTGGAATTCTTACGAAATGCCGTTGGTGTAGACACTTGCACACCCTTCATCAAAAATATTCTTGTTAAGGCCCAAGCACATGTAAAACACCCCCATCGCAGAAAACCTGCAGACTAAGCAAATTTCAATTTGTCTATTAACTATAGTACTTCCATAAACAAGTAATATTTATTCCCATTTACAAAACATAAGATTTAACGAATTCCCAGGTTACCTGCTAAGTTATTAAAGTGTTTTTAATAAAATGATAATAGTATAGGATAAAATCAATTAGATCAAAATATATCCATAAACAAGCAAAACTACAACGCTTTCCTTCTCTCTCTCTCCATAACTTTAATTCAACAAAGCTCAATATACAATATTGTTTGTATTTTAAGCCCTACACAATGGCTGTAATAGAAATTTGGCATTTCCATGATTTAGGGGTTTAAAAGACTTTGAAAAACTCCACAACACCCTATTCTCATGGTCTTGCTGGTTCAAAAACGCATTCAAGTTTACCCAGCTCTACATATTTATGCCAGATTTCATTAAAATCTGACCAAAATGACTGGAGGGAAATTAAAAAGCAAATAAAACATCTTGGAATTGTAAAATACATTTATTGATGGAAAAAATGCATTGTACAATTTGTAAAAAAAACTTAACAAAAGTTTACTTCTTCTTGGAGACACCGACGGTCCTACCTCTGCGTCCGGTGGTCTTAGTGTGCTGACCTCTCACTCTCAGGCTATAGAACAAATAAACATCAGCAAACAATGATGACCATATGAGAACATTAGGGTATTAGACCTACAAGCTTTTTTAACCATATTTTCAAGATTACTTATCTAATCATTTGACTTGATAAACACACACTTGATCTTAAAACCAACCTTAATAAAAAAAATACTGATAGTAAGTTTTTGGCTGTAAAATAGTGAAAGTTGTCTGGTTTGAAAAACAAGGAAAAACAACATTTAATCGACCATTCACACTTACAGGAATTGGCAAAGAATATTTATTATGGATTTGTAAGTGAGGTGGGCTGACAAATAAGTCAAAATTTGTGAAGGTATATTGCCAATATGCAACTACCCTGATCTCATTTAAGTTGCTAGTGCACCCGCTACCAACTTTTTGCACACAGCTACAAAATGCCGTTTATATGTGCTGTAAAGGTCAACACTGCTTCAACATTTCTTAAAAAATATATATACTGATATAAAAGGCTTGTGAACAAAAAAAAACTGCTATCCGAATGTGTTAGTTCCAATTGATTTGGATAATCAAAGTTCTGCTGTAGGTCACTACCGGTACTCATTTACACTAACATAGCATGACAAGGATAGGATATTGTAAGTAAATAAATGTTGTCAATAAAATTAGAACCAAAATGTTTTAGAAGTTGAAAGGTTTATGCAAATAACATGCATCCACGATATCAACTTTCAATTTACTGTTGCACCCGCTACCAACTTTTTACACATAGCTGCAAAATGCCGTTTATAGGTGCTTAAAAGGTCAACACTAATAATTAAAATTTTTTTAAATATATATAGATTAATAGGCTTGTAAAACAGTAAAAAATTGAACTTATAGGGACTAGAAAGACTAGACACAATTCAACAACTGAAAATATGCCGAATGTGTTAGGTCCCAAATGATTTGGATAGGCCTAATTGACCCATTTAAACTAACAAAACTCGACAAGTATATATTGTAAATTTGAAAATGTAGTGAAAAAACTTATGAATCAAAATGTTTTAGAAGTTGAAAGATTTATACAAATAACATTCATCAACATTATCAACTTCTAATTTACTATTGCACCAGCTACCAACTTTCTGCACATCAGTACAGAATGCCGTTTATAAGTGCTCTTAAGTAAACAATGTTTGTAAAATATAAAAAAAATATCTAATTCTGATGTGAGGTAACTATTGGCCCACAACAACCACCATAATTCATCAAAAATCATCACCTATCATTTAAATGACAGGACTAAAATTAAATCTCACTTGCATGTTTAGTAGGCTTTTCTGATTGGTGTCATACACTAGAATATTTCTCAAATGTAACATGATTATACAAATTCCCTAACTAAGAGTAGAGGAATCCAAACACCATGTCAAGTTTTCTGTTGCACAATGAAAAATCAATGGTCTTAGTGAGAGCATCAATATCAGAACACTGTGCCTCTATAAATAACACAAACAGCAACTTCAATCACATTAGCGACTATATTAAAACTTTAAATCATCTGACCATAGACTACCACAAGAAGACTTTTCATCCTACGTAAAATCTGAAGCTTGTTTTTGACCGGACTCATGTTGGTGACAATTATCATTTATTAATATTTTGTTTTTCTTTTAAATTTTAGGGTTGGGCAGCTATTTTCATAATTTAGGCTATGCTTTATTGTTTGGTTATAAAAAACCAGAGGATGGTTATTCTTTATAATTATATGTTTTATTTGGTTAAACTATTTAGGAAATTGGTCACTGAAAAATAATCAATTGTAAGTAGGCCTAAACAAAAAACACGCCTCTCGAATCAGACAGAACATGAAAATTTCCACCAGCTGATCCGTAAGGATGATAAATCTATAGTTAGAGCTAACATGCTTATTGGTAAATTTCCATCTATTTTAGTCCCTAAGGTGCTGTGAAACTGTTCCACCACAACATCTTTAAAAATCCATAAGCGAGTGTGTTTAGTTAAGTGTATAAACCTACCCCCAGTAGTGACGCATTCCTCTGTGTGCCCTGATCTTCTTGAGCCTCTCAAGGTCATCACGGAGTTTACTGTCGAGGGAACTTGATGTGAGCTGAGAGTATTTACCATCCTGGATGTCCTTTTGTCTGTTCAGGAACCAGTCCGGGATCTTGTATTGCCTCGGGTGTGACATGATTGTAATGATCTTCTCCACCTTAACAACAACACAACTAGTATCAAACAATTTCAATTAGCAACATTATCATTACTTAAATCTGGAAGTTCATCATGCTTCTTGCTATTGGGTTAGGTTTCTAGAAGCTTTTCAGGGGTGTAAAAAGCCCAAGTGGTTGACACTTAAGTTCAGACTGTGAGTACCCCAAATGATGATTACAGTACACACTTAGGGAATCGATTAGGAAGAGCTGCGTTTGCAAAATTTATTACCTTCAACACATAATTAGGTGCAACTCAAAATTATTATCTTTAAAGAGATATCTATGCACATAGGAGTTTCCACTTTGACATTCAAGTAAAATATTTATATTTAAATAAATACGGTATTACAAGTTGTATTGTGTTTTAAACAACACTTATTCCTGAGCATAAGAAATTAAGTTGGTAAAGAACAGTTTATAACAAAAATTAATTTCCAGAAGTAAAAAGTAGGCCTATTTAATTAGACAACCCGATTGGAATGAAGAAAACGTTCTTTATCAACTAGCATCATAGCAATAGGCCTAATATGTCTTGTTACAGTTTGAAAAAATAAAAGTCAAGGCCTGTAGGTTGATCCGTTACAAAAGATACGGATTCATTTTTTTCTTATATTTCGCCTAGCTTTGACAGCTCAAGTATGTCCAAAAACAATGATGATGTAACTAACTTAAACCAACATTAAGAAATTCTTCTAAAACATACAATGTACATTTTTGAATGTAATGTTTGTGACTTAAGCCTATATTTATATGGGCTGGGTATGATCGCCATTTAATTGAAAAGTAAAAGTAAAGTTATCAATATATTGACACTGATATCGTAATCACAAAAAAATATAACCGATAAAAAGAAAAAATATCATCACTTAATGGTAAACATTAGATTTTAGCGTCACTCATGCACTTACAAAAGGCCATTATTTGCACTGTCACGTGCAGACATGAATGAGGAGTTGAAAAATTTAAAGATATGAAGTCTGCAGAAATTATCAGAAACTTCATAGTCATTGTCCTGTTTGGCCATACAAAACACAGTAACCTAAAAAAAGTTAATTTTAACTACCTCTTCTTCGGAACATTCTCCTGCCCTCTTGTCTAGATCGATATCTGCCTTCTTCAAAACAATGTTGGCGTACCTCCTACCAACTCCCTTGATGGCAGTCATGGCAAACATCACCTTGCGTTTGCCATCAATGTTTGTCCCCATGATACGGAGAATGTGTTGAAACTTTTCTGGTATCACCAACGACTGAAACAATAAAGCAAGATATAAATTAGGCCTAAGTACATATTTTTAACAAAGTAGTAAGTTAAGTTGTAAAATCTACATACTTTGCAATAGCCTCACAATGTTAGCCAACAAATAAGTAACAAAAACAAATAAGATTGGATATGAATGATTAACATTGGAACATACTTTCTAACATATGATAAAATCTTACTTGATTTGAGTAAGTTTGGCCATGATACCTACTAAAAGTTTCGGCGAGATGCTAAGTATCATCGAACACTTCATTCAAGGAAATAAGTTACATTAAATCTTCTTGATAACCTTCATTGATTGTTTTCTTTTAAATACAGAAACACATACCTACTTTTATGACATCGAAATGCAGTTTTTGTAAAACTATAGGCATAAATTATCACGGAATTACAAGACTGTCGTGTATAAACGTCAAGTGTATTCTCTCAGTCTGGTCTTGCTCTTGTACCGGCAATGTTGTTTCCGAGTAGGCCTATGGCCTATCTAAGTTACAGTCTAACCTTGATATAACGAACCTCGATACAACGAATTCCTTGATATAACGAATTTTTTTAAATCCCCTAGAACTCTCCATAAGACACAATGCATATTTTACCTCTACATAACGAACAAACCATAACAACGACCTTGATTTAACGAATTTTTCGTGATTTCGGCTAAAATAACACACCTCAATATAGCGAATTTATCATTGTCAGAACCTCTACATTGCGAATTTAACCTCTGCATAACGAATTGTCTACGTCCTTCCCTCGATATAACAAATCCCCCACCCCTTTATTGTTTTTGAAAAATCTGTTTCTTTATCAAATGGAATGGAAAGGTGACGTCATCGCTTGCGCTAACATTTATCTGCTCCGTTTTATGTGGTTTTACACATCTCTGTCTGCTTTCGCTGCGCGCGCTATGTTGCAACTGAGAACTGATTTCATTCACTGAGGACTGATGACGACGTAATGTTTAGTAAGCTGTGATTGGGCGATAAGTAACTATGGTGAATTGTACAGTTTTTGGATGAAGAGAAACCTAAGAAAGAATATAAAAACAAAACCAAAGAGAAAGAATAGCAACATCGTTATTTTAACATTCCTTTTTCGAGTGTTTTTATTATCTTTAAGTTGGCTATGATTATACACTTTTATAATGTCTTATCTAATAATTTACTGTATTGTTTTCAATACGATTTGTTTCAACTAGCAACACCAATGCTATAGTTAATGATTATTATTGACATTCCTCTGTTGTGATAAATCAGTACTGTACTGTAAGTAGCCTACCGGCCTATCACGAGCAGTACCTAGATTACAAAACTTTCTACTACTGTTTTGTTTTGTTCTTTACATGCTTTATGACTACGCAATACAGTGTTTGGCTAGGTTTTAGGAGGGTTAGAACAAGCTGTGATTTTAAACTTAAGAGTTTTTTTAACCTGTACCAAGGTCAATGCCATTGTCATGATTGCGCAATATTCAAGATCCCTCCCCTTTATTATGCCGGATAATTTAGGTTCTACTGTACAATGTACTGTACTGTAAAGTATTGTAGCCTATGCTACTTTAATTGTGTTTTAATGACGTCTAATCCCGACCTATATTGACCGACGCTGGTTCTGAACCTCGACTTAGCGAAATTCCTGCAAACCTAACCTCTATATAATGAACCTCATTTTAACGAAACCCTTGATATAACAAATATTCAGTTCGGTCCCTTCAGATTCGTTATACTGAGGTTGGACTGTATTTACAAAAATTATTTATTTCTATGTTAGCTATGAGGCTTAAGTTACATACTCCCAGGATGTGTTTAACGATGGCATCTCGCCTTAACATGTAACAATTTGTTGCTTTTGGAACTGTGCATGACAGGTAGGTAATTTCAAAAAACCCATATACAGTAGAACCTCGATAACAAGACCCACGATAACAAGTCACCCTTGATAACAAGGGCCATTTTCAAATCCCCTTGAAATTATTTTACCCCCAATCACATGTTATTGCAAACCTTGATAAGAAGTCAACCTTGATAACAAGTCTTATTTTATGATCCCTATGAGAGTCTTGTCATCAAGACTCCCCGATCTGAGGATTGTGGTGAAGAAAGAAGAGGTAAAAGGTAAAAGGTAAGGTAAAAGGTCAAGGTTCTACGTAACTTATTGCAGTTTCGGGGCTATCACAATGAATTAACTAAAGTTACAGTAAATCTTGATAACAAGTCTCCCTAATGGGAATGATAAAATAGGCCTAAGTTAAGACTTCACATTGAAGTTTTAAATACCGTAACATAACTTAGCCTTAAGGGTCGCTAGAACTCCAGGGTATATATTTGAAAATTCCTCTTGACTTCACTAAGTTAAAAAAAATTTTAATTAAATCACATGCTATATAAATTTTCTCCAAATTTATATAGTGTGTGATCAAAAACCTTTTTCTAAATATTGTATCTTTCATTATTTATTAAGTTTACCTAAAAGGGTTCAATAAGTTATAGAAGTGTTTAGGAAAAAAGAGAGTTGTGGGCACGCAAGTTAACGGATTTTGACCGGCAGATGCACTTGCCTGCACCCTAAGTTATCCATTTTGTCCGTGTTCACGTCACGCCATCGGGTCATTCCATATGAAATCAACCAATAAAAAATTATTTTCAACCTGACCATCTTCGATTTTGATGAAATTTTGCATACTTGTAGTATTTTTAGTCCTGAATCCAAATATGCTTTCTAAAAAAATCTATCTTTTATAGTTTTTATGATATTAATATTTGAAAATGTAAAAATTGGCGTTTTTTACCGTGCGCGCAAATCTAAAATGTTGTCTAGGATGAGTTCTATTGGTCCTATCAAGTTGTACAATGGCTCATTTTAAAGAGGATTCAAATGCCTTTAATCTGATACCAAACTCAACCTACTTTGGTAAAAATTAATTTTTTTTTCTAATTTCAAAATATGTTTTTGAAAAAAAATTTAAGATAGTGTTTTTTGAAAAATTTGAAAATTGGATATGTTAAAGAATGTAATCTAGTAAGTACATTATAAAAATTTCAAAATGGGATGATAATGGGATCAGCAGTTATGATAAAAATACTTGACTATGGTTCACTGTTTCCAAGCATTTTGGCGCATACGTAAGTTCTAACCTAAATGTATCATTAAATAAGAGTCTATTAATTATATGATTAAAATTAAAAATATCTGCCTATATTTGAATTATGTATGTCATATTTTGCTATATATAAACTAAATCTAGCAAGTAAACAACATTATTCAAGTTAACAGAGTTTCCGTCAACCTTTGAACAAACATGGACCAATGGGTTTTGGTTCAGGTTCCTCAGTCTTTTCCAGTTAGTTGTGTTGCAACGATTTACTGTAATCAATCTTTAAGTCTGCCTTTTCACTAGGCTGGAGACTCTAGTCAGCCACTAGATCTGTGCAAAATCACATTGTGAAGCACTTTACATTTACACTATCAGGTTGCAGCGACCCATCACGGCTGTAGCGACTCGGTCTTGAGACAAGAGGAAAGACTGACAAACATAAGTTAGACCTGTGTACCTGTCAAACAAATTACAACTTCTCAAGACCGGGTCGCTACTGCCGAGGTGGGTCGCTGCGACCTGATATTGTAAACGTAAAGTGCTTCACAATGTGATTTTGCACAGATCTAGTGGCTGACTAGTGTCTCCAGCCTAGTGAAAAGGCAGACTTAAAGATTAATTACAGTAAATCGTTGCAACACAACTGGAAAATACTGAGGAACCTGAGCCAAAACCCATAGGTCCATGTTTGTCTGTCTTTCCTCTCGTGACAAGAGAGAGAGAGACAAACAAGCATTGATAATTTTGTCACACAATATACTGTGATCAATCTATTTAAATCCTGTAGTAACCTTATTATTGATACATAGATAATATTCCATGATAGCCTAATTATTTAGTTTTGGGGAAATGTCTGCTCATAAGTATAAATAATGTAGGCCTATTCTTACTTTAACAATTAAAACTTTTTAGTGAAAACTGATTTGTGGATTTAAATACCACAAACCACATACCACATTTCTGTAACTTCTATTTTGATATGTCAAAAATTAAAAAAAGTTACGGAGAATTTTCAAAATGTCCGTCCGGTTATTTTTTTAACTTTGCAAGGGTATTTTTTAAATATCATAGCAGTCAAATAAAGCAATTGGATTATGGCTGCTAATAATAACTAAAGCTCAAAACATCTGTTTTCATTAGAAAAATCATTTTAAAAAATAACACTTAAAACCCAAGTATTTTTTTTTTTCTCATGTCCGGGAAATTTTGCTCCAGAACTAAGGTTCACGACGCCATAAGTAAGGGTCAGCAAATTGGGTAATTTTTTCTTTCTTTTTTTTAAAGTTATTAGGCCTACTGCTTATAAAGTAATCAAAGCAGGTATTTTCTTAATCCCAGATAAATGGGCTATTCAATTATGGTTTTAAGTCATAAATCATAAACTTATGGGTTTGCTGCTGTAGACATGGAAGTTTGGACGACTTTTTTTTACTAAAAAATTTCAGTGAAAAATAAGTATTTTTAATTTTTTGTAGAACCATAGTATGCACTATTAAATATTTTTTTTTTAAGTAGAGTATTTATCTGGGAATAGAAAATTATAATAAACATTATCATTTAAAGATAAAATTAATATGAAAAAAAATAAAAAATATGAAAAGTGGAAAGTTTGTTCAAAGTAGCCCCCATGTTCAAAGGTTGACGGAAACTCTGTTAACTTGAATAATGTTGTTTATTTGCTAGATTTAGTTTATATTATAGCAAAATATGACATACATAGTTCAAATATAGGCAGATATTTTTAATTTTAATCATATAATTAATAGACTCTTATTAAATGATACATTTAGGTTAGTATGTACCGCTGTATGCGCCAAAACGCTTGGAAACAGTGAACCATAGTCAAGTATTTTTATCATAACTGCTGATCCCATTATCATCCCATTTTGAAATTTTTATAATGTACTTACTAGATTACATTCTTTAACATATCTAATTTTCAAATTTTTCAAAAAACACTATCTTAAATTTTTTTTCAAAAACATATTTTGAAATTTTCAAAAAAATTTAATTTTTACCTAAGTAGGTTGAGTTTGGTATCAGATTAAAGGCATTTGAATCCTCTTTAAAATGAGCCATTGTACAACTTGATAGGACCAATAGAACTCATCCTAGACAACATTTTAGATTTGCGCGCACAGTAAAAAAGCCAATTTTTACCATTTTCAAATATTTATATCATAAAAACTATAAAAGATAGATTTTTTTAAAAAGCATATTTGGATTCAGGACTCAAAATACTACAAGTATGCAAAATTTCATCAAAATCCAAGATGGTCAGGTTGAGAGCCTTGTTGATTTGATATGGAATGACCCCATCCTCATTCCTGCTTATCCCTTTGTTAAAGAACCCTTGAAAACGTACAACACAGAACTACCTAACACAAATTAGAGGTAAAACTTAGGCTATTTTAGCCTGTTTCATCATCCACAGGGGTCTTAACATGGAAGGATTCAAAGACAACTGCTAATAACTTATATAAGATTTTGATAAACAAGACCGGTAATTATATCGACCTCCGGACCTCACGCGAAATTAAAAATTTCTTTTTTCAAAATGGTCGAAATTTCACGCTGATTTCAAAAATGATTGTCGTTTTTTTCGGAAACGTCCCGTTTTCCCGGAAAATGGGAAAAACGGGAAAAATATTTTTTGCTCAAAACCCATGTTGTGGGTACTCAAATTATGCGGAATTTCGTCCTGGACAAGAATATGTAAACTTTATTACGATCGGACCACTATTAAGTAAAATATCACCGAAAAACGGGAAAACGGGGAATTTTTTTTTGCTCAAAACCCATGTTGTGGGTACTCAAATTGTGCGGAATTTCATCCCGAACAAGAATATGTAGTTTTTATTACGATCGCTTTTACGTAAAACATCACCGGACAGGTTAACTAACCTAACATAACCTAACATAGGTTTAAATTAGGTTAGGTTAGGATAGGTTAGTTTAGGTTAGGTTAGGATAAGTAAGGTTAGGTTAAGTTAGGTTAGGTCAGGTTAAGTTAGGTTAAGTTAGGTTAGGTTGGTTTAGGTTAGGTTAGGTTAAGTTTGGTTAGGTTAGCTTAGGTTAGTTTACTTACAATACTTACCTATTCTAACCTAACCTAAACTAACCTATCCTAACCTAACCTAAGTTCGTAAGTTAGGTTAGGTTGGGTTAGTTAATCAATAACATGAGTATTGTAAGTAAACTAACCTAACCCAACTAAACCTAACCTAACCAAACTTAACCTAACCTAACCTATCAAAACTCAACCTAACCTAAACCCACCTAACCTAACCTAACTTAACCTAACCTAACCTAACCTAATCTAACTTAACCTAACCAAACCTAAACTAACCTATCCTAACCTATCCTAACCTATCCTAACCTAATCTAAACCTAAGTTAGGTTATGTTAGGTTAGTTAACCTGTCCGGTGATGTTTTACTTAAAAGCGATTGGTTAGGATAGGTTAGTTTAGGTTAGGTTAGAATAGGTAAGTATTGTAAGTAAACTAACCTAAACCAACCTAACCTAACCTAACTTAGGAACCTGACCTAACCTAACTTAACCTAACCTAACTTAACCTTACTTAACCTAACCTAACCTAAACTAACCTATCCTAACCTAACCTAACCTTACTTAACCTAAACTAACCTATCCTAACCTAACCTAATTTAAACCTAAGTTAGGTTATGTTAGGTTAGTTAACCTGTCTGGTGATGTTTTACTTAAAAGCGATCGTAATAAAAACTACATATTCTTGTTCAGGATGAAATTCCGCACAATTTGAGTACCCACAACATGGGTTTTGAGCAAAAAAAAATTCCCCGTTTTCCCGTTTTTCGGTGATATTTTACTTAATAGTGGTCCGATCGTAATAAAATTTACATATTCTTGTCCAGGACGAAATTCCGCATAATTTGAGTACCCACAACAAGGGTTTTGAGCAAAACATATTTTTCCCGTTTTTCCCATTTTCCGGGAAAACGGGACGTTTCCGAAAAAAACGACAATTATTTTTGAAATCAGCGTGAAATTTCGACCATTTTGAAAAAAGAAATTTTTAATTTCGCGTGAGGTCCGGAGGTCGATATAATTACCACAAGACCAAGTTATTTGATAGAAATTTAACTTACTCAGTAACAACAAAAATGGTACACACATTTACGGATGGTTGTTGTGGAAGTTATCTAATCGGCAGATAAGATACAGCCAGGAAGGGAAAACAATAGGCCCTATGCTGAGCACTGATGGGGCAGGACAAATTTTGATTTGGAGGTTATCAGAAGGGCCACAGTAGGCCTAACTTTGCAATGTTAAGCAGAAATCTAGGCCTACACTGTAAAGTTGTCAACTAGAGATTTCCCTCAAAGTTTAGGCCTACAAACTTACTTTTTACTTAGCAAAAGTTCATTGTTCATTCATTTCAACCCCCCCCCCCCCTTTCAACAATATCAAAATCCTTGACGTGGGTCTCATCTTTCATTCTTATTCGTAGCCTAGCTTCCAAGTGGGAAATGTAAATACATTTACAAGTGTAAAAATTTAAACTGTGGATAAAAAGATTAGTATTAGGTTTTATAAATTCAGAATAGGGCAGTATTGAGTGGACCGGAGACGAGTCTATGACTATGCCTAGGACTGTGACCTAACCTATTATTCAATTGCGGGATAAAGCTTAAAAGATATTAACTTCAATATATAATGTTGAGGGTTAGCTAATATCAATAACTAAAATGAACTCGAAGCTATGTACATATTCAATAAATATAAGGATTAAGTTGGATAACATACCATTTTGCCTAGTGGACACCAAGCTGTTGGATTGGAACACGACGGAAAGAAGAAAAAGAACGATCTCAAAGACAGACGACATACGACGACTAGATCCAGAGGGAGGTATTGGGACAAAGAAAATAATTTAAAAGAAATCTTTGAAGAGGACGTTCAATATAAAAGAAGTCGTATAACAATTTCCTTGTTTACATTGACTTATAATTATTCTATTTAACTCAAACCCGTTTATTAACACAGGAAGGAGGAAACCCGTATTAATTCAGTTACTTATAATTAGCTTAAGTCGTTTACATTGTATCATATTATTATATAAATTACAGTAGTAGTATATTTTTTAGTTAGTATATTTACATTATTAGACAAAGAGAGTCGTTCAAAATCTAGCGTATGTACTTTTGAATGAGTGAATTTTCCATCCAGAGCATAGCTAACGTGACGATGACGCACCATAGATAAAACATACTCCTCAAGGACTAAGTATAAAACCACATACAAGGGAACGTATGTTTTACCTCAGGGCTCAGTATTGGGTCCTGTCCTGTTTATCATTGCCATCAATGACCTGCCCTTCAGCCCCAACTGTGATGCATATTTGTATGCAGACGATACCACCATTCTAAGTAAGGGCGCAGATGTAACGCAGCTTGTAGCTGCAGTGGAAAGTAGCCTAAGTTTGACCTCTGAATGGCTTGCAGCAAATAAATTCCTTGTCAACGAGGACAAAACACAGTCTATGCTATTTAGCTTGCGGCCTACACCTCAAATGGAGGAAACTATCAAAAACAATTCAAATTTTAAGATTCTTGGAGTAATTGTTGATCTCCAACTAACTTGGAACTCCCAGGTACAACACATTTATGCACAAGACTAAGTAGGCTTACCTTTTTATTTAGAAAATTAAGGAACCTTCTGCCTCTAAATCATCTCAAAAATGTTTATTTTGCACTTGTCCAGTCAATTCTAAGCTACGGGATAATCCTTTGGGGAAATAGTTACCACATTTATTTATTTTTATTTATTTTTACGGCAAACGACATTTTTTACAATCGTTTTATTGTGATACATGTGACAAGATGCTTATTACATGCTGATAATGTTGTACAGATACATGCAAAGATTAAAATGAAAAGATGAAAAACATGTTCAATGAAAATTACATGCAGTTGTGATCACATCAATGATGTTCTTGTTGCCCAAAAAAAGATTATTAGAACTATATATTCAACAAAGATCAAAATGAACATTGTAAACCATTATTTATTAACTTTAATGCTTTGACTGTGATAAACCTTTATATTTATAATGTATTGTTATCCAGTTTTAAGTTGCATGAAACCTTTAGCTCTAAGGGGTGAGTTTCATTGCTTTGACACTAGGAAAAGAGAAAACCTTGACATTCCTTTTACAAGACTGGAAAAAATTAAAAGAAGTCATATTATTATGGGTATAAAGTTGTGGAACAAACTATCGCCAAGAATAATTCAACTCACTTACAATAGTTTTAAGAATGCAATTTATGAATGGCTTGTCAGAAACCCCCTGTATAAGATTGATGATTTTTTTGCTTTACAACCAATGACATAACCACATATGATTATCTAATTCCAGCCATACATTTATTTTCAGCCTGTCTATGCTTATCTGCTTTTGTACCATTATTTATTTGCATGATGTGTAAGTTTAGGTATCCTTGTACACTAATTCTTTACTATATTAATATTAGTTGCCTGAACTTGACTTGTGCCTCTACCAGCATGCATTTATATAATTTGACTGTGTCTCATGCATTTATATAATGTCTAGACGAATAAATATCATTCCATTTCATTTATTTATGGAACTGAGCGATCTCAAGTTTTGGCGCCTGGCGGGATGGGAATTTTCCCCCATTGTTTGGGAATCTTATGAAAATAGACAGAGCTTGATAAATTAGATAAGCAAAAAATACGTAATTTTATCCCCTGCCTATATAACTAGGATTTTAGACAACTGTAGATGAACAGCCTGGAATTTCACCTCCGGAATTTTACCCCCAAGTAAAACTATCCGAGTAGCTACGTCTTAAGTAATGTTACCCCTCTGGAAATTTACACCCCATCCGATGTAGAAAATTTGGGAGAATCATTAGAACAATAATAGAATCAATAAAACATGATAACATGTTTTATTGAATAAAAACTTAAAGACGCTTGACTTTTAAAATAGACTTTTAGATTAGTCTAGACTTAATAACATGAATATGTGACTATAGTTCGGCCGCTTAGAAAACGACCTGCGCACTAATGCTAAACCAATGCTGGAGGAGGTCGCTTTCTAAGCGGCCGAACTATAATCTAAAATCTTCTATACTACTAGGTGGCCCGATAAACGTCATAAGCATTAGACTGCCAAAGAAACTCCTAGGATCGTGGATCGTGGGTCAGATCGAAAAAACCCCCACCCCCGCTCCGTGCCGATGGCGAGACGTCAACCATTACTGCAACGATACGGAGATGAGTCATGAGCCTAGCCTGGTGGTGTAGTGGATAGCGTGCCGGGCTGATAATCCGAAGGTGCCGGGTTCGAATCCTGCTGGTTGCACTAACTTTTTGTCAACAATTTTTTCCATATCAGCAAGTTTGGTTGGTTTGGTTAGGTTATGACAGTTTAATTTTATAATTAAAAAATTATAAAATTGAATTTGAGACATTTATAATTTTATTTTTAGAACAGAGCTATTTTTTCGATTAGTAAACCTTCATTCGATTATTCATTATCAGCAAGTTTGGTTAGGTTATGTTAGTTTAATTATATTTGATTTAAATTTAACCTACAAATTATACGTTTTGACAGCGACAGTGATACACAGATAACAATTTTCCGCGAACAGTTAGATAAGCTATGCTGATGCGCCGGTATGATTCGGAAGCGTACGACATGGTGCCGTGGTGCCACAACGCCTCTCAGATCCACGATCCTCGGAGTTGCACTGGCGGCAGTCTAGACGCTAGTACAGCCGTCGTCCTGTCCTAATGTGGTTTTATGTCAAATGCTCGTTCATTTTCAAGACGAGCTCGTTCGCATCGCTCAATCACGTCCTGGTTGAAGTTCGTTTGCTACGCTTAATCACCTTTAGGTTGGAGCTCGTTCGCTACGCTCACTCACCTTTTGGTTGCAGCTGTTGTCATGAATGAAAAAAAAAAATAGTGCTGCACCATGTTGGTAAATCTAAGTTATTCACTTTTTAATGCTATTGAACATCACTAATCAAATTGTTTAGTTGAACCATAGATAAAACAGGATTATGTTTTATCATAGATAAAACATACTCCTTCTATGATTATACCAATCCGAGGAGTACTGAGATATATGTGCCTCTGATTTTATACATTTCTTGTGAGAGCGCTGGCAATACTGCAATTTTGTACTGTTTTGGTTTTAACAGAAAAAAGTAAATGACAAGAATAATATTATGTCAATAACAACAGCTGCTGATAGTGATTACTTACTGTCATTAGTGATAGCTGCTAAGTTTACTAGCTAACTAAACTAAACCATAGACAAAATAGAATACTAAACTAAGAAAACTCAATAACTCTACTCTAAAATCTAGTGTAGGCTATGTAAATGTTAATTTGTAGAGTGTCTGCCAAATAACTTAATAAAACATTCAAATTTCACCTATCAACCAAACATAATGTGCAAAGTTATTCTCAATTCTTATTAGGCCTAGGGCTTAATTCACTATTTTTTTCACCCTACTAAGCTAACATTATATCCACCAAAAGATTTGAAAAGACCTTATAATAAGTTTTACGTTATATTTGTGTAAAAAAGCCCAAGTTTTTTAAAAACCTGTAATGCAGCCTGAAGATGCAAGATATATTAAACGGTGAGTTGTAATAATACAGGCTTAACTTAGCATTGGGTACACTTCCATATCTGTTGGCACAAACAACCGAATCAAAAATATCGATCGATATATCAATTATTCGATATATTGTTTGGTTAGTTACGTAAGGTTAACCAAACGATATATCAAACTAAACAATCGAATAATCAATCTTACTCATTCGGTTGTTTGTGCCAACAGATATGAAAGTGTACCCTTAGCATTTATTTTAATAACTTAGGGACCTTTAATTCAAAACAATTTAATAAAGCCCTGAATCGAAACATTAAGGTTAGGCCCTAATGGATAACTTAACTTAAGTTAGTTTCAATCAATATTAGCATAGCCCAGTTAAAATACGGTACCCAAGGTATTAAGCAAGTGTTTTTTAAGAAAAAAATATTGTGTTAACAATTAATTGAATATTCTTACTTTCTGTTCTTAACCTACCAGCAATAAACTACTAACGTCCTTTCCCATATAACAAATTCTCTGTATATTGTTGTGTTAGCCTAACTTATTGTCAGTGTTGCTTTTGTTTTTTATAAAGAAATATAAAAAAATAAACCTAACTTACTGTCAAGTTAGTACCGGTAACTTTTTTAAGGATTTAATGGTAGGTCTAATAAACGTTTTTTGTCCCAACAGACGAGTGCGTTCAGGCTCAATTGATGTCCATCCAACAGAGACAGCCCTTATTGTCAATTATGAGTTGGAAGCGATTATTTTAGGGGAATGTGGAGAACCAATGGTCAGCGAGAAAAAGGTAAGAAACAGGCTAGGGCCTAAAACTTATGCAATTAGTTTTATAAATCTTAAAACCAGGTAAGAAAGCGAGAAAAGGCTTACTAAGTTACTGGATGTTGGAAGTGAAACATTCCAGAAGATGCAAAATTATTTCATCCCGAAGATCCTTGATTATTGTTTAGGCTTAGCCTATATGAAGAAAATAAGATTGCATTCTTTACCCTTACAGGTCCAAACCAGTTTATTTTTGCTTCCTGTTTTGAGTTTGGAAAAAATAGCCCATTCGTTGTATTAAAATAATAAATAAGCTTTGGCTCTTAACAACTTGTTAAGTGAATGGGCCGTCCACGAGTCCTAACATTTGCATAATAGACCTATGTTGTATATCGTAGGAGTGTCAGAAGATAATACGACTCAAAAGGCTGGATGCTGCAACTGACTGTGCAGCCTTGGCTAAGGAAGTCGTTCAAAAATGTACTCTCATTCATCCTTCAAAAACTGCTGAAGTTGAACATCTTATTTATTACTTGCAGAGCCGTAAAGACAATGCTTTTACAGGTAATACCAATTCATTTTTGCTCCAATACGTGTTGTGTTTAGAAAATAAATCAGTCAAGTGAGAAAACATTATTATAATTACTGCAGGTACGGTAGGCCTACTAACTTATATAAGTACCGGTATGATGCTGTGTTTGCTTTCCAAGACTGGTTATAAAAATTACCTATTTCTCTTTTATGTCCAATAGGCTATAATTATTTTCTTAATACTTTGTCTTGGCGACTAAAAATGAAGTTAAGCCCACTCAAAACCTTTTTGAGCTGAAACATATTTACATGCTTATGGCTGTAGAAACATATTATAGACTTCCCGGACAAACGTGTCTCATGGCATAGAATATCAAAAATATTAAGAATTAACAAATTTTGATTTCTGGCACTTTTTATCTAGCCTACATTTTTACTGTAAATGAACATAAGTTTACAAGATTAATTCTTTGTGCATAAATATATTTTTTTTACCAAAAAATTTATGCAGTTAGCTGTTATATCCACTTCCTGTAAATTGATACAAATTGTGGATATAGCCCAATCTAAACCTGTTTTAAAATAAAGGTTAAAAATTACCTAACTGTAATGTTAATTTACTGTTTACGATTTTACTATGGAAGACAACATTGTACGGTAAATTTGAACAAGGTTTAATCATGAAAGATGACCAAAAAGTCTGATTGTGGTTGTAGAATTGGCAGATAATAGGTTAGTAACATAAGCTTACTACATGCATTTAACAATCAACTCTGTGCTATAGTATGTTTGTACTGGTTCCAGAGAGTATGGAGAGTTGCATGGAGAAGGACTCTGGTAGTGAGAGTCCCTCGCCAGCCCCCACCCCTAGTGGCCAGCCTGCTAGCTTCACTATGATAGAGAGCTACATGGAGCTGCTGTACGAGGACTTACCTGACAAGACGAAGGGCTCGGCTCTCATACTGGAATTGGCTAAGGACCCAAATAACCTTGAGGACTTGGCAAGCAGTGGTGAGTTTTTAAACACAATATTACATGAAATTAACACAAAAAACAAACAAAGAAGTACCATCTCAACGCCAGTTGACTATTGTTTTTCCTTTTCTTGATTGTCGTTATTTTATATCTGTTCGGACAAAATATCTTATGTTATTGAAAATTTCTTGTTTAAGGACATTCTTCACCAGAACCAAGAAAAATCCCTTTTACTCGTTCATTGCTCAGCAAACGTGCACAGACAATTGGATTGTCTACAGGTGAAGTGAGCAGCCCATTAATCACGAAGTGATAACAGTACCCAAAGGCAAAAGAATTATAACCAAAAATGACATTTACATGGTTTTGAATTTATGGTAATCCAAAAATTGTTACAATGATTAGTTCTGATATTACAATGTAGTAGCAATAATAATTTTTAATAACTCTTATATTAATTAACTGAAATAGGTGGACTACTTAGGGGTAGTCAATCATCCTAAATAATTTACTTAGCTTTTCATTCAAGCTGCTATGTTTGTTACAGACTTGTTCTACTTCTTCAGCGCTTTTAAATATTTTTCATTACTAAATCTTTTTCCCCCAGAAGCAGTTCTAAGCGCGCTCGCTCGAGTGTTGAGAGAAGATTGGAAGAAAAATTTGGAACTAAGCACCAACATTGTGTACACGTTTTTCTGCTTCTCGACATTCAGTCAGTTTCATCCCATAATTCAACAGTACAAGGTAAGAGTAGCTTAACTGTAAAACCAAACATTTAATTGCTCTGGTTAGTGAGAGAATTTGGTTCCTTGGATTAACTTACTTGGAAAAATATTAATAAAGAAAGAATGCTTAGTTTAGGAGATTCTATCATGTATCTATAGACTTGGCGTTCAAATGGTTCCATAATCTGAATATGCATAGTTGGCAAGATGTACTGACCTATACTAGGCCTATGTATTTACATTTTTATTTAGGTTTTAGGAAACATCCCTATTCAGAAATAGCTATCATCATAGTATTCATTGTAAAATCTGGGGCCGGCACCATTTTATAAGATTTTTATAAAATTTGGATTAAAACCTGACGCTAAAAACTGACGCTCTTATTGATGTTCCTACGATTTGTTCATTAGTCTCCGTTCTCTCAAACTCTCTACACTTAAAACTGGGACCTCCATAATTCGAATTTGATTTATCTGACCTCTATAATTCAAACTCTCTATATTTCAAACTTCCTATAGGCCTAGTTCGAAATATATTGTCTTTCCTCTGAAATTAGAATTAGCGAGGTTCTACTGTAGATAGACAAACACCTAAATATTATATATATTCAAGTTTATGATTACTTGTTAACTTGCTGTTGAGGGTTTACCCTGACTTATTGCTTTATCGCTAGATTTACTTATTTAAACCTTTTCAGTTTTTAGCAAGATTCCCACTATAGAAAATAAGCTGCCACCATAGCTGGTAACCTCCCGACCCATGATTTCATGGGCCCAGAGAAAAAAAGAATTTAGAGATTACATACCGGTACATCTATATAAAAACCTTAAATGTAATCAAAATACATATTTTGCATGCAGGTGGGATCCTTGTGTCTGGAGATAATCGAGTATGAGTTGAATCGCTATGCACAACTACGCAAGGAGGTGGAGAGTCGAGGTAGTTCAGCTCCTCTTCCTGCGCCTGTGTCTCGGCTGCCGCTGCCTCGTAGTGCACGGCGACCTATCAAACCTTCTGCGGACGACAAGAAAAAGATTCCTAAAGGTAAGTGAAGAAAATTTGTCTCAGTAGAGTTTGAAAGTTATAGATCATTTTATTTGACCAATTCTAAGCAAAATATAACCATCATAAATTTTGGTAGGCCTAATTTGCTATTATCCGGAGGCCACCTTTATACAGCGTGCTGCGGCCTTATTAAGGGTGGTCTCCGGTTAATATCAAAGTACCTAAAGTTTCACTTAAATAATCACCAATAATTGTAAGGGGTTTTGAATTTCTATTTCTTGAATACAGCACTTACATTTTATATTTCAGAAAAAGTGGAAGAACCAGTTATGAATGTTAGGAAGCTGGCCACTCTGGCGAAGAAGCAAGATCAGCTGCTTAGAGGTAAATATGAATTGATATTACTTCTCAATACATTTACTTTTGTGATAATGTAGTATGTAGTCCAAATACTGTAATTTAGGCTGTTTTTGACACACTCAGTCCTGCGGTGATGTAAAAACTCTTGAGACTTTATACTTTTAATACTTTTTAATTGAAATGGTGACTATACCAAGGTAGGTATTTTAAACCAAGTATGAATGGAGATGAGTGTAGGATGAGTGGTGAGGTCTTGTAGTCTTGTTAATAACTATGGCAGACATGTTCCTTAGACAAGACTGTTAATTAATAGCCCATACATCCAATGGCAACTAAGAGACCTACAGTAAAATGTGCTGAAAGAAACCCCATACTACTGAGTGTCAAAAGGAGAAGAGTCTAAAATCTTTTACACAGCATAGTTTTGGGAAACCATTTTTAGGTAAATCAGTTTCAAGCAGGGGTATTTAGGGCACTGTGTTGGTTACAGTGCAACCAAACCTAACATAAATGTAGCCTATGTATGTTTAAAAGTGTAGCCTTATTGCTCTCAATTTTCTCAATATCGGTAAAAGTAATAAGCGTTGATTTTATTGAATATTGTGAAGAAAGAAAAGTATTTGAAATTCAAGTTTAGTTTGTGATTCAATGTTAGTCTTAGTAATCACCTTTACAATCTTTTTCAGTACTGGTAACATGATTTAAATTTAAATTTAAAAAAGTCGTGCGTATTATTTATGATTTGAGAATTGTAGCTGTAGTTTAAATTAATCATCTCTAACAAATACGACATATTTTTAACCAAGCCATACTGGAAACCCATCTTGTTGTGCACTGTACCCTAAACATCGGTGTTTTGTTTTCAGTTTGCTTTTATCTACTGCTGAACTTGGCTGAAAATATGAAAGTTGAGGATAAAATGAGGAGAAGGAACCTAGTTGGTTTGCTTGTGACGTCGTTGGAAAGAAGCACCCAAGAACTGCTCGTCTTGGTCGCGTCGTTTCTACTCAAACTTTCTGTTTATAAAGAAAACAAAGATGAAATGGTAAGTGCTGAATTTTTAGTTTAAGGATTGACCTAATCACACATAATCGTACTAGGCCTAGCTGTAGTGCGAGATAATGATTTGGAGTTTAGTGAGGGGAAGTTATGTTGTAAGTAAACCTAGTGTTCATCCCAAAATGTAAAATGTCTTTGTTTACGGAAAGGATTGTACAACTTAGATATTTTTTTTGGATTTGTAGTTATATAAAATATCATACATTCTATAGTCAAAATAAGTATAATTGGTGTGACATTAAAGTTACTGTTCTCTACTGTTACATTTATATGATTTTTTGGCCCTAAAGTCTTTGGTTAGGTCAATGTGTACGTTATGATTAAGAGTCATTTTTGAGCTGTTTAAAATGTTTCATCCATTCACCCATACAGTTGTGTAGTAGGTTTTTGTCCACAGGCGAATCTAAATGTGATTGAAAAGCTACCGAAACTGTTGCTGATGAAGGACAAGAACCTTGAACTTGTCACTCTGAATCTTCTCTTCAATCTGTCTTTTGACTCCAACTTGAGGGAGAAGATGGTTAGAGTTGGTTTCCTGCCAAAGTTGGTCAGCATGCTGGGTAGGTTTACAAATAGTATACCATTAATGTACCTGATATTGCGCAAATTTAGACTTGATTATCAACTCAAGTTTCCTTGTACATTTTCATTAAAAAAATCCATACTTAATTTATTCCCAAACATAAATCTAAAAATTTGTTGAATTTGTTGAGTTTGTTTGTCTTTTAGTAGTTGAAAAATTATGTAATATCTTGCAAATATTTTGAAAAAAAATTGCATTACCCATGGGACATTGGTTTTATTATTGAAGTGTGGTTTACCATAGAGGTTGAGGATTAGAATCCTGACTCATCAGGTCTGGTTCACACTTATGAGGAGTTCACCTGCCTGTGGGAGTGGCGAATGACTTGGGTGGAAGTTGACTAAAATGGTTGGATTTGTTGTGAATTACACCTAAAATCAGGCATTTTGTTTCCCTATTATGCATACTTACTCTATGTGTCCACACACTGGCGTTCCAAGGGGGCTATAGGGGCTTCCTCCCTCTGAACCCTGGGAAAATAAATGTCAACATACGTTTCTTCCTAAAAACATAACAGAGATTTTTGGACACATTATAGACTTTAAAAATGGCTTTAGAAAGTCACCAAATGGCTTTAAAAATACCATTTGCGGGGGAGGACCCCTGGACCCCCCCCTTCTTTCTCCGGGGTTGTAAAACACCCCTTGGTAGCCCCTCCCTTGCCAAGGTACTAGAAACGCCACTGATCACACAAGCTCATTTTAGAGGAATTTGTATTTTTCTATTCGCAACATAAAGGAAATTGTTATGAATATAGGTGTTATTGAACCTATTATCAATTGCTGGAAGTTTTTTTTTATATATATTTAGATCTGAAGATGTCAATTTAATTTCAGGCGATGAAGAGCAGCAAGTAAACGTTGTTGTGTTGAAACTTCTATACCATCTCAGTCTGGACGACAGAGTCAAAGCGATGTTCGCCTACACTGATTGCATTCCTAAGGTAGAAAATTATTTTGATTATCAACAAAATCACTGAATTCTTTGTTTGAAGTTCATTGTTGGTGATGGTGAGTTAATGTTGTTCAAAGGTTTATTGCGGACATTTTCCATCACGAAAGTAAAAAACAATACACAACGTTTCGGGATCTGGAATCTGATCCCGTCTTCAGGTGAAAAAACTTAACTAACACATTACAACTAACAATACACAAACGCCCAACCTAAGTTGGAATACACTACCGAGGGTAGTAGTCAAAAGTCAAGTCATGATACAACATGCAATTAATAACAAATCACAAAACACTATAATCTATAAAAGGTTTACGTACAAAAAACTCACACAATGGAACACTAACAACACCGTACGCTATGACTCCACCAATGAAACTGAACCAACATGGCTGACCAATCGGAAACACGGAGACAACAGAAATGGCTTCCGGTCCCTGGAAAAGTAAAACCAACAGAATGGCGGAGCGATGTACGATGCCGCAAGATGGGTGTTAATTATGTTTATTCCTATCACGAGTTTTACTACGAGTTAACATAACGTGCGAATTTTGAGGAGAACTCGTTATTTCCCTATTTATTGTACAATTAAGTTCCCTATCCTTTAGTTCCTTGTTCAAAATGGGCAGCCAAAGTGGCCTTATTTCAACCGATGACTGACTGATTGGTTGGTCTGCTAATTTAATGTATGAGGCTTCAATGAGTTTACGTTTGAAAAAATGAGGTTCCTTATGGACAATTTTTGCCTCTTCAAAATTCATACGATGATTTTCGGACCAGCAATGATGAGCGATCTTAGATTTTTCCACTAAACCTTTTTTGGTGTTTTCTCTGTGTTCTTTGATTCTAATGTTCAATGGTCTTTTTGTCTCGCCATAGTAAGGCCTGGAACAATCATTGCAATTTATTCTGTAAACACAGTTTTTAGTATCCTGAGTGTCATTTTTGGGTTTTGTTTTGACGAGACTCTGCCTAAGTGTGTTTCGTGTCCTAAATGCTGTTTGCACATTAAATTTCCTAGCAACCCTTCTGATCTTTTCCGACAGTCCTGACACATACGGGATTGACATGTGGACGAGTTTTTCCTTACGATTTTGTAAAGGTTCACGCGTAGCCCTATCTTTCTTGCATTTGTTTATAATGGATCGAGGGTATCCGTTACTAGCCAAATCCTGTTCTACTTTCTTAATTTCATCCTTTAACTCATCCTGATTGGAGCAAATGCTCTTAGCCCTGTCAAACAGAGAGTAAGCAACCCCCTCCTTGACAGAAATTTGGTGGTTTGATTGAAAGTTTAGATACTGCCCTGTGTGTGTCTTTTTTCTATAAACAGATGTTCTAAGACTGTTCAAATGCTTTTCTACGCACACGTCCAAAAAGGGGAGTTTGTTTTGTGATTCCACCTCCATGGTTAGTTTTATGGAGGATGAAACGCTATTAAGATGCTCTAAAAACTCATTCAATTTATCATCTCCATGAGGGAAAACCACGAAAGTGTCATCGACATATCTCCACCATATCCTCGGTTTGAGCCGAGCTGAAGCCAAAGCTTTTTGCTCAAACTCCTCCATAAAGATGTTGGCAAAGATAGGTGACAATGGTGACCCCGTGGCCATACCCTCATCTTGACGGTATAATTTACCCTCTAATTGGAAATAGTTACATTGAGTACACAACTCCAAAAGTTCCATTATGACGTTAACAGGGAGTTTAGTTCTGTTTGCTAAAGTATCGTCGTTTGTGAGACGATTCTCAATTATTTTTAGGGTTTCCGAAACGGGGACATTCGTAAACAGACTTTCAACATCGAAGCTGACCAGCTTGTCAGTATCAGCCAGTACGATAGATTTAGACTTTTCTACAAAATCTTTGGAGTTTTTGATAAACGAATCAGTGTTTCCTACTAAAGGCTTTAAAATGTCCAGAAGGACTTTAGACAATTCCCTACAAGCAGAATCACGGGAGCTAACTATTGGTCTCAGAGGAACGTTAGGTTTGTGGATCTTAGGTCACGTCGTCTTAGGTCTTAGGTGGACGTTAGGTTAGTGGAAAAGGTCAGAAGGGTTGCTAGGAAATTTAATGTGCAAACAGCATTTAGGACACAAAACACACTTAGGCAGAGTCTCGTCAAAACAAAACCCAAAAATGACACTCAGGATACTAAAAACTGTGTTTACAGAATAAATTGCAATGATTGTTCCAGGCCTTACTATGGCGAGACAAAAAGACCATTGAACATTAGAATCAAAGAACACAGAGAAAACACCAAAAAAGGTTTAGTGGAAAAATCTAAGATCGCTCATCATCGTATGAATTTTGAAGAGGCAAAAATTGTCCATAAGGAACCTCATTTTTTCAAACGTAAACTCATTGAAGCCTCATACATTAAATTAGCAGACCAACCAATCAGTCAGTCATCGGTTGAAATCAGGCCACTTTGGCTACCCATTTTGAACAAGGAACTAAAGGATAGGGAACTTAATTGTTCAATAAATAGGGAAATAACGAGTTCTCCTCAAAATTCGCACGTTATGTTAACTCGTAGTAAAACTCGTGATAGGAATAAACATAATTAACACCCATCTTGCGGCATCGTACATCGCTCCGCCATTCTGTTGGTTTTACTTTTCCAGGGACCGGAAGCCATTTCTGTTGTCTCCGTGTTTCCGATTGGTCAGCCATGTTGGTTCAGTTTCATTGGTGGAGTCATAGCGTACGGTGTTGTTAGTGTTCCATTGTGTGAGTTTTTTGTACGTAAACCTTTTATAGATTATAGTGTTTTGTGATTTGTTATTAATTGCATGTTGTATCATGACTTGACTTTTGACTACTACCCTCGGTAGTGTATTCCAACTTAGGTTGGGCGTTTGTGTATTGTTAGTTGTAATGTGTTAGTTAAGTTTTTTCACCTGAAGACGGGATCAGATTCCAGATCCCGAAACATTGTGTATTGTTTTTTACTTTCGTGATGGAAAATGTCCGCAATAAACCTTTGAACAACAAAATCACTGAAGTTTAGGCATAAAAATGTTGTAGTTAAACTTTTATGTCATAGAAATTTTATTTGAAAAACAATTAATAAAACAAATTATTTTTTTGTTTCTTGCATAACTTTTAGTATTTTAAACCAATTTTTCAGAGATGGAGAAACTTTTGTTATAAGTAAAGTTGTTAGACCAAAGACTGTGATTGTAATATTTTGAATGTTTGACTTGAATCTCAATTCTGATTAACTAACCTAAACAAAATTAGTCCTACTTTTTATCAAAGGTATTCAAATAGCACAGTAAATAAAATTAGTCTTTAATTTTTTTCTTGTTGAGAATTTTTTCTCTGCTTTCTTTTGCTATCATTAGATACTTTTCCATGATATTTATAATTACTTTATCACTGCCAATTACTTTATATTCACAACTTTACCACTGTTGATATTTGATGAAACATTACATTAATGTGACTTTCTTTTTTCAACAAATCTAAATTCCCATTCAGGTTGTTTTTACTTTTCAAAAGTAATATGTTTGGAAAAATTTAAATGTTGACATTTTTTAGCTTATTAAAATAATTCCCTTATTTGGTTAAATTTTCAATGACGGTGGCTTCAATAAAAATTTTTTGTGCTTATCACTTCATGACTATTATTTATCAAAGATGGCTTCAACATTTTGTGGTATATTTGGATTCCATTGTGCTCTGAATAGCAGATCGCTATCGGCTATTTTTTTGGCTACTTTTGATAAATGTTGTATTTTATGTTGTGTGTAAACTCCCTTATCATTTCTTACGTTTTATAAACAAAACCGATCAAAACCCTTATGGTTTCCAATTAGTTGTGACTTCCCAAGGCGTATAGTGTTATTTTTTCAGAAGTTATTTTTTGTGTCATACCACAGATAATTTGATTGGCGTTTAAGAATATAAACATTTATAAACTGACATAGTAGTAATTCCTGGTAATCTAGTAGATTGAGATGACAATGATGTGGTGGCCAATATTTAAGTCGAGAATCAGCTGTCCTTTTTCAAGGCACTAACACTTTTTCACTGAAAATGGACTTTGCATTGTGTCCTAAACATCCACGAAAACATCACCTACAAGGTCGTCCCCGTCCCCTGATGATTAGGACTTAATAGTCTTAGGAATAAAGTACAAAGAAACTGACATCGTGTAGGTCTACCTCAACAGTAACCCTTAGGTTTTGAATCTACTATCAGCATAAGATGTGTTCTTTTATGTGACAGGTGGTGGGAACAATGGTGGGCCAGGAGCCGGGAGAAGAAGTTCACACACTTTCTGTTGCGCTAATGGTGAACCTTGCGCTGCACGGACGCTGCGCTGCGCAACTACTGGAGGGAAACAACCTGCAGTACCTGATAGAGTGTGCGTTCCACCATCAGAGCAGCATCATCGTCAAGATATTGCGCAATGCTTCTGTGCACGACAACACCAAACATCTCTTCATTGTGAGTATCCAGTTGTGATTGTCGCCTAGGTTTGATACAGTTGGAGGATAATGAATTATTTTGAAGAGGGTGGAATTTAGCTACCTTACCTGAGAAAATTATAGTCCTGGTAGGTGGAATAGACAAATTAATTATCACATCACATTACACTGATATTTAGTCTTAATACAGGACTCCTTCAGAGAGTAGGTTGAAAAAATAGAAGACAATTTCTCTTCAATCTACTCTCTGAAGGAGTAATCATGAGGGATGTTCAAATTTTGTCGAGATAGCGGGAGATGATCACAAATGTGCTGCGATAAGCGTAATGATTATGATAAATGCACACTATGCCGAATTTGTGATTACTAAAGCTAATACTGTTTTTCTACTTGCAACCATACGATACATTGGTTAAATAAAACACTAGGAATAAATAACTAATTTTATTGAATATAAAAGATTTATCACATTCTCCATCAGTTTGTGAAACTCAAGTTTTACCTGCAAAAATCCCTAAAATCCTTATAAACCTTACTATAAAAATGTAGTGTGGCTTAGTATTAATAGTTTAATTAGGTACTTTGGTGAGTCGGAGGCTAAGTCGTTAGCACGAAGGGCTGCAGGCCTAAGGCAGCCATGTCATGGGTTCGGATCCTATTACCTGCCACTACTTATTATCGGCACACATCACCCTTGTACTGTACCGGTCACCCTTACTTTGTCGGATATGTTCCACGCACAGGTTCATAGCCTATATGTATGGACAAAAGAAAGGTTAAAATAGGCAGCCAAAAATTTTGATTTATTTTAAACCAAACTGAAAACTGATAAAACAAAAAACAAGCTGATAAAAATTGAATCCTACACGTCGCTATATTTTGTCCAGCTCTTCATCTATCTACAGATATCCTCTCTAAAACACTTAAAACTTCAACTTGCACAATTACTAAGGGAAATTCTCATATAACAATTGAAGGGCCTAAGCATTTGTATGTTTTGCACAGGACTTTGTGGGAGACTTGGCCAATGTGGTGGCGACTCAGCCGAGCGACGACTTCACCTTGGAGTGTGTGGGACTGTTGGCCAACCTGACTCTGGCAGAACTAGACTACAGCACACTGCTACAACAGTACAACCTGGTGTCATGGATCACTAGACAACTAGTGCCTGGCAACACACCTGATGATCTGGTGTTAGAGGTAAATTCCTACTGAGCATTCGAACTACAGTAGACACTGGATAGTCCAGTACGTTTGGGATAGGGGTAGCGGATTTCTACCCCCGGATATTTACCCCCATGAAAAAACGCCTACGTCATTTTGACGTCACGAGGGGCGGGGCCTATACACGATCGAGAAACAGCCCGCGACTGGAAATCTACCCCCGGACATCCACCCCCAGACATCTACCCCCAGACATCTACAGCCGGATATCTACCCCCAGACATTTACCCCCGGACATCTACCCCCAGACATCTACCCCCGGACATCTACCCCTGGACATCTACCCCCGGAAATCTACCCCCGGAAATCTACCCCCGTAGTCAGCTACGCTACGTATCGGCCAGGATGCATTGTTGTAATTAATTTTATTAATTGGTTTATGTAAATAAAAATAAACGGCTCTTCGGTTACTCATTAGCTTCTAATATCCAGTATAAAGCATGCGATATGTCGTTGTCATGTTTAACATGTACATCGAATAGGTACAGTATTTTACATATTTGATTTACGTAGCTAAATAAGGTTATAACAAATAACATTTATCTTATATTGGAATTAAAACAACTACAAGAATATGCAGTTTAAAAAAAACTAGGTATTCTGAAATCAATATGTTTTTTTTATAAATATGCTATTATGAATATGCTTTCTTATTATTTACTTTCAAATATTTTTGATGATATCATCGTTTTGGTGACACACCTGTTGCGTTGACTGTTGTGTTGGTAACGACTTGGGGTATATTATTGCCCAAGAAAAATGAAGTATTTTTTGAGTTTTCGTTTTACAAGAAAAAAAATAATTTGCATAATAAGCTAATGAATAACCGAAGAGCCGTTGACTTACATAAACCAATTAATGAAATCAATTACAACAATGCATCTTGGCCGATACGTAGCGTAGCTGACCATGGGGGTAGATTTCCGGGGGTAGATGTCCGGGGGTAGATGTCCGGGGGTAGATGTTCGGGGGTAGATATCCGGGGGTAGATGTCCGGGGGTAGATTTCCAGTCGCGGGCTGTTTCTCGACCGTGTATAGGCCCCGCCCCTCGTGACGTCAAAATGACGTAGGCGTTTTTTCATGGGGGTAAATATCCGGGGGTAGAATTCCGGCGACCCTTGGGATATCCCGCATTTCTTTGGTGTCTAAATGTTGTGAGAATAGGTTAAATGTAGCTATCATAGAGTCAAAAGACTATTACTAACGTGTTGAATTAATTTGTCATGTTTAGTTTTGATTTTCAGTAAGTTTGAATTTTGTTCATTGCCCCTTATTGCATGAATCCTATCAAAATAAAGCCGATTTGCCATACTCAGTTGAACATTTTCGGTGCGCTCGAATTAGGCTAATGCCTCCTACCTCCTATTGCATGAAGCTTATCAAACACTCTCTAAACTCTGCCAATCACGATCCAAAGGGTTACTTCACTAAGTATTGAAAAAACCCCAGGGGTAGCTATACCTAAAACCATCTCGCACTGAAAGTAGGGTTAATTTTTTAGCTTTTCATGTGCTTTGAAATAGAGTATTAGAGACTGTTGGCTAAACTGATACTGGAAGAACTAAAAAAATTTGGATGAACATCGAAGAAACCAACTGTGTACATAATTGTATGGTCCCAATAAGATCATATACAATGCTGAGGCTGAATTTCTTTCCTCATGTAGTGTTGAAGATTGCAAACAGTCAGTAATCCTAGCATCTATACAGTTGTCGATGTGTGATGGATGATATTGATATAAATATTGTATTGCAGGTGATTATGCTGGTGTCCACAGCTGCCTTGGATGAGTCATGTGCATCTCTGCTGTGTAAGGCAGACATACTGCTAGGTCTCATAGAGCTGCTTAAAGGTTGGTGGCTTAAACCTCTCTTGGTTCATCTATACTATTGTAGTGAAATGCTCGTTGAAAAAAATCAGGATGATTGAAGTTAGTTGTATTGTGTACACTATGTCGTTATCATGAAATTGAGACAGACACAAAATGCAGTTTATCTCTTTTGGGTGGAAATGGGGAAAATCCTGTTTGTACAATTTTGGTGATGGAAACAGGCTTGTAATGTTGTAACATTTCAGGCAAAACTCTTCTAGTGAGATGATTATTTGTATGGGGGTGGCGGAATTGTACCCCCCTGGAATTGTACCCCCTGCTGGTTTGTGACGTCACGATGACGTCTCATTTTCTCGACCAAAACGGCGTGTACGGGCTGGAATTGTACCCCCCTCATAAAAATTTGATATTGTTATGCACGAGTGGTTTGATTAAATCCACTGGCATCTAAAAAACTGTACGGACCGGAATTGTACCCCCCTGGAATTGTACCCCCTCAGTTAGAACTCACTTTTATTTGACCAGTGTACGGGGTGGAATTGTACCCCCCTGGAATTGTACCCCCCGTCAGTCTAGCCCTTCTTATAGGACCGGAATTGTACCCCCCTGGAATTGTACCCCCTGGTCACGGCAGAAGAAGATGTACGGCCCGGAATTGTACCCCCTGGAATTGTACCCCCCCCCCATTTAACCGAGGAGCTTGTCTATTATGATTACCAACTAAAATTAAAACAATAGTTATGTTGGATATTAGAGGGGAATCACACGAATGTTAAATGAAGCAAGTTACCCGACACCTAATGAATTGCTTGTTGTAAAAGGATACTCTAAGAAACTGCAAATTAAGGCCATTCAGAGTAACGTGCGAGAGGCCTAACAGACTTATTTTTACGTTATTCATTAATATTTTCTTAACCTTCCCAAGTACTAACTGTTCATGGGTTAGCTTAAATTCACAAAGGTTAAAACTTTGACAAACTGTGAACTACTTTGTACCAGACACCTACATTCGGTCGGGACCACGTAAGTTTGCAGTTGAGGGAGGAGCCTATTTACCATATGGTTTTGAATGGACCAATGAGAACCGTGCGGTGTTGCCAAATCTAATAGTACCAGCTGATTTGATAATATTGCTTAGTATATAATAATATTGCTTAGTATATAATAATATTGCTTGTCACCAATGGCTGAATGCTTGTGTAATGAGTACGCAGTTCGGGAATTCAGTGCATTTTTGAGACCAAATCGGTTATGAGATGACCGGAAACCCTGTAACTCACTTACTTGTGAGCGATTTGTTGCTTTACGAAGAATCATTACCGAAGGTCATGGCTCTTACAATAATCCCTATATCTTCGGGCCTGCATTGCTGTTTGCTTAATAGCCTCTTAGAAAAAGCGTTGACCTATGATGTGTACTGTGATTGTGGCTTCGTCTTGTGTATTTTCAAAGTTTGAAGGAGATTAAAAGTTAAATTTTATGATCAGGTTTTATGTTATTAGATAATAGTGTATAAAAAGTATTACAGTAAAAACAAACTAAGCAATAATGCATTCAAGTTGTTCATGGTTTAAGGAAAATAAAACAATATACAGCCCAAGGCGAAGTAAAGTGGCGAAGCCAGATTTTTGGATAATCTCTTCACAATTATAGTTCCTTGGTACAATCACTATATTCTGTACAGGTTTGAAAATCCAACATATGTCACTGTAGAAGGCATTCTCTACTACTTCATTTTCATAATACCAATTACAGTAGGTTTATCGAGTGGGTGGGGGGTACAATTCCAGCCCGTACACAAGCCAAGCTAGCTGTCCAAGAGGGGGGTACAATTCCGGGGGGTACAATTCCACCCCGTACACATTTGGCTTTCTGATGGGGGGTACAATTCCAGGGGGGTACAATTCCACCCCGTACATAAATATTTTGATGTTGGCAGGGGGTACAATTCCGGGGGGTACAATTCCAGGGGGGTACAATTCCGGGCCGTACATCTCCTGCTCTTTTTACTTTCTCCCCCTATACCATAGTATATGGAGAAAGTATTGTTTTCGTCAAAATTTTCGAGTTTGAGTTTTGAGTGGATATATTCGTTTTGGGTCCCCCTCGACCCAAAAAAGTGGTTTTCGAAGTGATGTCTGTGTGTGTGTGTGTGTGTGTGTGTGTGTGTGTGTGTGTGTGTGTCTGTGTGTCTGGATGTGTACAGAGCTAGAGACTACACCTGTGGTCCGATTTCGATGAAATTTGGTATGTAGGTTCTAATCCATGGTATCTCCAGGCGTTTTTTTCATTTTTTTGAAATTTTGATTTTTAATGGGGATTTTCCCATAAAAACCCATAAAAAACCGGAAAAATCGGATTTTCTCAAAAATGGCCCGAACGATTTTGATAAAAATTTAGTATGTTGTAGCCCTTTAAATTCTGAACAAAATGGTACAAATCCCATTTCTGTAAAAATTACGGTTCAAAAGTTATGGTAAATTATGTTATTTTCCCATAAAAACCCCATAAAATAACGAAAAATAGGGTTTTAGACAAAGATCCGGTTTTGATTTAACATAGTATGTTATGGTCCTTACAATTTTGATAGTTTTTTTTCACTTTTTAGAAATTTTTATTTTTAATGGGGGTTTTCCCATAAAACCCCATAAAATAACGGAAAAATAGGATTTTCCCAAAATTGGCCTAAACGATTTTGATAAAAATTTTGTATGTTATAGTCCTTTATATTCTGAACAAAATGGTACAAATCCCATTTCTGTAAAAATTACGATTCAATAGTTATTGTAAATTATGTTATTTTCCCATAAAAACCCCATAAAATAACGGAAAATCAGATTTCCCCAAAATTGGCCCGACCGATTTTGATAACAATTTAGTATGTTATAGTCCTTTAAATTCTGAAGAAAATTGTACAAATCCCATTTCCGTATATTTACTCTCACCGCTTACACATGATAAAGGTTATTGACAAACTTATGGGAGAAAGTATGTGTCAGAATGCTGATACCGTTTATTTATCTAAATATATAAAAGGCAAAGCCCTCACTGACACACTCACTCACTCACTCATCACTAATTCTCCCACTTCCCATTTACCTAGGAGGCTGAAATTTGGTACACCGATTCTTTAGGCATTAAATAGGAAAACTAAGTTGTTTTTATTCTGATCGGACTCTCGGGCTCCGCCCCAGTGGCTCTGGAGTTTCCCATGTTAACCTTATGATTTTTCATATTTAAAAGGAATTAATGAATCTTATCAGCTGTTTCAATTAAACAAGTTGGTTCTGTTCTATGATGTTCAATAGCTTTAAAGTTACAAGGATTGCCAACAGGGTGCAGCACTATTATTATTTTTTTAATTTATGACAACAGCTAATTTGCAACCAAAAGGTGAGTGAGCGTAGCGAACGAACTTCAACCTGGAGGCGAGTTAACGTAGCGAACGAGCTAACCTGAAGGCAAGTGAGCGCAGCGAACGAGCTCCAACCTAAAGGTGAGTGAGCATAGCGAACGCACTTCAACCAGGACGTTCGCGTTTGAGTCATGCGAACGAGCTCATCTTGAAAATTAAGAAGTTAAACGGGGCAAAGCCCGCGGGTACAGCTAGTATCTAATATAATTATCCGGTTCACTGATCACTTGCCCACATTAAATAGATTAGATTTCGTTAAAATCAAAGTGTACGGGGTGGAATTGTACCCCCTCTAGGCGTGACGTCAAAATGACGTCAACGATCTCCGGGGGGTACAATTCCAGGGGGGTACAATTCCGGCGACCCTTTGCATGTATATGTTTTAAACAACTTTAACAAAAAGAAATTGTTCTTAATACTGCATTTTATTCTTTTAAAGAGCTATATTAAATTAAGTAACGTGAATGCTGTTCAACTATTCTAAACCTATTCTACAAACTATTCTTAAAAAAGAGAAAAAGAAAAAAAACATTATCTGAAATGTATTGGGTTAGTTTTATTTTAAGTTTGGACTGCTGTGACACTACTTATTGTATGTTATGTACATGAACAAATAAAGACGATTTGAATTTCAACACGTTCGCTGCGGCCCACCAATAAGGCGTAGCCCTAGAGTGGCGCAGCGTCCAGCGAACCCGTTTGGCTTTCAAATATTTCGGTCTGACTAATAGCAAATGACGTGCGGTGATGTTCTGTGTTACGACAAGAGTCGACGTAGTTTGCTGAAACACCCACAGATAGCAGCACTGACCGGAACTAACCGGTCCCATTGTATTGCCAATTGGAGGGAGAAAGACGGGACAAAAAGTTGATTTCTAAGCTTGCCAGAAGAGGATTTCACGGGAAATTTACTACCAACCTACACCACAATAAAGCACCTATTCCTAGCTAAACCCAGACATAAAATACACTTTCTTCCCGGTGTGTTACTGCGCAGAAATTAAATGGAATGTGGGCGATTTCGACACTCACGGGTGAGCGTTCAGGGTGGCAGAAAGGAACTAGAGCACTCACCGGTGAGTGGCCAGCAGCAAATGTGTTAATCTGCAGCAAAAAATAAGTCGAATCACTCTTTTAATTAGGGCAATCTTAAATGCCAGATTCGTCTCATTATAGTTATAGACGTTTCAAATAATTGAACAATAACACTTACAGTCGGGACCACATAAGTTTGCAGTTGGTGGCAGCCAATCACAAGACAAGGCTAGTGTGACGGTGCCACATCGCCAATGACAACACTAATTAAAATATACAAAGCAATATTTTGAAATCAGCTGGTATTATTAGATTTGGCAACACCGCACCGTTCTCATTGGTCCATTCAAAACCATATAGTAAATAGGCTCCTCCCTCAACTGCAAACTTATGTGGTCCCGACTTTAGTATTTGTTTTCAGCTAAGCAAGAAGATGATGAGATCGTCTTACAGATTGTTTACGTGTTTTACCAAATCGCCCGACATGCTACTACTAGAGACTACTTGATTAGAGAGACGGGTATCCTTTTAATCTTTTATCAAACTTTAAATTTATGAAACCAACAAATATGTGGTTATTGGTGTTGTACAGTGATAAATGAATACCATAATGAACATTTTAGAAGATTTTATTTCATTAACAAACAATTCAACATCATAAGAAAGAATAAATTTGAGCTGGTAATGAAACAGATTAGGTGTGGGCATTAAATCATTGTTCTTGAATCAAAATATAATAATACATTTGTGTTCTCTCGTTTTTATGTTTATCCTTAATGCACAATGTCAGAAGCCCCGGCATATTTGATCGACTTGATGCACGACAAGAACGAAAACATCAGAAAAGTGTGTGACGCTTGCTTGGAAATTATCAAGGTGGGAAATCTACTGTTCTATTTAATATTATTTATTATTGGAATATTACAAAAAGCTTAAGGCTTGCTCTCTATTACTGGAAAAGTCAAGGCTATTGATGCATGATAAAATTATGTTTTATTGATAAAGACGTGTTAGTAGCTCTAGGATGGGTTAAGTTTGCAAAAAATTAATTTTACTTGAGAAAATACTCTAAATTATAAGTTAGATTTAGAATTGTGGTTGTATTGGGTCAAAATAAAAAAATGTTTTTTATTTTATACTAGACATCATGTTTTGACACATTGTTTATGGTTAAAAACTGTTTAGTCACCTCTAATTTAGTAGATTCAATTGCAGTAATTGATCTTAAAGAGGATCCAAGATGAAATATCATCTGCAAATATAATTAGTGTAGGCCTACTGGTTGGCTCAGTTAATGCAAATATGAAGTTCTTTTACAAAGTATATAAACAAAATGGGTCCCAAAATAGATCCCTGCTAGACACCATTGAACTAAGTCTGATTTTTGTCCTCTGTATCCAATTTTTCTGGAATAAAATTGTTCCACAAATCAATTCTAGTGCGGATGTTTGTATAGGAATGTGATGAGGTGTGGGCAGAGAAGATCAAGACGGAACAGTTTGAATGGCACAACTCTCACTGGCTGTCTATGGTAGACAACAAGGCTCTAGACTCTGTGTTGGGAGACGACAGTGATATACTGCCTCACTACGATTTGCTGCAACAGTCTTTGCTGCTACGAACTGGTGAGATCTTTAGAATAGGTGAAATATTTCATTGTCTCTATTAACCTTTGTTTAAGCACTACTGAGGCAAGTATCAATGGAGAACCGTATCGTCTCCTAAAAGTTGGCATTCTAACACAGCACGATGATATGGTCCAACCCAGAAGAAGACGAGTAGGCCTATACATCTTGTTAGAACGACCGCAGTTTAGAAGTATGCATTTTTCATTGCTAAAGAATATAATCAGATGAATTGATTCTTTTTTCTTCCTGAATTCAATCATGTTGATCGATGTACCTCTTTCTGATTACAGTAGAGTCATACATATTTTATCATGTTTTGATTTCTATTACAAGTTGACAACCGTGGTTCCGATCTTGTTCGTCTATTGTTTTGCTGTATTTCTCAAACAAATCTATGTTTCAGGCTCTCAGTCGTCTCTCAACGGTGATGATATAGAAATAGTTTCAAACCATCCACAATCCGATGAAGGCAGTAGACCCATCAGTGGGTAAGTTAATTGTCAGTGTTATATGATAAGGTGTTTTTGGGTGACTTTTTGTATCAGTGATTTTTTTTTTTAATTTATCAGTATTAAGTAGTAATTATTTTCAGCACTGTACACAAATTGTCAAACATTTAATCTACTTTACACAAAACACACACTTGGAACAATTAACATTTGAAATATTTACAGCTGTTCAAATATTAAGTAAACAGTTAAGTCTGGGTAGCTAGGTTGCAGTGCTTGAAATCAGAAGGTCAACAGTCCCAACCCGAGCAAAGTCATTAACATTTTTATCATTCAAAACATAATCCTGCAATCCTTGATCATTGGGTTTTAAATAAATTGTCCTGACCACACAACAGCTAATTTAAGACAGTAACAAAGATACAAAATCATCCATTTCATTTTGGATTAAACTACGTCTTGATTGCTCCCCCGTCTTATAAAGTTATATAAGGGAAATCACAGTATTTTCATAAACATGGTAGAAGATCATAGTGTTTTAGCATTGACTATTCGCATAGATAAAACATACTCCCTTAGTAGATTTCCCATCCTTATGGAACAGCTGAAGCCAATTTTACTGTTAGTTCTGTCCGGTGTACTGTAGAGTGTAGATGTCGTTTTTCTTTACAATTCGTTTATTGTTATTTCAGTAATTTAAAACCTTGTTTAACCAAATAAAACTATCTAATCATAAACAATAACTTGTCTACCAGCTATATAACCAAACAGTGAGGCACAAATAATGAGAAACGAACCCTAAAATAATAGAAACAAAAAGTAAACAAAACACGACATCTACAGTACACCGGACTGAACTAACAATAAAATTGGCTTCAGCTGTTCCACAAGGATGGAAAATCTACTAAGGGAGTATGTTTTATCTATGCTATTGGACACTGAAACAGACATCTCATATATTTATTAATTTTTTATCAAAAAAGAACATAGTTGTGCGAGTAAGTCACAGAATGCGCTTTTGTCTAAAATTATATTGCCTACCTTATTTTTGGTAGCTGACATAGTGGATGGGTCATAACGGTTGATATAGCTCACAAGAAGTTGTTTTGTCAGTTTGACTTGGTAATAAGTTCATGTATTCTACAGAAATAAGTAACTAACATCAGCACAATCTATCGGTAGCTCACACCAACTACGAAGATTTTCATTTTAAAACTGGCGACAACTTTAATATGGAGATGAAATGTCTGGTTGTATCAAGGTCACACTAAAAAAAACAGGCCGTAATGCTCGTCTAGCATGACGTCACGATAGAAGACGGCAATGACGTATTTTTGCCGTTTGTGATCAGCTGCTTGTTTTCATCTTTTCATGGAAAACAAAAATATAATTAAAAATTATATATAATATAATTATATATAATAATAATTATAATAATTATATATATATTAAAATATAATTAATTACGTCATTGCCGTCTTCTATCGTGACGTCATGATTGACGAGCATTACGGCCTGTTTTTTTTAGTGTGGCCTTGGTTGTATCAATAGTCAGAGGTTTAAGTAAGTATTTAGCAAAGACCACAAAATGTGTGGGCTGTGCTCTAATGCAAGTTTGTAATTATTTCAGATACGCGTCGTCAGAGCTAGACGATGTTCTGTTGAAGAGGACCAGAGAAGAGAGTCAGGAAGATGTTCTCAACAATGCTCTACGTAACTTGGTCATATCTGAAGACAATATGGACGACGACGCCAAGTACTTTCACATACAACAAAGTAGTTAAGTCTGGGGATTGAACCACGATATCACATTGAGTGAAACTCAATGTTTAGGAACTTAAAATGTATATCTCTAAAGAGTACTTTAAACTCGCTGGTTTGCTTTACATTATATCAATATTTAAATGAAATGACTGTCAAAAATGCTGTCTCAAACGATAAAGTCAATGAGAATTATTTTTGAACGATTTAAGCTATTTTATTAGTTGAATTTATGATAGAAGCGCAACGTATTTGGAAAGTAAAATGAAATTTATACATTCACATTCCATATTACAAAAGACTTGTGCCATAAGAATGTGGCAATCACGAGATTTTGTGTTGATTAACACATTTTGATCTGAGGCTACTCGCTGTATTTTTTATTACATTTTTTGAGCTTTTTGTACTTTTTTTGAGATTATTAATTTTTTACACATACTTTATTGTGCACTTCAAATAATTTTGTTTTAAAACAAATAAATGAAGTAGTGTACGAACCTCGTAGTTTATCATTTTGTGATATAGTTACTGTTGTATCTAGTCATTAAAAGAGTTAACTTTATTTTTCAAGTTTCTCTAGATATTTATCGTTTTGTTTGCTTTTTTAATAAATCTATTTGATCTCCGTTGCTTGTTTACTAAGTACCCTCCATCAGAATGTAAACTTTTAAAAATCTTGTAAAGGTCTCTAAAACACTTCATATATTTAAATTTAAACAACAATACTTACAACTCAGCAACTAGGTCTTTTCAATCCACCATTTTAATGCCATGGAGTATATTTTATGTTTAGTACCAGGAGACCGAGCTTTGCTCGGATTGAATTAAACATTGAATAAGTTAATTAGCTAAATTAACACTTTTACCAAAACCCCGGTCTGACAGGCCCACGGGAATTTTCAAAAACGCATGTTGGCAACACTGTTTACTTGAGGGATTCCATTCCCACAATACCTTCCCCCCTTTTCCTCCCCTTCCTGTTGATATATTGTTTGTTCGTTTTGTGTGGATGCTGTTGTGATCTTGACAGGTCGTCTGCTCATAATATGCCCGTCTCAGAAGCACAGTGTTAGTGTATTTTAAAGCGGGGTCTCACAGGCCAAGGTTTATGTGTTTCTAAGCGGGTTCCATTATTTTCAAATGGGGTCTAACAGACCCAGATGAGCACATTTTATATGATACAAAGAAACACATTTTAATACACCTTTATAAATACATAGATGCGATAAAAATAACCTGTATCAGCTGTTTTTATTACAATAAAAGGTTTAATTTACCTGTATCCGTCAAGTGATCCTGGTTTGTAGTTAATTGACTACAGCCGTTTCATGTTGTAAAAACACATCTTCAGGTCAAACGTATATACATTGATTTAATCCATGGAATGGTCGTCAAGGTTTAAAGTTAACAAAAATGACACATACACGTACACGAAAACATTAAAACATAAATTGGCCAACACAAAAATATGAAAAACGCGTGATAGGCATCGGACACGTACGGCGCCACTAGAAGGTAGGTCATGACTGTCGTGTGCCGGAAGTGATAGCCCCCCACCATCAGCTGTTATCTATTGTGGTCTAAGATGCGTATGGCGGCATTGTAAACAATGTTCGACTCGAATGAGAGTTTTTCATTTAAGATGTTATCAGGCTGTTTTTTTGAAGCCAAGTTGTGGTTGGAGTTAATCAAATGGTTGGAAAATGCCGACTTAGAGGAAATTTTAGGCAGGTGTTCTTTGAATCGGGTGGTAAATGATCGTGACGTCTGGCCTATGTAGAAGCTTGGGCAGTCGTTGCAAGACAATTTATAGACTCCGGTTTTATTGAATTGTTGTCTACCCCTTCTCGTTGGTATCTTGATTTTAGCATCGAGTCAAGTCTATTTGACGTCTTGAATGCTACAACGATGTTACTTTTTGTCATCTCGCTTCTTAAGGTGTTATTAAGAACAACGCCATACTCAGCACTGACGTATTTTTTATTATTCTCCCCATCCAAACTCGGTCTGGTTGTGTTGGAGTGTTTTTTAATGAGTTTATCGATTAAGGAAGGTTTGTAACCGTTGGAAACAGCAATGTACTTTAATATGCAAACCTCATTCTTGTAATCAGTAATGTTGAGGGGAATGGACAATAGGCGGTGGACATAACTATTATAAGCGGCAATCTTGTGGCTGTATGGATGGTGTGAAGATGCGTGTATTGTCTGATCAGTTGTGGTCGGTTTCCGGTATATCTTAAATTGCAAACTATTTTCGTTCTTTGTAATAGTGACGTCCAAGAAATTTATTGAATTGTTGTTTTCGGTTTGTAGAGTGAAGCTTATGTTGGGATGGATACTGTTTAGGAATGTTCCAAATAGTTTTAACTGTCTCTCGTTGCCATCAAACAAGATCAAAGTGTCATCGACATATCGGCAGTAAAATGACAACTTGTTTTTATGCCGGTTATTATCTGACCATAGGTGCTGATTTTCGAAATGGTTCAAAAATATCTCAGACATGAGGCTGGAAAGGGGGGAGCCCATTGCCAAACCTTTATTTTGAATGTAATAACTATTCTCGAACATAAAATAGTTTTGTTTTAATACACAGCTGACTAGATTCATTAATTCATTTTTGGCTTCTTTCTGTAATTTAGAATGCTTCTCTAAATTATTCCTTAGAATATTTATTGTTTCATCAACAGGTACATTAGTGTATAAATTCACTATGTCAAACGATGCAATAGTATGTGATTTTTTAAGCCTGATATTTTGAACTCTTTGTACTAGATCAACTGTATTTTTGATGCTGTGATTATTTTCAAGGACTATTTCATTTCTAATGATTTTATCTAATTTCTTAGTGATGTTGTAGGCAGGGGAAGGTCTAAAATTGACTAACGGTCTCACAGGAACATTGGGTTTATGTATTTTTGGTAACCCTTGTAAAATTGGTGGTTGGGGGTTGGTGACCTTTGTGTATCTTATTTCGTCTTTGGACAATAGATTAGTAGATAGAGAAATTAATTTATTTATTTCCATTGAGAATGATATAGTGGGATTGTGGCGTAGTTCATCAATATTATTATTTGTGATAAAGTCGTGGACTTTGTTTACATAGTCATCTTTACTAAGGACAACTAAACAGTTCCCCTTATCGGCTTTTGTGATAAGAGCGTTGCTTTGTTGCAGCTTGTCCCTTATGTTTGCTGCAACTTGTTTCAATGACCTGTACTTAGACAAATACTTTATTCTAGATGTTGGGTTGTTGATTGTTTTCTTTACTTTATTGGAAATCATCACTCTAGTTGTATCTCGTGCTTCGGTTGTTTTTAAATATTTTATTGCTGTTTCGGCATTGAATAACTCGGATATTAGGCTATTTTTACGGTCATTTGGGAAGTTAAAATTTAATCCTTTATTTAAAAGATTGAGCTCTGCATCCGAAAATGTGATGTCGGTTTTGTTTATCACTCTAGGGTGAAAAACATGATTGCATTTAAAAAAAAACATGAAAAACATGAAAAAACAGCCTGATAACATCTTAAATGAAAAACTCTCATTCGAGTCGAACATTGTTTACAATGCCGCCATACGCATCTTAGACCACAATAGATAACAGCTGATGGTGGGGGGCTATCACTTCCGGCACACGACAGTCATGACCTACCTTCTAGCGGCGCCGTACGTGTCCGATGCCTATCACGCGTTTTTCATATTTTTGTGTTGGCCAATTTATGTTTTAATGTTTTCGTGTACGTGTATGTGTCATTTTTGTTAACTTTAAACCTTGATGACCATTCCATGGATTAAATCAATGTATATACGTTTGACCTGAAGATGTGTTTTTACAACATGAAACGGCTGTAGTCAATTAACTACAAACCAGGATCACTTGACGGATACAGGTAATTTAAACCTTTTATTGTAAAAATCAGTGATCCAGAGGCTATACCATAAAAATGTTTTTATTAACTGTAGCTACAAAGTATATTGACGATAACATGGGCACTTTAAAGGGCTGTAGGGCGGAAACTGGATTTTTCCCAGCCTTGTGACCAAGTCCAATCTAATTCTCGTGGCCAAATACCCTATATTATAGAAAAAAAATTAAAATCCTTGGACAAAAATATAAGTTTGTCCGGACACGCTCTTGTTTTAGAGTATAGGATTACCGGTACTAGTTAGTTGATAGTACATTAGGAATATATCATTCTAAGGAAATAATTTAACGTCCACTTTTCATTTTTATAATGTTTTATTAGAGGTTTATAATCACATAGGTGTAAAACATAAATTGACCTGGATTATTGACTTAAAACTAATGTTGCTTAGTCTTCAAAAAAATTAAAATAGTTATTGTGAAAGTCTTGATTTCACCTATAGGATTTGATAATACAATAATTGATTGAAACTAAAAGTTCATATCAACTATTTAGGCACATCAACCTATAACACACACAGATCCATTAAAGCCTTAAGTTTCAATAGTATAGGACATATAAGCTATAACCACTTAAAAATAGTTTTGTAGAAAAATTCATTTTTCTTTTATTAACAAAAATTATTAAAATAAGCATCACTTAAGTGTAAGAACTACATAATTCCCTGTGTTTATTTGAAAGAACTTACCAGCAGGAGACAAACTAGTCCCTACCCTCTATTTACTCCGTGACTCTCCACAATAAACCTTCCCTTAACCACTTGTCCAAAATAAATAAATGTATATTTATCGGCTTTGATTTATAAAACTAGCTAGATATAACTGAACTTTTCTATAAATTGAGAGACTTCTATTCCCATTCATTCAGTGGGAATAAAATAAAATTGTGTCCATACTGATCAAATTTTGGACAAAGGAAAAAGTACTAACTTTTTCAAACCAATTGTAGAGAGTCAATGTACATTCTGTGAGTACTCATCAATTTATGCCAATATTATGAGTGTTTGTATTTTTGTAATTACAGTAAAATATTTGAACTGGTGGAAATATCTGATAGTATTCCTATTTTCGTATGTAACTTATTTCAGTATTTTTTAAAGTATCCCAATTTTCCAAAAGAAAATGTATATTTGCAGTATGGTAGATACACATAATCTCTAAGGTATAATAAACTGGTGCAGCAATGTAACACAACCACTTTGCACACTTTCCATGTTACTTTGATGGTTTGTGTTTGTGGAGTCTATTGTGGAAGCTCGATTGGAATGATTTTCACAGCTCTTCGCCAAAACCTTCTTACAACAGAGATCTCTTGAGAGTGCTCTCTACCAGAGAGAACTGAACAGGTTTTGGCTGCGTAGAGAACTGCTGCGGAACTGCGGTGAAGCTATGCAGTGAGTCGTGAGCTGCGGCCAACCCCACAGATACACATTCAGCCTCAGTCAGACCGGCCAACATACCACTGATGACGCCTGCGGCCAGGCTGCATAAACAAATATATCTTACATTTATGTTATTGAAGCAATAATTGCAGACATTTCCTTCAAAATTAGTCGAAACAAGTTTTTGCACTGTTTCGGGATCTGATCTCGTCTTCAGTCAAGAAAATACTATAAAAATAATATGTTCACAAATGGATGGGTTAACTAATATTTTAGGTATTTTCTCATCTGAGGATGGAATCAGATTCCAGATTCCAATTGTTGTCAAAAATAAAAGTTGTTTGTCAGTAATTGTGAAGGAATGCTGTAATCCCTCAAATGACATAATCTAACCATTACCAAATTGAAAGTCAAACAAAGAATTAAATGTTGAACAAAAAACTGTACATACTAATTCAGTATTTCAGCTACAATTTCTCAGACTATCCCACTTGTGCTATAATCAACAACAATAAATCAAATTTGAGTGGATATTAATTTAACACAAAAAAGCTGTTCTGATATATTTTATATAAAAAATAATGATAGTGTGAATGTGTGAAGTAATTCATTTTCATTGAGCACCTTGGGCAAACAGCAAACTGTCATTGAGTATTTAAGTACCTACAGCAAGTAGGCCTACTGCAATAAAAACAATATCTCTTAAAAAACTAAAACTTAAATTGGCTATGTGAAACTTTTGTAATTCCTGCATTAATTATTTCTGTAGGCCACTTGAAAAACCACCCATAACTCCAAAATTACATAATGTATGAAAGTACATAAAGACAGGGGTTAGTATAGTAATTCTTACAGAAAATCTGGTAAAATTAAAATTATCAGTATTAAGAATCTATTTTTCAGGTGTCCGAACGAAGATTCGATAAATTTTGCCATCGACATATTACTATTATTAAGTTATTGATAAATTGCAGGTTTAAGAATTAGTTTTTACTTTTCGAATTATTTAATCAGTAATTTTATTAAATAAAAAAAGAATAAAAAAAGGGTACTCATGTTATTTTATATATTATTTATTAATCAGTAATATATAAAAATTGCATACTTGTGTCAGTCAATATGTGTAATCATAAATTTTGTTTCTTTAACTGAAAATGCTTTTTCCGATAACTAAAATAGCGAACTATAATAGCGCTAAAACATAATTCCAGAAGTTGGCGCAAAAACACGTTGAAAAGTTTAGTATGAAAAAGTACGACCTGAACTTCCTGGAATTACTCATGAATTTTTTCTGGTTGGCTTCGTGGATAACCTGGTTAACAGGTGAAAGATTATTTGATTTAGTAAATATACTCACCAGTCCCCAGCTCCTGATACACTCTGTACATGGTCGAGAGGAGAGCAAGCGTAGTATCTAGCAGTAACTGAAGCTCCAGGATTCGGTCTACCAACCATCTGTAATAAGCATAAAACACTACAAACCACACATTTCAGACTTATTAACCCTTGATTTGGGCACACTGATTCTGAAACACTCAGGGAAATGTAAGTTATAAATTATTAGTGCAATTAAGTAGAGAAAACAGAATTATTGACCAATTTTAATTAGTTACGTCATTGACTTTTGTAAACTGAAGCCAATAATCAATATTTTGGGGGAGCGAGCTGTAGTGGTAGACGAGGGACTTTAGTCCTTGAGGCCCCAGGTTCAAATCCCGCTAAATCACCGATGGATGTGATCTAAGTAATCATGACACAACCCCTAATAATGTAAATAATAGTATGTGAGTAATTGTAATGTCAAAGACAAATCCAAGTTCATGCCTAGAATCCTGACAAGTATCAGATTCTATTAGTGGTCAAAAGGTCGGGTTCTACTAAAATTAATTGCATACAGGTTATAATAAAAAATAAAAAAAATAAAATTGTGATGCTGCTTAGTAAAAAGAGAAAAATCTAGTGCAAGAATCACAAACACTGTGCACTATAGAGGAAAATTACATTATTTCCATGAGAGTAGTCTTTCCTACTCAAACCTTCATTTGTTGAAAATGCTGTTAGTGAGAGTAAATTTCTCCTATTTTTATGTTCAATGTAAAGTGGTTGCGAATATTTATTTTACAACGCTACAAAACAGCATATGCACCATTGTGCCAAAATGGCTTATTGTACCAGATTGGACTTTTTCCCATTTGGGTAATCCTACTGGTAAAACAAAAACCCAATCCAAGCCCTCATGCTCTATGTTATATTAAGCTCAATATAATCTACTATACAGTAATTTCAAAATAAGAAGCAGCTAAAGACCTGTTATTCTTATAAGAATCTGAATTATGAGGCTATATTGTGATACACTCACCAGCACCCCTAGAGCTCCCAATGTAACCATGACAGTTTGTATGTGTTTTGCCAGAGGCGACGCCATACTCACCACTTCTTCTAGGCTGGTGACTTGGTCTTCACCAGAACCTACATCCAACCCTGCAAAGAATACGTGATCAGTGAAATAAAACCATCTTACTTTATTCACATCTTTAATCCTTGTGTACGTGATCTGAAGATGACTCTACAGCGTTGAAACCGGTTGTGACATAAAAACAACGAGTTGGATGTCTTGAATGCAAGTATTTAAACCCCTTTTGTTTTTATAGTTGCCATATTTTTATTGTTTAAACATTTTTAGTCAAGACTAGAGGTTCTAATGAAGACTGAAAACTGATTTTGTTCCATTTACAATTTTTTCATCATTTACAAAAAATTTACTCAAGATTTTAAAAAACCAACTTAAGTTTTTCTTGTAAGGAAAGTCCTATCCCACCCCTGTCACAGAAAATCAGGAAGGAAATCCCAAAAGAAAATTACGATCCCGTCCATCCCTAAACCAGATTATCGTCGCTAAACTGCTAGAGCTTACCTGAGAGTCCAGTGGCTAATTGATATACAAAACGTCATAAAAATTAACACTCATACAGGGTTAGTAAAAAGTGTGGAGACCCCCTATTATTTTTTTAACGGCCCATACTAGAAAAACTAAACTCGGCACACCATTATGGCATGTTATGAAATACTTTTTGGGCATAACCGCCACTTGGTGTACATCCCCAAAATGGGGGATTTTGGGGGAAACTAAAAAAATTCAAATACAAAGACGCATCGAGTGACCCCTCATTTTAAAGGTCCTGGTAAAAGAAAACCAACAACGCAAACTAGAGGTCTCTATCTCAGTTCATTACAAAATGGCAGCCAATTGAAATTCTCATAAGTTCCCAAACCCAAAATGGGGGATTTTGGGGGAAACTAAATAATTTTAAATGATAAGCCCCATTGAGTGACCCCTCATTTTGAAGGTCATAATAAAAGAAAACTAACAACGCAAACTATAGGTCTCTATCTTAACACAGTAAAATATGGCAGCCAATTGAATATAAAATTGCAAGTTATTTCCGATTTCTAAAGATTTCAATCAGCTTCCATTTTTTACTGGATTGAGATAGAAACCTCTAGTCTGCGTTGTTAGTTTTCTTTTACCAGGACCACGAATGAGGGGTCACTCGATGGGGCTTATTATTATTTAAAACTTTTGAGTTTCCCCCAAAATCCCCCATTATGGGTTTGGTAAGTAAGTGGCTATTAGGCTTAAAAAGTACTTCATAACATGCCAAAAAGGTGTGTAGAGTTTAGTTTTCCTAGTGTGAGCCGCTACAAAATTTACAGGGGGTCTCCAGACTTGGAAAGCTGTAAGTTAAATTCAACTTCTGAGAATTTCAATTGGCTGCTATTTTTTACTGGATTGAGATCAAGACCTCTAGTTTGCGTTGTTGGTTTTCTTTTACCAGGACCTTCAAAATGAGGGGTAACTCGATGGGTCTTTGTTTTTGAAATTTCCCCCAAAATCCCCCATTTTGGGGATGTACACCAAGTGACGGTTATGCCCAAAAAGTACTTCATAACATGTCATAAAAGTGTGCCGAGTTTAGTTTTTCTAGTATGGGCCGTTACAAAAATAACAGGGGGTCTCCACACTTTTTACTAACCCTGTACATTACTCTAATAGAGAAATTATTCAAAGAGTAACTTATATTGAGGAGTTTGAAGAGAATTTCTCTAATCTATGAGCCCCTGGACTCTTCTCTTTCTCAGGTAAACTAGCTGAACTCTATTCCTTAAAAACTCTTATCAGTCATTTGCATTTCATTTAACATATTATTTATTAGTTATGAATTACATCATGATTATTCACTTACCTACAAAGGTGGCAATTTTTCTCAGCTCTTTAATGTTGGGTGTTATAAGACTAATGCCCTTCCAAGCATCACACATGAACGGAATGGTAGCTTTCGATACGTCGGTGGGTTCGAACACCACTGAAAAATTATATTGTTGTACAGTACTCGCTTCTTATGGTTTTATAAAAATAGCAATTATATAGTCTTATATTGTATTACTCATAGCATGACCCAATTGAAATGTTATCTAAGTTTTTACCAACCCTCTAAATAAAATATGGCCTCTTTTTACGCTAATAATAAATTGGAACTAAATAAATTAAAATCAATAAGCTTGGTTAGCTACAAAACTTTACATGTAAAAACAGGTCAAAAAAGTAAAAGAATATTCAGCTTAATGTTTCACATTGATTGGCTTTCTTCATTGGTAGTATAAATCATCATGTTGGTCAAATTTGTTGAAAACATTTTGTTATAAACCAACACAGTTCAATGGACAATTTAAATATTTATTCTATGAGAGTGTATCATGATAATACAGTTTGCAAATACAACATTGGTGAAACATGTAGTGGATTTTATACCTTGTTGAGCTGATAGCATAATCTATGGATGATCTAGTTTTGTAAAGAGCTAAAACAATAAATTCAAATTTTAATATGAACTCTTAATTGGTTACAACGTCCTTCACCATTAATTAGTAGATACCATCCAACAAAAACTGACTCTATCTTTCCAGAAAATTAAATCACCGTTCAAATAAATACTCAATTACACAGCAAAAGTTTTGTAAAACAATACTATTCTGTTACTTTTTGCTTTTGTCACCTACCTGGAATACCATACTTGGAGCAATGTTCAAGCACAAAAAATATTGTCTCTGCTGGAATGTTCCCATCAATGACAACTGCCAGAGGATCTTGCAGATATTTGCTCACCTACGGGGAATTCAGTCATGAGACTGGGAACAAAATAGTAAAAACAAATCATGAACTTTTTCCATCTATTACTAATCTCTACATAGTAGAACGAGCGGTTGTCAACACCCAAACACATGAACATAGTTAACAAGTGGGTAAATATTTATATACATCATACTTTTTTTTACGATATCTATTTATTAGTCGGAAATACATTGATGGATTGGGAAATCTGCAGAACCAAATTTAACAGTGCTTCAACGTTTCAAACCTAGCAAATCACAATCAATCTGTTCTTTGTGAACCAATGTTATGCAAAGATTGAAAAAACATCTACAAGTTTATTTTTGCACAAGGCTCTAAATCTATAAGTATAAAAGAGGATGTTTGTATATATATATATATATATATATATATGTTTGGCAGTGATAAACTCAGACACCGCTGAACCGATTGCCACGAAACTTGGTACATACGTGTAGAATTTCATGGAATAGGTTTATACACCATCAATTTCGTGATCCGTCCAATCGGCTCCGCCCCAGTGGCTCTGGAGTTTCCCATGTTAACCTTATGGGAAATGGAATTAATGAATCTTAACAGCTGTTTCAATTAAACAAGTTGGTTCTGTTCTATGATGTTCAATAGCATTAAAGTTACAAGGATTACCAACAGGGTGCAGCACTATTATTTCTTTTACATTTAATTATGACAACAGCTAATTTGCAACCAAAAGGTGAGTGAGCGTAGCGAACGAACTTCAACCTGGAGGCGTGTTAGCGTAGCGAACGAGCTAACCCGAAGGCAAGTGAGCGCAGCGAACGAGCTCCAACCTAAAGGTGAGTGAGCGTAGCGAACGAACTTCAACCAGGACGTGATTGAGCCGAATAGAAAGACCAAAAATATTGTCTACCCACTAGCATTAATATAAGAGCAATAATAAAGAATCGGTTATCCTTTGTACTATATGTGTTTCATTAGTTGTCGTACGTATTTTAATTTAGTTATAAGCACTTCATATACAATAAGACAATTAAACGTTACGGTACTTAAATTATAAATAGTCAAAGGCAAGACAACGTCTGTCGGGTTCAGCTAGTATAGTTATAAAAATGTTGTTCTTTGCTTAAGTTTTAGCAATCAATATAGTCAAAGATTTTAGGAACAGCTGTAAAAATTAAATACTGTGCTATTAAAATATCAGCAACAGTTTAATTTTTTCATACCTAGACAAAGTTACACCTTTGACTATCAATAGTCAATGGTTACACATAAGCTTAGCTTAATTTTGGTTTCTGGTAGATCTACAGATGTATGAAGTTGTTTGTTATTTTTAATTTCCTTAAAACATGTATATAAAGCTTTACATAAATTAAAGACAAAACAAAAATATATTGACGATCTCAATAAAGGTTTATTTTTGGAAACCATAGTGGTATTCAGGATCAACCACCTAACTGGTGAGTGATTGCTGCTGGAGCCACTGAGGACCTCTTTAAAGTGAAGGCAAAAGTCCGACAGAATACATGATAAATGCCCAAAACCCTCACAAATTTTGACACTGGTTATAAACTCCCAAAGATGAAGGATTTTTGTCAAAAAAATTGAATCACTCCAATTAAAAAAGCCAAGGACCAAGCAAGTTCTGAAGTGACACGTTGATGACAGCTACTCACATGTTCTGTAGTAATGACGTCGTGGATAGACATGTCGCCCACTCCTAACCTCATCTCTCCACGATGGTCCAACACACAGGTGTAGCTGGCTGTCTGCTGCTGCTTGGAAACCAACACTCCACTGTGATCCTACCAACACAGTCAGAACTTACTTCATGATACAACCATAATTTGGACATAATTTATTTTAGCATTTCATAACTCCAACGTGCAAATATTCATTCAGGTAGGATAAAAATAAACTATTCAAGGTCTGGCAGATCGGTAGACATCAGGAGCATTTGGCAGACATCGGGTGCGATTGGAAAACGTTAGGAACAATCAGCATGTGCCGTGCACAATCAATAAGTAGACAGTAATAACATTAAAAATCTTTACTACCCTTCAAAAATTTTTGGGTACAATAGGGTTTGTCATTTAAAAAATTGCCTACATAATATCACGATGTTATTAAATATATATCAATATCTAATCAAAGAATAACAAAGATAACTTTCATAGGGTGGGATCGACAGACGTCGGGTACGATTGGCAGACTTTGGGAACGATTAGTAGACATCAGACGCGATCGACATTTGTCGGGTATGACAGAAGCCATTGGGCACAATCGGTAGACGTTGAAAACGATTGGCAGATGTTAGGCACGATTGGCATATTTTGGGGGTGACCAATCAGTATATGTCGCAAAAAATTCCAAACCCAAAATATCCTGAAAAAAATCGTTACTGGAGTTTGGACAAATTTGTATCCTGAATTTTTGAGTTTTGTATAACCACAGAGAAGTAAGGAACAGGGGATAAATTCCATGGTACACTTAAGGAGCATGGTCTCCCACTAGTTTGGTCTTCCACTAGTGCTGGTGTCTAGGGCCAAGTGCTGCACTTCAAAACACTTACCTAACCTAATAAAGCCCCAAACTCTCATTATGCCCGACCTACCAGCCTAAATAAAGAAACCTTAAAACGATAATTTTGGAGTGAAAAAATTGTTTGCTCCAAAAGTACCAGAAGGAAAATTGCTTGTTGCCTAATTTTGCCAAATAAAAAAGCGAGGATGATCAAGTTTGGTGAGTCGGTGGCTCAGTCGGTAGCGTCGCGGACTTCGGGCCCAAGGCAGCAGTGTCGTGGGTTCGGATCCTGGTCACTGCCACTAACTTTTATCAGTACAGTTCACCTTTGTACTGTACCGGCTCACCCCCTGCTTTGCTGGATACGTTCCACGCACAGATCTGTAGTCTATGTGGACGGGCAAATGCAAGGTTAAAAGAGGCCGCCAACCTCTTTTTATTAAAAAAAAAGTCAGCTCTAAAACCTAATGGATAAATACCGGTACCGAAGTCCTCCTGAGTTCTCTTGTACTCACCAAGTGGTTGACAGTTTGCTCTATGAGGTAAGTGCCGTACAAATCGTCCCCGACTGCAGAGACGAGTTTAGGCTGGAGATAGGGTGACAGTTTGGCCAGTGCGTCTGCTATGTTACGTCCCACGCCACCTCCACTCGAACGGATATGTCCCTGCAATGTGCGCCCCTCCACCTGCACTGACGTTACAATATATTATTTTATTAAAATATTTGTGGAGAATACAGTGAAATCCCAGTTATAAAGTAAAAGAAGGGGTGACTTTTGAATAACCTTTTTTCGGTTCATCAATGGTTGGAATTCAAAGGCTAGATCAGTTTAAAAAGATCTACAATGGTCGTATTTTACGTTAATTACTGTCGTCTTAAAATCTACAACTGTAAACACCAGGTACAATGACTCCGGCCAAGATAGAACTACTGAAGCCACGACAGACAGTTCCTGTTGCCAAGCTGATTTTTTAATTGCTTTGAATTTTTTATTATGGTTTCGGTTTATTAACGTGCGATTAAAAGCTATTTCAGTGAAGTACAATGCATTAAAAATTAGGTGTTTAAGATTGACATCAAGTCCTTTTCTGTTCGGGATCATCAAGTTCCTAGCTGGCGTTACGTTTTCTGGGAGTTTTTTTTAGAAGAGAGCTTCCATGTTGGCATTTTTTCATACAAGCTTTATACAAGGTAATCTGTAAATTAGAATGACGAAGGCAGAAGCGTTTCTTGTGTGATGTTAGTGCAGGTCTTTGTTTCTGATTTAGGAGGTGAAGACTGCATGGATGATTTCTTTGTGTGTGTTGAGTTAGGTTACCGTAAGGGAATGCAGTAGGCCAACTTTAAATGCTTCTCAACAGCTTCATTGCTCTTTGAGTCATTAAGGATTCTTATCGTCCCTTTTAGATGTATCAACTTTACTGATCAGGGAGGGTTAATTAAACATTTTGCATTATCAACAATTATTCAACAGCTATGTAAATTATTTTTTTATCGAAGGTTTCAACAGTTCATTTGTAAGATTTGGTTACAAAGTTGAGAAAAAACACAGATAAAATTATATAATACTAGCAGAATACCCGTCCTTCGTACGGGGTTTGCATATAAGTATAAAATGCTTATTGCAGTTATACTCATGCTTTGTGTTCGCAATGGAAGAGGACACAGTTTGAGAAAATTTGGTTCTTTTAATTTACGGAAGCTATAGTATAACATATAATATAGCAATAATGTTCTACCATTACTACACCTAAACAATAAAGAAGTAAATTATCGAATATCCGTACAATATAAAAACATTATTTATAAATTAAAACATAAACTTAACTGTAAATAATCCTACTTTAACGGTTCTCATTGTGCATCACAGCCTTTTGTTGCGGCTTGGTTCAAATTGGCTGTTATCATGAATGAAAAATCAAATAATAGTGCTGCACCCTGTCGGTGAACCTTATAACTTTTAAGAATATTTAATATCATAGAACAAATTGTGTAATTGAAACAGCTGACAAAATCCTTTAATCCCTTTTAAATATGAATACTCATAAGGTTAACATGGGAAACTCCAGAGCCACTAGGGCGGAGCCCGAAAGGATTTCTGAGATAAGAATATGTCTATATGTTAATCGGGAATGTGAGCTATAATTATACTAAATTTCAGCCCAATCCGACCAGTAGTTAAAGCGTGATTGAACTTCAAACAAACAAACAAACAAACAAACAAACACACAAACTTTCACATTTATAATATTAGTAAGATAAGATCGTATTAATAACACCTCCAAATCTGGTTATCACTATTTCACATTTATTTCATAGTCAGTATGTGTGGTGGTATACACATGTGGGGTGTACAGTATTGTATTTTATAATAGCAACCAAGTGGAGTTAAAAAGTAAACATATCACAACAGTCAATAAATGTTTCTATGGAAACAATTTACATCTACAATCAAATGACTGCCAAAACACTGAATGAATGCTGTTAAAATTTTGCAGTCAAATTTGTAAACTCTTATAGTAAAAGTGACTTCTGAAGAGTGTGATCAGGAAGAGCAGTTCCGAGCAATACTGGGCAGAGTTTGTCCATTGGCTGCCCCGCCCCGTTGCTCCAATCAGAAGTGTAGCAAGTGACCACTAGTAAGCAACCAAATGAAGACTAGAGTGGGAGTTTATGAAACCCGGCAGCATCTTGAAAAGATGCTTCATCAACGCAACGAGATGTTTCGGGCCAAGAATGAATAAGAGAAAATTAACACTATGGATGAGGTGATGGAGCTAAGGACTTCAAGAGGAAAAAACTGAAGAGATGAAAGTCAAAGGAAATAAATCAACCACTCAACGATTTGCCTGAGGATGAGTTGAAGCGGAACAACAAGGAGAACATCAAGGCCTTCAGGGTAACAGAAAAAGAGAGCGTAAAGCTAAGAACTTCTAATATTAAGTGACTATGTATATATAGTGTTAAGTTACTTAATATGTATCTAGTATAAGTACTTTTGTATTAATATTAAGCTGACCGAGTGAGGTGGCATCATGCCATTTCACATTCGGGAGGTCTGACTATCAGACCGACCATTCCGAGGGGAGTTTGTACGGTTTCTTTCCTCACTTAGGCAAATGCCGGAATGGTTCCCTCAAGGGCCGTACCCCGCCAGGCAGAATGGAAGATAGAACCCTGTTCTAATTCTGTTTGGTTTCATGCACCCCAATTAGGAGACCCATAAATAAACATATTTTCCCCATTCTTGTTTTGACTTTTTTGTTATCCTTTAACTAGTGAAGAGAGGATTAAGTTAGAAATATTTTGGATTTTAATAGCTGGTTTTGGTTTTTTTGCTGTATAGTCTAAAGGAGTAGTAAAAGGTGTAAGGAAACAGTAAAAAGTAAATGAGCATTTCAGTTTCAGGGGGACTACTAGCCATGTTCTTAGGACTGCTAGTATCAGCAAAATCGGCATTTGATTTATGGTTATGTGATTTGCAGTGCATAGAAAACATAGAGCTGAATGTGGACATTAATTCAAAATCCTCACATGCGGACATTAGAATCATATTTCTTCCTACCGCACCACTTATTTGAAAATGCTGTAGGTCACAATAATGAAATATTCTTATTTTCTAAAGTGAGAGGTTTTTGACTTTCTTGTACAAAGAGTGATAGTAACACATTTCTTACTAAAAACTCATTTCACACTTTTTCCCAGTTCAAGTCTTTGTTGGTTAAAAATGCTGTTATTGATGCAGAAATATTTTTATATTTGTATAAAGGATTTTTATTTCTTGTGCCAGGATGTACTCTTTTCTATGTAGTTAAGCCTGCTATCCCGACAACAATCCTTAAAATTTAGGCCCTTGTGCCCAATAATCCATCATGAATTTGTCCCATCAAAAGAGTTTCATTATCAATCTATTGTATTGACTATTTAAACCTAAAATCTTACTCTCTGTTAGGAAACACTATTTGGGAATAGCTCTTTTAATCAAACTGAAAATTGACTTAGTTGTTTTACAAGTGAAAGAAATAATAAATTAATCTTATATTTAGTTTTGTACTCTGTAACTAAGATTTTTATTGTGATATCTAACTGAACATTACCTTAAACGGTTCTTTCACAGACACTACAGAATCCATGTTTGATCCTCCAATGACAATCTGCATAAAAATAATCATTTCGATAACCATAGTACTACGTAATCAAATGGCATAACTAAAAGTTTTATTAATAAATCAACATGTCTATGTTTACCAGTAGTAAAAAAAAATACTAACCTTAGTTTTCCTCAATAAAACTAATTTTGTAAAAAACATAAATTAATTTTTATTTACTTGTGTTCCTCTTAGGTGCTTCGTTAACTATTTAGGTGGTTTTGAGGGGATGAGATTCCATCCCTCCATCTCACCCTAACTCTGAAACAACAGCCAACAGCTGATATGTAGATTAAATATAAAAAAGTGGTAGGGGAAACCAGGAAACCTTATCCTTAAACCACCTAAATTTTTGTGAACTGACTATAGGTAATTAGACATTACAGCCCCATCCCCACATTAAATTTGTAGCCAGATCTTTTGTCAAAATCATCGTATTTGATGTGAGCCATCGACAGATTGCGCTGATCTAAATTACTAAATTATGTCGAGTACACAAACGTTTTTACCAAGTCAAACTTAGGGAATGACTTATGGTGAGCTATATAATCTTTGATGACTCATCAACCTGGTCAGCAACCAAAAATAAGGTATAAAATAGAATTTTGGACACTAGAGTATTCTGTGACTGGCTCACACATTTAAGTTGATTCTTGATCAAAAATTAGCAACAGCTGGTCCATATAGATGGGATGTCTTCTTCAGTATCCAATAGTCAATGGTAATACTATACATTTACCATTTGTGCAAAACAACATACAAATAAATATTTGCTATAACAAGGAATCAAAAACTAAGTATAGAGAGTTTTGTAACTTAGTTTGTAGATCTAGGAATTTATGAAATAATATTACAAAAACAAAATAAGCCTTACAGGTCGTAGTTTTGTAGCTCTTGAAGATGAATGTATGTTTGGAAATGTTTGGCGCTTTATGTTGTTAAATTCTGGTTGTTTGACTGTGTCTTTATTTATACTCCTGAAATGTTATGTCACAACAGAATAAATAAATAATGCAGTCAAGAAATAAAATCAACTAATAAAAATATAAAAGAAATGTTTAAATTTTAAAACTTTTACCCAAAAGGACATAACACCCTCGCAAAGATCAGGACGATCAAGTTTTTGAACTTTTTCATGCAAGGTTACTCATGTAAGCCAAATTTCATTCAAACATTAAACTTCTGTAAAGTAGGCCAACATCGATACTATGCCTCTGTTTCACAATAGTAATGTTGATGAAACTAAATGTCATATTTTCACTGTCCAAACATTATTCTCCCAACATAGAAATGCCAAAAGTTAAATAAAACTCACCCAGAGGTTTTATCTGCAAGAGCAACAGCTACTTTGGCACCAATCATAGCATTATTCTTTATCAGGGCGATGTCTGTGAAACATATTAAGGAATTTGAACAGAAACAGTTTTATCCCTTTGTCGGTGTCTTTGATTTTAAAACATGATCGGTGACACACAAGAGTTTTTTTTTTTGTGTTGAAACATTCAAGACAAAAAAATTTTTTATACATCAATAATACAAAAATGTATTATAACAATGTAATCAATAAATGCTACATAAAATTAATAAAAACTCTTACTTTACATATTTATAAAATATATAGCAAACATAAACAACACAATCGGTGACTCACCAAGCCGGGCTTGTGTGCTACCCGACTTTTCAGGCTTCAACTGATTAATAGGGGTTTTGCGAGGAACTAACTAACAAATGTATTTATTAAAAAATATGTTTTTTCTTTTGTACAAGGATACTTGTATGCAAGGATTTTCCACCAGTGACATCCTTCAAGTGCTCCAGGATGAAGGGAGTGACATCTTTCCCTTTGATGTTTTTCTCTTCAGCCATCTTGAGAGCATTTTGAATGGCTGTCTCCATTGAAGCATCTAAGAAAAACAATTGACTTAAATGAAACCTTATGTTTCTGTACGTTCACAAATTGTCCTCAGCTTACACAGGTAACAGTGTTATAAACACATTTGCTTGTAGCAGTCATGTTAAGTAAATCAGTCACCAAGAGAACAGGTTTTGAGTGAGGCTAAATGTTAAAAACTGTTTTCCTCCTGAGACTGTACCATCAATCAGCTGGTGCTCCCTGGGTACAGGCACTGCCAGCAGTGTTCCACTCTGCAGCTGTAGTTCCTGCTGAGACTGTACTAGGGCTGCCACCTCCTCTGGTGTGCTGAGACTGTACGGAGCTAAGAACTCGCTCTTCTCACAGTAGAATGCTGGGAACTGTCTGCTTGAACCGTACACTACCACACACACTCCTTGCGTTTCCTACGAAGGATGTACCGATGGTAGTTAGTTTTTATTTGAAATAACAAAACAAAATCAATATTATTTAATCATTGGCTAGAAAGATTAAGAAAGAGTGACCAGCAGTTTAGAAGTTTTAGTTTTGTAGGGTTGGTAGTGGTTAGTGATAACCAGGTTCAACTTTGTCAGTTTTAAGTTCACTGGAAATATGGTCATCTAAGTTGTGGTTGCTGTAGAAAATTGTAAGTAGTTTTAATATTGTTTAGTAATAAGATTTTAGCTGATTTATTGTATATAGCTTTGTAGAAAGCACTTTTGGAAAAAGATGAAAAGGAATGAATAGTTTTCAAATCAATTTTAATGCATTTCACAAGAAAAGAAAACAAGTAAAGTTTATACAGACCTGTTGAGTTTTGTTCTAGGAGAAGCACATTTTCACAAGAAGTTGTAAAGATCTTAAATCTACTTTTAATTATTAGAATTTATAGAGAATAGTTTTTATTGGGTTTCTGTGATGTTTTCAGACAGAAATCAACCACTTCTTGGTACTACCACTTCTTGTTCACCTTCTTATGATTGGTCCAGTAGCTTTTTGCACCACTTCTAGTTTGCATGGTATCTGCTAGTGCCAGTTTTGACCATAAAACCAGTGTCTCTGTTTAAAGTAAGATCTTTCCACTATTTTATTATTTAGTATAATTTTTGGAAGTAACAACTGCATATTTAATTTCATTTGGAAAGTGTATTTTGAGAAATTTGACATCCATAAAATAAATGTATCTTTGGCCTACTTTGTCTTTTAATTTATCTCACTTCTACTACCAGCTTAAATTAGATTCATCCTAAATTAAAGTATACTACCTAATTGGCTACAAGGTAGGGGTATACAAGTGCGCCACTCTGCTAATGAATCATTTAAAATTAGAAGCTGGTAAAAGTGAGAAATACATAGGCCTACATGATTATTGAGGATTATGCCTATGTTAGAAGAACTACAGCAAATAAATAGAGGCTGAAAATTTTCAACATGTCAAAATACAATTTAAATTATCTAAACAAAGAAGAACTTCTGTACGAGATAAGAATAAGAGGGGAAGAAACGAGTGATAGTGATGTAGACTCTTTAAGAAAAACTTTAAGATCTTGTATTAACCAGAATACCGATTTAACAAATTTAAAAGGTTCATACACTTTATCTGGGGAAATAACTATAATTGGGGAAAAGTGTGAACAAATTGATTCTCTAATTGAACAGTGTAGGGAAAATGTGACTAAACTCAAAATAGCTAAAATCAAGGCTAAACTAGTGCATGTACAAAACCGGACTACTAATCTATTACAATGTAAGCTGGATCCAGATAAGAAAGTTAGTTTAGACAAATTAAATCAGCAAATCTTAAATAGTTTTGAGCAATTTAAAACAATGCATACCTTCTCAGACCAGGAGATGGGGGATTTTGAAGAGGAGCTGAATAACTCTATAGTTGAGAATGAAATAATTGAGGAAAAATTAAATCAGTCTAAATCGGTAGTTCCACCAACTGAAAACTTCACTTCATCAACACCTCAAAATGTCGAAATTGATTGTTTTCAACAAAATGTTCCGAGTCAAGTCATAAATAATCAACCAAACTCATGTACAGTTGTAAATAGTAGCCTAAGTCCTAGTAGCCTTTTTACAAAGTTGTCAAACCCATTGGAAATTTATTTAAAACATTTTCCTGTGTGTAATGGTTTAGAAACAAACACATTGTTGCAGTTTTTGAGAAACCTAGTTACTGTCCGAAATGAAACTTCTTTATCTGAGCAAGATTTGTATGAGATTCTACCAATTTATTCTACAGCACCATTAGTGAATAAAATATTAGAATTCAAAAGGGAATCAAAATCAATTGATTTGTTGCATGCTAATATAATCACCACATTTTTGCCAATCACCTTAAGGGAAAAGCTGAAACAAGATTTAATATTTCGACCTCAAAAACACCTTGAACCTTTGTCTATATATGTGCATGAAATAAAAATAAACCACCAGGTATTAAAGTGTGATTTAACTGAGAGTCAACTTGTTAGTTTTATTAAGAATGGAATACATCCTGATTTGCGCAACAAACTAATATTTGAGAAGAACCCTGAAACATTTTTAGACTTAGATCATCTTTGTATAAGTTTAAATAATGTAACATACAATGATTACCTCAGAAATCAAGGTTTTCCAGTTAGTAACATTAGTGTTAGGAAACCTTATCTATCAACTGATGATAAGCCTAGGATGGATAAACCAAATCCAGGAGTTCAACGACCTATTAGTCACTACTCAAATCGTAACAATGAAAGGCCTGTTTGTTTTAAATGTCAAAGAGTAGGTCATATTGCTCGTAATTGTTACAGACCAGATCCAAAAAACTAGTTAAGCCAGGAAAAACACGTAGCCTAGACTACAAATCTGTTTTTCCGGACGGCAAGAAAGAATTCGGAAATAATAAACCTGTATATAGTTCTCATAGTCCCAATTTTAAGTCTGAACTGAGAAGAGTTGTTAAGGATTTTAATAAAATAAATTCACCTGGATTAAAGAAAGTAAAAGCTAAAACTGTAACACATTTACCCTGTATTTCTGTGGATTTAGGAAACAAATTAAGTGTGGGAGCTTTGTTAGACACTGGAGCTAGTCAAAACTTTATAAGCTTGGATTTATACAACAGATTATTGGGAAATAAATTAATTATGAGTGAAAATACTTGGCAGGGAACCATAGTTGCTGCAAACAATGAACCTTTGAACATAAATAAGCAATGTGAAACTTTGATTAAGATAAAATCATTTACCTGGAAACAAACATTTTTAGTGGTTGAGTTAAAATATTTTGACATGATTTTAGGATACCCTTTTATGTGTGCAAGCAAGTTAAACCTAAATATGGATCGACAAATGGGTTATTTTACATTTAAACCTGAAGATGAAATTAAGTTAATTCCAAGTACTAACCTGAGTGAATTAAGCTTAAATAGTATTAAAGTAGGAGATGTTGAAATGTGTGAAGAAGCTGAGAAGTTAATTAAGAATTTTCCTACTGTTTTTACGGATAAGATAGGATCAGCACTTGATTTGGAAATTGAGCTTAAAGTGACGGATGATAAACCTGTTAGTATCCGCCCTTATTTTTTAAGTCCACCCAAAGTAGAGAAGATGAAAGCTATAATTGATGACTGGATAAAACAAGATGTCGCGGAAGTTTCCACTAGTCCATATAGCGCCCCTGCATTTTTGACTCAAGATGACAGACTTGTAATTAACTACTCTGAACTCAATAAGAAGTTAATCAATGTAGATTACCCGCTAGGAGATATGCAGAATATGTATCAGCATCTAAAAGGAGCTAGATATTTTACAGTCATAGATTTAAACAAAGCATTTTTACAATGTCCCATAGCTTTAGAATCCAGAGATTTAACATCTTTTAGTACAATTTTTGGTAAATTCCGTATGAAGAGAATTCCATTTGGATTGAAAATAGGCAGTAGCGTACTATCACATTATTTGGACAAAATATTTAATGACGTCAAATTTCAGTATATGATTAACTTTTGTGACGATATAGTTGTATATAGCCCTGATAAGAGAAAGCATATTGAGCACGTTACAGAAGTGATTAAGAGATTAGCAAAACACGGACTTACGGTAAATCCACAAAAAGTCAAATTCTTTTGTAAGGAAATAAGTTTTTTAGGACATATTATTAAACAAGATAGCATCACAATAGATCCCGAGCGAACTAACTCATTAATGAAATTTCCTGCTCCAAAAACTGTGAGGCAAGTGCGACAGTTTATAGGAATGTGTGGTTATTGGTCTAGATATATTCCTAAATATGCTGAAATATGTTTACCTCTGTTTGGGCTGAAGAAGAAAGGTGTAAAATTTAAATGGAACGAGGAGTGTCAAAATGCATTTGAAACCTTAAAGAGTAAGATAGCAAATCCGCCTATACTACAAATGGCCGATTTTTCTAAAGAATTCGAGTTGCATACCGACGCAAGCGACCTTGCAGCTGCTGGTGTTTTATTGCAAAGAAATGAGGAGGGGAATTTAATGCCTATTGCTTACTATTCGAAGAAATTCACACCTACTGAGATGCGTTATAGCACTTACGAAAAGGAAGCTTATAGTGTAATATTGTGTGTAGAGAAATGGCATCAATTCTTGGAAGTAAGAAGTTTTAAATTAGTTACTGATTGTCAAGGTCTTAGTTTCATGCTCAAATCTCGAAAAAGCCGTGGAAGATTGTCTAGATGGTTTGAAAGGTTGTTTAGTCTTCCATTCACAGTTGAACATGTAAAAGGTTCGGAGAATATAATAGCTGATGCGTTATCACGTATGTTTAGTGGAGAGAAAGAGAGTGAGACGGAAATTCACGAAACTAATCTGTTAAGCAATATCAACAATGAAGTCTATTTTTGTAATGTGTTAAATGAAATACCATTGGATCTTAAGGACATTAAAGTACATCAAGAGAGCGATGAAGAGTGTAAGAAAATCATTGAAAGCATCAAGAATAAGACTAATAATGAAAATTATACCCTGAAAAATGAAGTTTTATTGTTTAAAAAGAAGATTTATTTACCCAAGAAACTGTTTAGTGTAATATTCGCATTCTATCACAACTCATTAATTGGTGGTCATATGGGAATTTTTAGGACTCAAAGTAAAGTAAATGAAAGTTTTCACCATCCTGAATTAAATGAATTCGTAAAAGGTAAAGTCCGTGAATGTAAGATCTGTCTGATGTCTAAGTCGGAACAACGTAAGTTTGAAGGTCGACTGATATCTGTTCCTGTAACTCAAGCTCTAAACACTGTGTTTATTGACCTAGCTGGACCATTTCCCCGATCAAATAAACTCAATCAGTACATTTTAATTGTGGTCGATGCATTTACCCGTTTTGTATGGTTGTACCCTCTGAAGGATTGCAAGACAAAATTCATCATAGAAAAATTGAAGATAATTTTTGATAGTTTCTCAGTACCCCGAATACTTGTGTCTGATAATGCGAGTTATTTTACATCCAAGGAATTTAAGAAATTCATGTTCAATAACTATGTGGAACACAGAAAGCTAGCTGCGTACAGAGCAAACGGAAATTTGTCGGAACGATATTTGAGGGAGACTAATAATGCTTTACGGAGTTTTTATGGTAATCAACATGATAAATGGGATTCAGATCTGGGACTGATTGCCACAAGTTTGAATACTGCTGTAAATAGTTCGACTAAATCGACTGCTTTTGGTTTAATGTTTGCCCATCCTTGTAACAATGCACTGACAAATTTATGGAATGTTAATGACATTATTTCGGAGAAGTTAACTCCTGATCAAAGGAGGGAAAATTTGGAGAAAGCCATAAATAACGTCAGAAGAAGCATTGCCAGAAATCAAAGAAGGGAGAGATATAGCTATCCTCGGAGAAACCATCCATTTAAGTTGAATATGGAAGTGTACATCAAGACACATTATTTAAGTAATGCAGCGAATAAATTCAGCAAGAAGTTAGCACCTAGATACGTTGGACCTTACGTAATACGCTATTTTCTGAGTGATTCAACAGTACTAGTACAAAATCCTAGCAAGTTAGAAGACGTGAAGAAAATTCATATAATTGATTTAAAGAAGAGTTAAGTAGTGAAGAGGACCAAAAGTAACCAATGTATTGATGGAAGAGGAAATGTGAAAAATGGAATTAAATGGAAGATTACGGAAGACTGAAGCTAAATTGGTCTTTATAATATGTCTGTAAAGTAGAAGTTAGATTTGTTTAGTTGAATTATTAATTAGTTAAGGGATTTTAGCAAGCTAAGAGGGAATTTGAAATTTTGTAAATTAGTACTGTGGGAGTTGTTTTAGGTTCTTAAGAATTTTTCAAAGTTTTAAAGTGTTTTTAGTAAGAGAGTGTATAAATGTGTATGTATTGGTGAATGTGTGAGTATTTGTGGCAGCAAAAGGTAGTATGAATCTGTATGAATCTAAAATGGAGTCTGAACGTAGTGTATGAGTGGGATTTTTACTAAATGGACGCACAAGAACATTTTGATTAATTTTGCACTTGTAAACAGGGAAAATAACACAGAACACAAAACACTTCACACGAAACACACGAGGGAACATAAAAACAGGGAATATAACACACTGGGATAAATAAATTAAGGGAAAACTAAAGAAAAACACAGCACACGCAAACGACATAACTAAACTAAACTGGAGAAGTGAAAGTTATTTGTCTTGTCTGGAGTTGATGTTGGGAGGGGTCAGTGAACTGTGAGCGGATGTGAAGAGTTCAAATGAGAATTAAATAGGCTTGTTTAAGATCGCTTAAGTAATTGGGGGTTTTAAAGAAAGGTTTTATTTTAAAGTATAATTTTTGTAAATAGGATTGATAATATTTGAATTGTCATAGGAAAATGAAATGGTTCAAAGTGAAAAATTGTGTAAATAGAAGTTGTTGTTTTGAGTAGAAGGTTCTGTAAGGTGCTGTAAACGTGTGGAGGCTATTTGAACTAGGAGTTAGTGTTTGTAGAATTTGTTGATAGGTAGCGCTAGTTGAAATGTCAAACGGAGTTAGAGTTTTATTATTTGTTTTAAAAGGTTTGTTTATTTTCTTTTGTAGAGTTGTTGTTTTAAAAGGAAATGTAAATATTAATTTTGAGAAAGAGTGTATAATTTTGTTTATGTAATTTCAAGTTAAGGAGGGGAAATTCTGTACCGATGGTAGTTAGTTTTTATTTGAAATAACAAAACAAAATCAATATTATTTAATCATTGGCTAGAAAGATTAAGAAAGAGTGACCAGCAGTTTAGAAGTTTTAGTTTTGTAGGGTTGGTAGTGGTTAGTGATAACCAGGTTCAACTTTGTCAGTTTTAAGTTCACTGGAAATATGGTCATCTAAGTTGTGGTTGCTGTAGAAAATTGTAAGTAGTTTTAATATTGTTTAGTAATAAGATTTTAGCTGATTTATTGTATATAGCTTTGTAGAAAGCACTTTTGGAAAAAGATGAAAAGGAATGAATAGTTTTCAAATCAATTTTAATGCATTTCACAAGAAAAGAAAACAAGTAAAGTTTATACAGACCTGTTGAGTTTTGTTCTAGGAGAAGCACATTTTCACAAGAAGTTGTAAAGATCTTAAATCTACTTTTAATTATTAGAATTTATAGAGAATAGTTTTTATTGGGTTTCTGTGATGTTTTCAGACAGAAATCAACCACTTCTTGGTACTACCACTTCTTGTTCACCTTCTTATGATTGGTCCAGTAGCTTTTTGCACCACTTCTAGTTTGCATGGTATCTGCTAGTGCCAGTTTTGACCATAAAACCAGTGTCTCTGTTTAAAGTAAGATCTTTCCACTATTTTATTATTTAGTATAATTTTTGGAAGTAACAACTGCATATTTAATTTCATTTGGAAAGTGTATTTTGAGAAATTTGACATCCATAAAATAAATGTATCTTTGGCCTACTTTGTCTTTTAATTTATCTCACTTCTACTACCAGCTTAAATTAGATTCATCCTAAATTAAAGTATACTACCTAATTGGCTACAAGGTAGGGGTATAAGGAAAACAAGACAATGATGTACGCTCCGGTATCAAACTATTATGATGAAATTAATAAAGTTACTAGTAACATTTAAGTAAACGGACATTGTTAAAAATATTTATGCAAGTTTATTACATTTTGAAAACCAATCTTTAAAATGGTACCTGAGACAATCATAAAAGTCGACATCCATTCCCATGTCAAAATGCGTAGCCAGGTTTTGATTAAAAAAATTAACTGAACTAAGCTGTTAAGAGTGAGCTGATGTCAATTAAATAGTTAATTTACATTTTAACCAATTCAAATGAAAGGACAACTATAGCGCTCATGTTTTACGTCAAATCATCTATCACAGTAACAAAAACTAAGAAAAACTTGAATTTTGACAGTTGTGAGAGTTACATTTAATTATGTTCTATTTGTAAGAAATTTGTATCTGGTCCTTAGTCAATATCCCAAAATCAATGGTAACACTCACAAGAATCGACAGCATTAGTTATCAGCCAGCTAATGTAAGAGGTTAGTGACTTACTAGATATTCCAGTGTGCGTCCAATGTCCAGTATAGACTTGACTCCACTACAGACGACAGTGACAGGTGTACGTCCTAACTCCGTCAGGTCTGCGCTGACATCCATCGTATCTTCCCCTCCTCTGTGCACTCCCCCGACCCCTCCTGTAAATGTTACCCGGTGAAGAACTATTCCCTCATGTCTTTGTGTGTCTAAATGGAATTGATGGCAAATAAGAAAATAGATGTTACAAATGTATTTTTAAAGAACCACAAACCTAGTTCTACCTATTATTAGGCCTACTGCAATGTATATTGCCTTTGGTTATTGAAATTTGCAATCTCATTGATGTTCAACTTTATTATTGAAGCACTCACCAGTAACAAATATTTTGATTCCCACGGAATGAGCCGTCAACATGGTTCCAGATACTGTGGTTCCTCCACTGAGCCCCTGGGTAATAGAAATAAAAGAAATCATCAAGGCATTAAAACAATAGTTTTTTTACGTTTATAATTTTATTCTGTAACTAATAATGACCTTAATGCTGGAAGTCTCATGGGAGACCTATCTTATTTATTTTATAGATAGGTAAGTTAATTAATGGTTTCAGCTTAAATAAATAAAAATGCCTTTATTTATCAAGCGTTTCTCAGTACAACCGCTTTTCAGAACAACTTTCACCAATAACAATAAACTAAACTAACAAACAAATAAATAGAACAATAACAAAACAGAAACAAGACAATATAAATAACAATAACAATAATCAACCATCATCATACAACTCTATGATTTTAACTCTAACTAACAAGGTATATTTGTTTAGGCCAGAGGGGAGGTTGTTTTACAGCTTTGGGCCGAAGTACGAGAAGCTTCTCCTCCCAAACTCAAGCCTCTCACTCTTGGAAAGTGAAGCTGGAGACTTCAGATTGGACTTCAGCTTAAGATTGGATCCAAACCACATTTTTATGAGGGCCAAGTCATTTAAACCTTTTGACACTACAAATAACCATTAATGGTTGGAATGCTTTGGCTGAGCCTCCCAGACAGAGGTTCAAAGCTCTAAACTCTAGACTAGGCCTAACTGAGTTCATAAAACCACTATTCAAATTTGTTGGACAATTTTTAACATACAATTTCCCATAGGACAACATTTACCATACAATCTTCCAAAGGACAACATTTATTTCTTAAACTAAGTTATTCATTTAAGGATCTAAAACACAAAAACACAGACAACAGATTAAAATGAAAATATAAATGTTGATGGATTTTGAAGTGTCAATAGTTGTGGACCTAAAATGAGAAGTTTGAAGACTAGTGATTAAGGATACCGTACACATCTTAAACATATTTGGTAAATAGTTTTAAATACATGAGGATTTCTACATATTACACGTTTTCAATTTAGACTCATCCATAGTTTCAGAATAATAACATGAGTGTAATTAGTTAAGGAGTGTCTTGTAATTGAGTATCAAACGTACACACAGTCGCAACTAAATTTGTAATGGCCATACTATAAAATTAGCTGTACAAACATTAAATAGGTCAATATTATTTTTCTAAATAACTAGACAATAAATATAGCCTAGGCTACTTATGATTACATCTCACTTTGCATTGTGGAAATCTCAAAGATAAATTTTCAAAAGGGAGTTGAGGGCAATGGCTAAATATAGATGACAAATGGAAAACTAGTGTCGTGAATCAACAAATCCATTAGTGTTGATGGGTTTCATCGTGGGCTACTGGTCGCATGTCTAGCATCAATTAAACTCAATCTGTTGCCTCTATCAGTCCAGTGAAACAGCTGATAGTATTTCACTGTGAGCGCATCGATATCATAGGTAAAACATTTTTATTCAGTTGTGTAATATTTTATGCCTAATGATTTTTTTACGGTTAGTGTGGTGTGCATCAAATTTCTCTTAACGATAAAGTAAAAAAAATGGATTTTATGGTTTTGTTTTAAAAAGCCGTAAAGATACGTGTTGGGAATAGTATGGAATTTTTAAATGAGTCTCATCTAAAATTTGAAATCAGGAGGCCAGTAAACATTTGCATCTACTCAATTAGGTTTTGTGTTAAACCTTACCTTACTGATAACATAAGCCAAATCTCGTCTAGATGTTTTTAAAACTTCACTGTTTGGTTTCAAGCTTGCAAGTAATTCAACTTCTTTTAGTGACAATCCAACTTTAATTCTGCCGTTTATAATGGCAATTGTGGCTGGTACTGCACCCTAGAATGAATTTAAATTATGGTCAAATCTTATATAGGACCTGAAAGTATTTTAGTTTTTAATTCTAAAATCTTTATTTTACATACCAGAACAATAATATTAACGAGAAACTAGTACTTGATCTTAAAAATATTAATTAGTAGGTCGTTTTTGAGTTTAACTAATTAGCTAAACCAACAACTAAATACCTTTGGTTAATTTACTTCCATTCCCTATAGTCATAGTCATAGTCAAGCATCTTTGTTATAGGTAAACATGGTTGTACATGAATAGTGTCAAATCAATTAAAAACTAAATGCTCAAGACTAAGATAAAGCCATTTTCAATTCATGTGTACCTATCTATACTTTACAGTACATATTCATTAATGGTTAACAGCTGCTTAAAACGCTAATAGTAACTTACATGGGTGATAGTCAAAAATGTCTAGTTTTCTATTTAAATAAATCACAAGGTCAAGGTTTACAACAAAAACCTCATGAGTTGATTTGTTAGCATAAAAATTTATAGGTACCTTATGGGTGACAAAATACAATAAATAGGTTATTTAAGTAGGATAATGGAAACAAAGGCAAAAATGGATGTTGTACATTTAAAACTAAGTTAGTAGGTATAGACAAACCTGTTCCCGAACTATGTTTTCAACTTCCAGAGCAGTCTCTTTGTTGTGGGGGAAAGGCATTCCATGAGTAATGATTGTGCTTTCTAAAGCTACAACTGGCCTTTTAGCTTCTAAAGCATTTCTTACTTCTTGGCTGACATCTATACACTTGGCAATTCTATGAAACCTTCTCAAAATCATCTAAAACAGAAATTATTTGCAAAATATATTAACTTAATTCAACTAAGCGTAGGATCGATGTCTTCTTCCAACGACCGTGTAAAAACAGACGTAACACTAACACTCATTGACTTTTTGGCCTCGATACAGAGTGCCATTCACAGGGTGACTTGAGCCTGCACAGATGATAAATCAAGTGGAGCTTACAGCTTGGCGAGGTTGCAGGTTATATCTGGAGGGTTGGACATCCCAGGAATGTGTAGAGGGGCTGACGTGTTTACCCTAGTGTTCTTTTACCGCTGTCACCATCGTGCCTCGGTGCTTCCAGAACTTTTTAAGGAAAGAAGGTAGCCCCACAACTAGGTGAAAGTCGAAAGTGTAATGTGGACCAAGGCCGCTTTAATAAATGGGCCCGGTGGGCCGGGGCCCAAAAGGCTTTAGGTTCGTTGGTAGCCGAAGGCAAGGTAAAATTTCCCCGCAAGGAAGGGAGGAGATGGGCACAATCTCTTGGACCTATGGTGTGTCACATGCAAACCGCGGGCACGGTGTTGACAGGAATGGCAGCGAGTTTGAGAAATGTTTACATTCAATATAACTAACTGAAATAATAGGCTAACTTACTCATATACTGGCAAATTACTTTTTACAATTAACATAAAATTGTGATAAAGGTAGGCCTAAGCCTATTTCTTTTAATTTCCTAGATTTTACTGTACTACCTAGCCTTCATTCTTGGGAAGATCTTAATCTTATATCCAATATATTTTCCCAAGGTATGATAAAAATAAATATTTCAAATTCTTACTAATGGAGAAGCAAATAAAACTCATTCGTGAATTTATTTGAGAGGTTTGTTACCCCAAATAAGTATTGGAAGTTTCATCATATTCAAAGTTCAAACCATTAACTTATAACTAGGGTTTAAAATTTGAATTGATTTTGCTAGGCCTACAACAGTGTCTGTGATGTCAAAGACACTTGGCAGAATTTAATTCGCATTGTCATGAAAATAATTACTACTCTAAAAGCACAGAACAGAATATTTACCTCACCTTGCTAAATAATGGAATTTTTATTTTTTACCCTAGTATTGCAGTATTATTTATTGTGGTTTAGTACCAGGTTTAGTCATCGATCTATGGGTTTAGTACGCACGGCTAACAGGTTAGATTGAGTGTAAACTGGTGCTGTAAACAAAACAAAACAATGTTTAATGTCAATGACCTCCTGAATGTATGACGAATGATAAGATAAGAACATAAATGCCATAAACCGGAAAAAAAGTTGAGTGGATTTTTTTAGAAATGTGAGTATACTATAAGATATTAAGACATTGATCATAAATGGCAATGATTAAAACTAATTTTGATTAATAATTATTGCATTAATTTTTAAAATGTCCAATTTTGTTAGTGCAAGCAGTTAAAACAAGGACAAAATTGGTCATCATTTGAAATTTCCTCTTTTAACTGTACCTAGGGTAATAAAAGAATATATTTTACCAAAAAAAATCCATAATTATACTTGAATTTGAACAACAAGGGTTAACATCCCACAGCAAATATGCATAGCTAGCCATAGGTGGGTAACACATGGTAGCACTGAGCTTAAGCATAGATTAAACATACTCCTCAAGGAGTATGTTTAATCTATGGCTTAAGCTAGAAGTGGTGAGTATGAGCATCTATGATAAAACCATAGACTAACCAACACAAGTAGACTTCTCATCCCATTGTAAATTTTGAAGCACGTTTTTCGTGTCTAGTTCATGTACGTGACACTTGGGCGCTAGTGTCGACGAAACTTTGTTTCTATTAATTTAGGGTTAATTTCTTGATTTGTGCTTTACTGTTTGGTTATATAACTAGGGGACAAGTTATTGTTTATGATTAGACCGTATTATTTGGTTAAACGAGGTTTTAAATGGCTGTAATAACGGGAAACAAATTGTAAACAAAACACGACCTCTACAGAAAACCGTACAGAACTAACAATAAAATTGTCTTCAGCTGTTCCATAAGGATGAGAAATCTACTAAGGGAGTATGTTTTATCTATGATAAAACATATTCTCTTAGTAGATTTCTCATCCTTATGGAACAGCTGAAGACAATTTTATTGTTCCATGTACGGTTTATGTAGAGGTCGTGTTTTGTTTACAATTTGTTTCCCGTTATTACAGCCATTTAAAACCTCGTTTAGCCAAATAATACGATCTAATCATAAACAATAACTTGTCCCCTAGTTATATAACCAAACAGTAAAGCAGAAATCAAGAAATTACCCCAAAAGAATTGAAACAAAGTTTCATCGACACTAGCGCCTTTGTGTCACGTACATGAACTAGACACGTAAAACGTGCTTCAACATTTACAATGGGATGAGAAGTCTACTTGTGTTGGTTAGTCTATGGTATGAGCCTGAGGCTCAGATCCGGATCGGATCCTAGTACGTGCCACTACTTCTAAGTTCACCCGTTTACTGTACTACTGGCTCACATATTGCTTCGATGGATACATTCCTCTCCTCGCAATGTAATCTGTGGCCCACGTGGACGTATGGATGCAAGGTAAGAGAGGCCTCCAACATAAAAAACAAAACAAAAAAACATATAACTGGGGATAGCACTAGCACCACTAGCACTGACACAGCAAATCTGATAAAAAATCGAGAAGCTGTAATTTTGTTATTGTTAGCTTGGTACCTACCAGCTCAGCTAAGGAAATAAGCTCATTGGCTCATGGCTTTATGTATGTGCAATCCCAAAATCCCCTAGCCTAAGGGCCAGTACACACACACCGACTTGGACGCATGTGAGTACGACTGTTCGTGTCGTGCTGGCATACGACAAAGTCGTGTTACCTCACGACAGTTGTCGTATCGGTATACGACTCAGCAAACACAACAGCGAACTCTACTGGCTTTGTGACTACTCACTTGTGAGGATGTCGCCGGAGGAAGAGGAACCATGTATATACAGAATTAATGTGTATGGAAAGTTTAGTCGCTGCTATGTAAAAAAACTTGTTTTGAAACACTTTGCAAAAATAAACAAGAATTTATGTAATGCCACTTATGTACATTTCATTATACATCCTTAATTTGTCTAATTATATGTGTTATCAGTTAAGGTAATGTTAATTTTGGTTAATTTTGGTTAATTTTGTTGCCCTTTACAAAAAGTTGCCATTACAATAAGTTATTTTTGTAAATGTACATACGGTAGACTCTCTCTAGTTCGGCCACCTCGGGACCGGACCACCGGCCGGACTACAAAATGGCCGGACTATCTGGCTGTACTGTCAAAATTTAAAATACCCCATTTAATGCATTACCTATGGTTAAAAAGTCGTGTCCCGAGACGCACTAGTGTGTATACACCGACGCGATAGCCATATAACGCCATGTCCCGCTACGACTCAAAACAGTCGTGAGCCCATACGACACGACTTGCCTGTCGGACCCCCAGTCGGTGTAGGGCGCGACTCGAAATTTGTCGTTCACGACTTTGACACCTCCACGACTGCTGTCGCACTAGTGTGTACACCCCCATGCGACTTCCATTGCCTACTTTGTTTCTCTACTTGTCGTGCAGATATACGATTTCTTGAGTCGTGCAGTGTGTGTACCGGCCCTAAATGTGCTATGTACCAAGTACAATCATAGAATAATAATAAACATGGTATAAACTTTGGAACAATGCAGCCTACTTTACCCCTAGTTCAAATGATGGCAAAAGTCTCGCAGTTATTAATTCTTCCAGTTCACCAGTTGTATCTCTAGCTTGGTAGTGGCTAACTGATTTGGCCATCTTCTGTTTCAAACGTATTATATACACACAAGTGACAAGTACTAGTAGTAATAGCATTGACTTTAGATACTAGAATAGGTGATGATACTCTAGTAGCCTAGTAGTATTATTTAATTATGGTTCGAGCATTTTTACACAACTCCTTGAGATATGTTAAATTGTTAGGTGTGTTAAGCATTTCCCGTTAAAAACAATTTTTTTTATTTTTTAATTATTGTATATATTAATAAAACATTGAAAAAAATGAACACCTTTGGTACATGCCATTGTTGTATTTCGTTTAATCCCCAAACAATACCTAGTATATAACTTGCTGTATAGTATATAATCAATGCTTCCATTTGCAGCTGTTAAGCTTCACAACTGTCTATAGTCCCTCTCATCAGCTGTATCTTTGTCTGCTATTTTACCTAACACTGAGGAGAGTTACTGAGTTAGTAACCACAACAAAGTAGGTAGGTAACCAACCAGACTGTAATAGGATGAGATGAGATGAGCAAGGTAGACCTTCACAACTAACAAAGGGTTTTAAGTTTATTTTGTTTTACGTTTTCTGGGTTCATGGAGAAGATGAGTGGGAGTACGGAAACAATTAATATGATGTCATCTTCTTGTTGGCAAATGAAGCAGGTACATTACATACTTTTGCAGTCCAGTTAATTTTAACATTTAAGACATTAAAATCATAAGAACCAAATTAATACCTATACGTTTCAGAATCTATTTTTACAATATTAGCTAAGTTTAGGTAGTACAGTAGTAGTGGTATATCATCTACTTAAATATCACATTCTTCTATCTTTACCTCAACAAATGTGTAATAGTTATAATAAAATAAAATAGTCTATTAGAAATACAGTAGGCCTATCTTTAATATTTGATGAAAATAAAATTATTTTGGTTGCCTTTAATTTGTAAAAAAAAAAATCATTAGGTACAATGTTTACTCTTTCAGAATGAAAGATAGAAACAGAATTAAATAAAAAAGTAGCCTCCAAAAAGTAAAAAATAAATCTGCTTATTTAAACCTATATAATAATTGCTGAACAACAGTTGAAGATGTTTTAAGAAATTAATAAATTGTGTGAATTGGTAGTCATAAACATAGTAAAGTTATAGGAAAAGTGTATAAGTTAACGAGTGAAAATTTAAAAACGTACGTTTTCAGGAAAAGCACTTTGCAAATTTTTTCTCCCTTTTTTCAAAACTTTTATTATTTTTTTTATTTCATTAACATTTTAAGTTTCATAAAATGTCCATGGTAACGCAATATCTTTGGTAGTTTTTTTTTAAAAAGAGCATCTTTAGTGGAAAAACACAAAATCCTGTCACGACCATAACAGATGTTTAAATGAATATTAAAAATAGTTAATATTATTTTTATAACTATGTTTTGCTATAAACTAATTTACTTTTATGACCATTATACAATAAAAAGGTCACTGAGCTTTTGGTATATTTGGTCTTTCTAGAAAAAAATTAAAAAACTCAAAAAATTGAAATAAAGCCAATAAAATCTTTTTAAGTTTGTATAACTCCGAAAAAACTTACCTGAGACCCGAAAAATCGTTATGTTTGTATAGAGGTGTGCTTCTTTTGTGTATAAAACATTGAAATATGACGATATTTTAATTTTTGAAATTTTTATGATAGAAATCGTTAACGTGATGGTCAGGGACAAGCGGGACGGTCGTGAATTTTCTGAAATAATCTCAATCTTTCTAAACAGTCCTTCAATTATATTGTTAGTTATAATAAAAATATGTGTTTCAATTGAACTAAACTGTTCAATTTACAAAGTTATTGTCACGACCAAACACACTACAGTCCACTCTTGGTAATTCAAACTCTTGATAATTCAAAACTTTCGATAATTCAAAATGAAGGCTCAGTCCCTAGAGAATCTCTCAGTATTTCAAATTTTTACCATGCATTTAGATACACTCGGTATTTCAAAGTCCAAATAGAGGGCAGGTCAATTTGTAACACGCAGTAATTCGAAGTTTCGTCGGAAAAACACTCTATAATTCGAAGTAACTCAGTAATTCGAAGTTTCGTCGGTTAACACTCTATAATTCGAAGTCATGCTGTAATTCGAAGTTTCGTCGAAAAAACTCTCTATAAATCAAAGTCATGCAGTAATTCGAAGTTTAGTCGGCAAAACACTCTATAATTCGAAGTGATCTCTTCCTGTTATAACAGGAAACTAAACTGTACAGTACATCGTTCCCATGGTAGGCTAGTGTTGGACGTTTTGATGTTTGTTTTGTTAGAGCAGTAGTTAAGTTAGTTCGCTGACTTGTTTTTCTAAGTTGGCAATCCGATCTCTAGATTGCGACATCTCCTTGAGCACAAACGTAGTTGTCGACAGCTGATAGTGTAGCTATTGGCGAAATATATAGCGCTAATAACAGATTTCTTTGCAACTACAGTAACTGAAAAATAAGCCGTTGATTGTTTAAAAGTGTACTAAAATACGGTATGATGTTTGATTGTAACGTGCTGTACCTTTGTATGTATTAAACAAATGAACTCTCAGTAATTCGAATGGTTTATTTTTCTCCCGATAAATCGAACTCTTGATAATTCAAAACTCTTGATAATTCAAATTTATATGCTTGGTCCACCAATTTCGAATTATCAAGAGTCTACTGTATAATCCATAAGGCTGGATTGGTCGTGAAAAAACCAGCGATGGTCGTGAAACTTTGGTCGTGAAATTACGTGTTATTAGGCTCTGTTCTGGCGGTAGCCCTGCACCTCATGTTCGAGGATACAAAGTGGACTTCTAGGTTAATCTAGCAATTGAAATATCTTATAAACAAAAATTAACACCATGTCTACTTCATCAAATGACTACGTACGGTCATGGACACACCAAAATTACAAAAAACACAATCTTTCCTTTATTAATCTTGTAATTCCTCCTTTCAACTCGAAACGACCGGCACTACAATCCTGACGTACACCCCGAACTAGTCTCTAAAACCAACTGACTCCATCGACGCCAGGCTTGCCACTGTCATGCTCCAAAGTTGAAAATTTTTCCCAAATGGTCGTGACGCCAAATCGAGGGACAGACTTATTTTGTCATGGTAGTCAGTTTGCAATGACAATAAAATTATAATATGCTAATTTTTTGTAAGTTTAATAACCATTGATGACATAAAAATATGGCTTTATATATTTCGGCATGAATAATTAGTCTAAAAACAGCGTGAAAGTTGGAAAATGTACCCTAGGGACACGTCATGGTCGTGAATTTCGAGACTTTAAAAATACGAAAAAAATACCTAGAACCTATTTAAAACCAAATAAATGTGTGTAACATGTTGCCCCCGTCCCAAAAAATATTAAAACACATAATAATAAACTACAAATCCAGTATCTACGAAGTAAAAGGCCAGGGACATGAAAACGTACGTTTTTAAATTTTCACTCTAACACATTGCGTGCGGGTCAGTCGCCGGCGACTGATTCCTTATCATTGAGATAAGTGGAATTTTCAAGAGTAAACATGACGGCCGCATTGAAAGAGTTAAAGTTATAGTTTTGCAGTGAATATGTGATATATTGTCGGATTAAATATATCGATCATAATTTTTTTTGTTATTAATATTTGATTGAATTTAATTTTACCATAAATATAGGTACACGGTAAATAAAAACATGAGGTAAGTTAACTGTGACAACATATATTATGCAATTTTTAAAAAGTTGTTTCTTGATTGAAAAATGTTGGTGTTGTTGGTAGAACGCTCTGTTAGCGATAAGGCCCCCGTTAAGAAAAAATTATAAAATTAAGATAAATTTCAGAAAGTTTATAAAATTACTCTAACTGAACCGCATTAGATATTATTTATTGTCATTGCTCATTGTTACCATACCTGGCTAGTGGCTACCGAGAAAAACGTTTGACCAATTTCAGTTGTTTTGTTTGCTATTGTTAATGCAATTGATTGTAATGAATGAGTGAGCCTTGTATTCGACGTATAGGCGAGATGGATCACCCAGCACGAAAGGAGATAAGAAGATAATATTTTGTTTTTGTATTAAATTTATTCATTAATATCCAGTGATTTTTTCCCATTAATACAAAAATAGATAACATAGGGGCCTCAAAAATATCTTTGCTGGGTCACCCTGATTTTTTGCGCCATTGACACTCTTGTTATCAAGAGCTACATTTTTATTTATTTATTTATTTATTACATACACGGCAAACGACATTTTACAGGAGAGTTGAGTTGAGATTGATAGTTATAGTGCGATCAATAATTAAATATTTTAACAAATATGAAATACTAATAAATAATATGAAATATAATAATATGAAATGCGATAACAATACAGTTTTGATTAATAAATATCATGATTTACAGGACGTGACAGCTTTTTTACTTCAACAAAATTCAACCTCAAAATGTTAACCATAGAATGTTCAGATATTGAATGTAAAATCATTAGGCCTAACTGAAACAATATAGTACTACTGTACTAACAAACAAGCATGTGCGCTTTGTAATCTCAATTCAATACTGTAGCGTAATGTATAGACTACCTATATAAATTTATTTAACTACCTATATATAACTTACTCTGTGAATATTCTTCATTTCTAGGGTGAAATGTAAAACTGAACTGATAGAGTCGAAAATCTTTCCTCTTAAAACTTATTAATTCCAAAGAAATTTTCAGTTCTATAATGTCTTAGCTTTTGTAAGTTATGTTAACAGGATTTCAAATTTAAAATGTTAACTTATAACACAAACCATATTTCAAACTTAGCCTATCTTGTTTCGGAAATTTTCAAGCAATAAAGTAGCAAAAAGCTATATAAAAAATGTAATTATAATTACAGTCGGGACCACAAGTTTGCGGTTGAGGGAGGAGCCTATTTACCATGGGTTTGATTGAACCCATGAGAACTGTGCGGTGTTGCCAAATCTAATAATAGGCCTACCAGCTGATTTGAAAATATTGCTTAGTATATTTTAATTAGTGTTGTCAACGGGCGATGTGGCAACGTCGCACTAGTCTTGTCTTGTGGTTGGCTACCACCAACTGCAAACTTACGTGGGCTCCACTCTAATTTGGTATCAGTTTTCATCCTTCCATAGAAAACAAAAACTAGGCTTTTTCGACACTGAAAACAATGAATTAGTATGTTGTGCCAAATTAGTATCTTTTTCTTCTGTAAAACCTAAAACTATAATGTTTTAAGTTTAAGGCAAATGATAATTAATTATAATGAAACTATATTAATCAAATTTATGATAATAACGATAACTATATATAACTGTAATTGATGGGAAACTTCATAAATTAAAAAAGAAATATCCAATTATGTAGTCTATTCCAATTTCGCCACTCAACTCAATGGTTGGGTTTTTTAACACAATTAATAACGATCAAATAGACATATTTTTTAACTGTCACGATTTTTCAGTACATTCAGGAATACGTTTTTAGGTATTTAATTAGTTCTAAATAATTATTGTTATTCAATTAATTACTCTGTTCAGACTTTGTTGTTGTCTTGTATTTATTTAATTTGTTATTGTTGAGATATTTAAATAATTGCCAATGTTATTTTTAAAGATATTTATTTGTACCTTATTTATTGCTATTAATTCGTTTTTGTCATCTATTGTATTGTTGTGAGTGATTACACTAATTTTTATAATTTCTTCAGCAAGAGGAACTTTTACAATATTTATTATTTAACATGCATGTCAAGATTTTGTTGTTAAAATATTGATGCTACAATGTAACTCAGGGGTTTATCCTGTTTTGCAGCATTGTAATAAAACAAATAAATAGGTTAATAAATTTCAATAGTTTTTAGCAACTATGGAGGTTTTTCTTTCAAAAAGTCTTGGAGATTGAAGATTAATTTATGCATTCAAAACCCCTCCTTAATTAGTGTCTAAATCGACTGAAAAAATATTTAATGAAGGTTAGAGAAAACAAAACAATAATTATGTTCAAAAATCTATTGTCGAGCACTTACAAAACAATGAAACTTATCCCCTAACCTAACCACCAAGAAACCATTCATCCTGTTGTTTGCTACGCGGAGGTCAACCGGTCAGCGAGTGAGGTAGGTAAATATCCACACAAAGCCTATGTAGGCCATTGATCCTGTCATTGTGTGAAGCTTTTGTCCTTTATAGGCCGGAGGATGACTAGGCCGGACAGTTGACCCTCAACCCTAGCTAGACATGGGGCGAGTTAAAGACAGGGAAGCCAACTTTAAGAAACAAAATTATGCGGAACTGCGGAAACAGCATGTGGAGGAAAAGACGCTGTTTATCGACCCAACATTCCCTGCTGTGGATGCCATTATTGGAACAGACAGCATTCCTTCCAATATACAGTGGAAGAGGCCTCCGGTAAGTATGGACATATGTTCAGAATTTGATTTTTAACTATAATTATCGTTAATCAGCTGTTTCCTAAGCCAGGACATTAGTCAAAGCCCAATGATAGCTTAGTTTCAGGCATAGTTTTTGGCATAGTTCCAAACCATCAAAAATCCACAGACTTTTTAGAATTGAACCAGCTACCTTTTGATCGCCATGCTCTCATCTACACAGCAATGTAAATAAAATAGAGTAAAACTACAAATTTCCAATTTACTAACCTAGAGGTTGAATGTATCTTGCAGCCATTTAAAGCCATACAGTATATATTTACAGTTATAAGGGTGTGTGTCTTTTTATTTTAATACATTAAACCCTCATAATTCCATACCCTATACAGTCTTGCTTATTGTGGACATGCATTTGGCAGCAGTTTGGGAGGCCATACAGCTAAGTTAAGACAGTGCCACTTTGAACGTTTAATTTAGAGTATAGGACGGTATTTAAGGTTTTTGTGGACACTTTTTTTCACTAAGTACAAGAGGTACCCCTCACTAAATAAAATCAGTTCTCAATTTCCCAAATTCTCATACCGTTGTATTCAAACATCGCACACAGTAAACCAATAATTAGTTTGTTTAAAATAACAAATAACTGAAGGTTTTTTCTGGTTTCTGATTGAACAATTTCCTGTAGCTAACTGGTTATTAGTTATTATAATAAAATGTATTGAACAGATTTTGTCTGAAATTGAATCACTTTCTCCATTAGATTTTACAATATTTTTAGTTATCTCATCGCGTGAAATATGTTTTCCTCCCAGTAAAGTGAGTAAATGTTCTAAGTAAATTTGAATAAGGTCTTAGAATTAGTGCTTCTGTACCGTATGGATTTGTCTTGTCTGGCTGAAAGATATCGGTACTTTAAAGGTTAATGGGGTTCAGCAACATTACAAGATGTATTGATTAAACTCCTTTCAACACTTTGCTTTGTTCGCTCTCAGTTGTAGTTGATATTTTCCATAGTTATTTAGATAATAATCAGGTAATTTTTGAAAGCATCTACAAACTTTTAATTCTTTTATTTTTTCAACTTAATAAAGTAACGCTAACCGCATAAAGTTTCATATTACACTTTTAGCAATTTAATTTGTTTGTAACCTGAATGACTTTTACAACTTTAACCAGTATCAACTTGTTGTTAATGAATTAATTAAAGTTTCTTAAAATTTATTTATTTAATATCTTCTCTTTTAAAAAGTACATACATAATGTGTAGCCTAACTATTTTGTCGTTGGCTCAGAGTTCTAAGAGTCAGAGAATGGCGATAAAGTTTGGAGTCAATCCTAAACACTGGAGAAGGAGGACTCAAGTTCACTTTTAAATACTAGAGAAATTAAGAATATCGGGCCAGAAATAAATAGGTATTATTTTTGAAGAATTGCGCTAGGCCTATTTTAAATTTATGTTTTTTTTTTCTTTGTTCCAAGGGACCTTAGTTCTGGCCTAGAATTTTTAAGTTCTAAAAGACAGCAATAACTAAATTTTCTCATTTATATTTTAAAATAATTATATCCTGACAGACAGCTGATGTCACACAACGAGAAAGTGTTGTCTATAGATTTTGTTTTTGATTATTTATGATTTGTTTGCACTGTTTGTGATACTTGTCTGATGTGGCAGGATATCTGTGACAACCCGCGGCTGTTTGCAGACATAGAGACGTCGCGTGTCGTGCGACCTGGGGAGCTCAGCTGTAACTGGGTAGTGTCAGCTTGCGCCGTGTTGGCTGGCGTGAGGGAACTGTGCAACAGGGTGAGTAACATGGCCCAGTGATACCAACCTAGATACATTGTAACTGTGGGGGTATCTTATTACTATATAAAGGGGAAGTGTTGAGAAATATTTTGTGAGTAGGTTGGATGAGTACACAATAGCTTGATCTGCTGACCCGTACAAATTCATTAATGTTTTAAGGCACACAGCTAATGGTAGTGTTGTGGTAAGTATCAGTGTGTAGTTTTAATTAAGGGCTCAAGGTCCAGGTATGTAGTTTTAATTAAGTTTTCTAAATTTATAATGGAATTTACAATAATTTTCTGTTGTACAAATTTTGAATAAGATTTAGGCTACTTAAAGTCACAAGTACAGAAGTTTTTTTTATTGCTGGAGGTGAACCAGAAGTCCAGTGGTTGAAACCTGGATTAAAAATATGTAATGTAGATGCTGTAAATTAAACATGTGTTTGGAATTTCTTTTGATTTTCTGTTTATATTTCATCACCAGCATGGCAACCCATAAGGCCCGTGTTAAGTTTTTTCAAATTTTAAATTCATTTTTTGTTCTTATTTTTGAGCCTATTTTAATTTATAAAGGGATTCTGCACATCTACAGGAAAATATCTTTCTAACAGTATCCGTAGATTATCCCTGCGATGCACACAAGCTGAAAAAAGGTTTTAAAAAAACATGCTTGCCTATTAATTATATAGATTATTATTACCAATTGACATAGAGCCAATTGACCTAGCCTCATATTTTAATCAAACCAAATATGAATGTAGAATAAAGTGAGATCCCTTGTGTAGCTTTGTTACTGATAAGACCAGCAGTTCCGTTAGCCTGGACCATTTTAAAAGCCCAATGATCAAGGGCAGCATGGTCCAGTTTTTATTTATAAAAAAGCTACTAACTTTTATCAGGATTGAACTGGCGATTGATCACTCACTATACACTTGATTGGTGGTGTTTGGCAGGTGATTCCAGACTACTGGCAGCAAGAATGGTCTGACCAATACTGCGGTCTGTTCCACTTCCAACTGTGGAGGTTCGGAGTGTGGACGGACGTTGTGGTGGACGATCTGCTGCCTACAGTGGACAACGTGCTGCTGACTACCCAGGCCGGGGCTAACAACGAGTTCTGGGCTGCTCTACTGGAGAAGGCGTACGCCAAGTAGGTAATCTTGGATTGTGTAGTAATGTATCATCATCAGGGGTGACCCAAAAAACCTACCTCGTGACCTCCTTGAGAAAACAAGGGTGCATCACTGAACTGATGTGGTTCAGGGGAAAATTTGTGCAGAAGTTTATGCTGAGAGACACTCAAGTTGAGTTTAATTGAAACCTGAGCAAGTTTTCTATTTCTACTCATGTTCTTGGTGTGACCAAGAGTTAAGTGCTTGCATCCGTGGTTTCTTAAAGATGCCAGAGAATCGTTCAGGTTCTGAAAATGATGTAGATGACCCATTATTGGGGGCTTTAGTAGTAGGCCTATACAAGGTGTACAGTGTGAAATACAAACCACACTGTATCACCAAAGATGTTTTAAAAGAATCAGAACACCTTTTAGGTCAAAATTACATCTGCATTGTGGGTTTTGTAGTCACTATTATGATGCATGTTTTGTCTAGGCTACATGGGTCCTATGACGCCCTAAGGGAGGGACACCTATGTGATGCTCTGGTGGACTTTACCGGTGGTGTGTCGGAGGTTGTTGATCTACAGGCTGAAGGTTACGCAGACAGTGAGGACCGACGGGCAGCTCTTCTTGACACTCTACAGACTGAAGTTTCTGACCACTCTATCATGTGTTTTACTGCTGCTGTAAGTTTTTTACAATAATTGTGTTTGCAATAGTTGACCTATTAAAATATAATTCATCAAAACTATGTTAGACTTTAAGGCATATTGCTAAACTATCTTGCAACATAAAATTGTTTTTAGACCAGCTTGTCACAGTTAAACTCCTCTTATCCTATGTGATTTACAAATGTGATACTATCATTAACATTCCATCAAAATCAGACACTTTCAAAATGGGACTAGCTATTGTCAGTGCAGATGGCAGATTACTTGGTTAGGTTATCCTGCTTTCAGTCAAATCTATTCTTTCCTACTTAAAATAACTTCAGCCTTAATCAATTTTTCTACGGGAGAGTTACAAGTATTCTGATCACATTTTTTATGTGTATAATTTTTATGTTTGACATCTAATATCATTACTGAAACAGTGTAGATTGAGTTTGATTTTGATCTAAAATTAAAGTTTTACTAGCAGGAAAATAATTTATTTTTTCCTTTAATCGATTTCATTTACAGTTTTAAGTGGCAGGAGGAGGGTAACAATAATAAGACATTGCTTGTGTGGTGGTACCTGATTTATTAGTCAGCTGGATCGAGAACCAGACGTGGAAGAATCAGCTGTGACTAAGCTGGGTGAAGGTCGAAGACAAGACAAGTAGATGCCAAACATGATCACTCCTATGACATTAGAATTGATTTTGAAATACGCAAACATACCAAAATGTGAACAACTTAAAACACTTGCACATTTATCTGACGGATAAACGAAAAACAACACCATTAAAAAAGTGTTCTCCACAGAAAGGAGAATAAAGAATAAACTGTACAGAAGCGGAGTTTTGTGAAAGTGCACCGACACCTCGATAAGCGAAATTAGAGAGAAAAACGCACTCATCAGTCTATACGGTACGTCCAACAACGATGTGGAATGAGACGATAAAAAATACAGAAGTATAACTGAGAAATGTGTGGACAAAACTATAACAGTGACGCTCAAGTGGACTTCAAGCGAAACAACGACACATAATATTCTTCCTGATGTTAAAAGCAGCCAGGATATAAATAGTACCACCTTTCCCGACGGACTGTCCTGCTCGAGAGGAGTTACTTTATCTAGAAGGCAGTAGCTGACGGGGAGTATTTCCTCCGATACTTTGTGTTGAGGAGGACTGAGTAGCAGGACGGGAGTGCGGCCGCCCACTACTTGCGCCTCGTAGCGATGGTAGTCAGTGACACACCAGGCTAGCTTGATTAGACTCACGGCAACGCTGACTGCTTGAAGACCGGCTGGAACATATGCAATTTTAAATAATTGAGTACATATACATATGAAGATGTATGTCTTTGTATATATGAGACTTTCTATAATCAGGTACTCCTATAATATGATGTATTTTAACAACCTTCAGTTGGAAGTTCAAGTTAAGATGTAGTGAAACCATTGAAAACAAGCAACAAGCTTTGTGTGTTTTTTACGCCAATGGCATTTTTTTGTTTTGAAGAGAACGGTTCACACCCTGGTCTCGTCTAACGTCTACCTTTTTGTTAGACAGCATCATTAATTCATAGCCCAATGACAACACAAATGGAAGTGTAGTTTTCCGAGAATCGAAGTGGATTGCCACTGGACGGACGGAAAATTTCTACTCTGCTTCCAAGCCTAGGAAAACCCAATCTATCCAACCACTTGGCTTGCATTTCAAACCATACCCTTGAGTAGTATTACCTGTCAAGTGACTGTTGGTCACCCCGAGCAGCAGCAAATGTAGTTGTAGAACAGTCTGGGGTGCGCACTCAGTAAAGGCTTGTAGAAACATATAACTGTGGATTTCTCTGGGTAGACATTCATCATACTCTGCTAGAACCTCTTTACACGGCTTTTTCATCCGGATCGCCCAAATCGTCCAGGTGAAATGCTTGAACAAACTGTACATTCAAACCAACTATTAGGTAGGTTGAGTCAAAGACGATGGTTGAATCTTGTATTTAGATTACCACATTGAACTGGCAAACATAATGGGGTGTTCTGGATGCAGTGTAGAACTTGTTTGATTTAAACTCTTAAATCAATCTTTTTCCTGATTTTAGAAGTTATTTTATAAAATTTGTATTAAAATAACACCGTTAATTTGAATACTTTGAGAAATTTTGGATGGTTTCACATTTTGGAACATCAATGTATTACTAGGGTTTAAGAAAATTAATGTGCCAAAGTTCTGACATCAAAGCATTGCAAGGTGTTGGTAGGCCTTGTAGTGTGGGTCACATTTTCAACAAAGATTTGTCTTCATTAGGCATTCAGAAACTGATTCATTAAAGCAATCGTGTACTTTGTTATAACCGTAGTGCTTCAATGCTTTATGGTGTCAACAAATAAGAAAGTTTTGTTTCAATTTGTGTTATTCTTTCATTTGATGTGTCATTTAACTAAGTCTTGTTGACTTTTGAATATTGAAGTAGGCATCCCATCCACAGTATATGAACTAGCTGTGGCCTATTTTTATTTAAAAAATAACACAGGTGAATGAGCAGTTCATTACCGTCTAAAATTACATTTTCTGACTTAGTTTTTGTTACTGAGATAGTTGATGTTGCATAAAATACGCTACTTAGCTTAAAATAAGCCATCCTATTAGCTTGGCAAAAAATCTGGCATATTGGACATAAATCGGTAATTTACTGCACTGTGTCATAGCTTAATCCAACTTTGTCCATTTAGGTAAAAAGCTGGAGACAGCTTTAATATGATCTATAATATCTAGTTTATCAACAATTTGAAAACAACATTCTGTAGTGTTGTACCTCATGGAGATGAGTACGGGGGAGACAATGATGTTAACAGTCAGCGAGGTAGCCCAGGCGAGTAGGTCTGTGAGCCGCGGTCCCTGGGGGGGTTGAGGGGGAGCGAGCCACAATGTGAGCAGTACAGGGTTGTATACCATGGAGAGAGTGACTACCCCGGCTACAATCAGCTGATGTGACCACAGCAGACGACAAGCCACCACCAGGTCTACCACTACAGCAGTCAGGTGCAGTGCAAACCTGAGGCCACTGGGTACTATAGTGTACGTCCACAACTGTACAGAAACAAAACCAATGAATATTGAAATGCAACGTTGCTTCAAAGGTTTTAAAGGAAAGCCAAGTAGCTAGACATTTTTTGAATGGGATGGAGTTTAAGATTGGAATAAATGTCTACAACGCCGATTTAAGGGTGCATAGTTTAAGGGGAAGATGAGGGTATAAGATGAGAAGATAGCTTTGTTACTGACTAAGATCTGCTGTTTCTTAGTCAGACCTTGAAATCCCAATGACCAAGGACAGCAGGACCCAGATTTGAACCATTAAAAATACTTTGACTTTTCTCAGGATCGAACTACTAGCGACCTTCTAAATACCAGGCGAGCATTACAACCACTCAGCTACCCAGCTAAAACTAATTATTGTAATTTTATTTTATATTTCAGCAAGATTACTTGAATGAATTAAAGTTCAGGGGCCATAAACAGATACACAATAAAAGTCATAAACATAACACTGATATTTCATCCAGTAGAACTTCTTTAGAGAGTAGTTAGAAGAAAAAATCGAGAAAAGAAAACTCCCCTACTATTACTTTGATAGTATTATGTGTATTTTAACAGCAGAGGCAATGTATAATCGTTGTATAAAGGGAATGCTCCAAACGTAGGTTTTGTTTAGTCAAAGCTTCAACGCTAGCTAAGTATAAGGTATTTAAACCATTACGCATTACTTTGCATTTACCCGTCCATAGCCTGCAGCCATGGATAAAAAATACTCCCTTAGTAGATTTCCCATCCTTATGGAACAGCTGAAGCTAATATTTTTATCATTAGTTCTGTCCGGTGCTTTGTAGATGTTGTGTTTTGTTTAAAAAAAATTTCTTGTTATTTCAGTCATTTAAATCTTCCTACAGTATAAGCAAAGTGCGTTTGGATTGGAAACAAATAGTACAATCTAATCATAAACAATAACTCATCCTCTAGTTATATAACCAAACAGTAAAGCACAAATCATGAAATTAACTCTGAAATAATAGAAACAAAATTTGGTGTCACCGGACATGAACTAGACACAAAAAACGAGCTTCAAAATTTAAAATGGGATGGGAAGTCTACTTGTGTATGCTGCAGCCTATAAGCAATGGGTGAGGCGGTCCAGTACAAAAATAAAAAAGAATAGATGGATGATTGCCATCACAAACAAAAAACTGCTTTTTATTTTGATAACAGAGTACTTAAAATGTTTTATCTTCATTCAATCCATTAATAGATAAGTCTAAAATAATAAATCAATCTGAGGACAAATAAATCCCTCTAAACCCTATTACAGTACTTACCCATTTTCTTGGTTCCCACAAATCAAAACACAGAAACTTTTTCCTCACTGGCACATGGTCTTCATCCATTTCATGTCAACTATAATTTGAACACATTATTTAATGTCGTCTTGAAATATCACACATTTAATGTCCCACAAACACTAGTAATATTTCAAATGCATGTGGAATTCCACAACATAGTTTTGCTATCAGTCAGTAGTGGTTTGTCACGGTACGGTTGTCAAGTCAAACTGAAGTATATTAGAAAGATAAGCATGTCAGGCCTTGTCTCTTCACTATCTCTGTCGCTTGTTTGCCTTGTGTTGTTGATAGCCAGTGTTAGTTATTTACCTGAATATTATTTTCAAGTGTGCAAATATGATATCTGAGGTCAAAGTTCCCCTTGGATGTTATCTAATGCACAATGGTTTGATGCAAATAAATGCATATATTTGCTTGTACAGTACTATTGCGAATATTTTTTCGTAAAATTTAATTTCTATTAATGTTCTATTTGTGTACGTCAAAACATCACATTTTTCCCTATATGCACATGAAAGATATGCACATGCTTTAGTCACTTGCGTTTAACAGTTCTTTATTATACTTTAATTGCTCTGTGTTCTTCACATTTTGTCAACTCCTTTTATCTGCTTGCTTCTTTGCCACGCTCACGTCTTAATTTCAGTGAAAACGAAGAAATGTGGCAAAGTAGGGGAGTATAGACTTTTCTTTATTTTATATTTGAGTTATAGGTGTTTATACATTGTCCATTATCTTTATGTTATTTGATTTATAATGATGGCTTGAGAAAAAAAGCTTATTATTTCAATGAAAAATATAGGTCTTGTATGGTTTTGCCAGTAGAGGAAATTGATTTAATGATTTTTAACATGTTTACTGGGGGTTTATTTAGGTTGGATTATTAAAACTCATAGTTTGTCCATTGTCCGCAGGCCCCAGTGTACACTGACATTGGTACTAGAACACCGCTGGGGCTGAGCAGAGGCCACGCCTACCATGTCACTGGAGTCAAGAAAGTGCCTCTTGGAGAGACTAACCTTCGAACGTTGTTCAAGTCAGTAATGATCAGCTGTTTATGTATTGTAGATTATCTAAAATTAAATGTGGAAAAGATGTTTTAATTTCATTTGGTTTATTTATTTATGCATTTTGATGGATACAGCAGAATTTTTAAATTCTATTATACATGGATGGTAGTAAAAAAGAGTATACTAGGCATTTGATATCCCGTTGGATAATACGTTCAGAACCTTTTTTAACCATTGAAAGTGGGATCCTATATGTATCCTCTAAAAGAATATTTTTAGTCACTGTTCAACACAATTTTGTAAGACTTGTATTTTGTACAACAAAAAGATTCACTTTTTCAAATACTTTATACTGTCAAGTTGAAAGTTTTTTTTTTTTACAACTTCAGCACTATGATAGCTTCTTAGCTTGATTATTATTTATTAAACTTATTCTTATAAAGTAATCTATCTATTTTGCTGGTGTAATTCAAGAGTGGAAAACAAAAAGAATCTACAGATTTGACTTTTACAATCTTAATCTATAGAATCGTAAAGATACATCTGTCTGAATCTCAACCAGATAAAATGGGTTGTAAGATATAGCATACACATTTTTACTCTTATATACTTTAAACTGGACAAATTAGTTGGCTCTTGATGTATAAAACGTAATAGGCACTTTTTATAAATATAGTTATACAGTATAAGGAAAACAATGGAAGTCAGTATTTAATTAACAATACAATCTTACAGTATTACAAATCAAATATGATGATTTAAATTTGCCAAAAATGTTACTGAATATTATTTTTGTACAGAGGAAGAGAAAAAGTGGTTATGGTTCGTTTGCGAGACCCTAGAGAAGAAGGTCGTCGACCCCCTACTGGACCAAGGTGAAACTGACTTAAGTACCTTATGTCTAAAAAATATTTAAGGATAACATATTTACTAAATGTGTTTTATGTAAGATCCGAAATTTAGTCATAAAAATGTAAATAATTATGTCTGTTTACTGATTCATGTAATTTAAAATCATTTTGCAACAGTTATATCATGTTTTCTTTAGGTGGCGCAATTTTATGTTAAACAAATCCTCTTAAAATTACCTTGACAAAGGAAGCCAAATATATAGAAGTATGAGTGCTAGTAGTGTAGACTAGCTAATTTAGAGGCTGGTAAAAATTTTGCCAGTTAAGAAAGTGGTTTACTTAGTTTGTTGAAATTCAAATAAAAGTGACCAAAAATTAAGTTAAAATACTTAAAATGCAACAACAAAGTTTTGATAAAGGTCCGCTCATTGTTTGGGATCAAAGATTGACACACAGTATGAATTTTGAATATTTTGATTTTAATTTATCTGTGTAGCCAAGTGGTTGTGTTGATCGTCAAATCTGAAGGTTGTTGGTTTGATTCCAAGCAAGGGGGTTTTCATGTTCATACACTTAAATGTCATTTGTCATTGGGACTATCTAACTACAGGTTGTCGTTAAATAGCAACAAGACCAGGGTTTGGACCATTACCTCACCAAAAATATTAAAACATGCTAAGTAGAAGTAGAAACACAACCAGAAATAATTTAAAAAAATGTAACCCCAAGGAAAGGAAAATTCGAAAATTGTAATTGGATTACTTGATCACAAACTTCAAAATATTGTTGTTGTTGGGTAGAGTAGACAGTTTTTTCTTAACATTACGCCTAGTTCTAGTCATTCAAGAGCAATAACCCTGTTTTAGAGGAACTGTTTCAATTCCTGCCAATCAACAAAGCCAATTTTCTTTGTGATGAGTCTACATTTTTTGAGTACATGAACAGCTAGGTCTTTCAGACTAGAGTGTGTTAGTGATTCCGTAAAACGCTACATGTTAACTATGCTACATGTTACAGTGAGGATGGCCCAGAAAGTGAGGGACAGTACGCGTACTCCACAGCCACCCTGAGCCGATTGTTGTCCTCTAACTCTGATTGGTCCAGAGTGAAGGAGTCTGAACGTCAAAGGCTCGGGCTGCACTTCAACGACAAGGCTGAGTTTTGGTAAAGGTCTGCTATTTGTCTGGATCTGTAGGCCTAATTTTGTGAAAACCTATTAAAAACATGTTACAAGTAACATTTAAACCCACACATTAATAGGCTAATACAAATCTTCAATAGAGAATTTGGTAAATAGATTGTGGGGCCAAATAGATAATGTAAATTTTAAAGACAATGGACCGAATACAATGAAGATCGACACCCGTTAAGTTGATTTCAACGATCTTATTGGATTTGAAAATGGAGCAAAAATGCTCCAAAACCAGTCATCTAGTATATATAATAGATAGGGGTTTGAATGTGACAACACGTGTGTAGATTGATTGATTGTAAGAGGGGAGGACTCATGGTCCAAGCACGTCAACCGAAGCTTATTGTGCATCCCACTTGCCACTAACTGGGTAAGCCTATGCCTGTGTCCTTGACTAGGTGCAGGAGCTTTTGCCCAATGTTAGCGTCTGGTTCGTCACCTGGCTGCTTTAGACCAAATAGAGCCCTTCTCCTAGCCCGTAGTCCATTGCAGTCCAGAATAATATGTTTTGCAGTCTCATCGGACTGGTTACAAAGTTGACACTCCTGCTTGTCATTGACAATTCCTAGAGTGTGGAGATGTTTCCTGAAATGGCCGTGTCCAGTGATAAGAGCAAGTACCTGCTAGACCTGCCCTCTCCCCAGTTTTAGCAGCCAGCGAGTGAAGAGGGTGCTTGGTTCTGAGAGCAGTGTTTTGCCAAGTGATTGTCCATGATAATTATGCCAACGCTCAAGGTGTTGTCCCCTGGACCATTTGTTGATTGTTTAGCGGCAGCTTTGCTGATGCCACAAAATGGCTCTGGTCCAAAGAGTGGCATGCTCGCACCTTTTTTTACCAGCTTGTCTGCACTCTCATTGCCGCCAATGCCTACATGGCCTGGGACCCAGCCAAGAGTTACAGAGTTCTGTGATGCAAGTCTGCAGAGGGTGTTGAAACACTCCCAGGCCAGTTTTGAGGTGACTTCATTTGAGTCAAGAGCTTTCAGAGCAGCCTGACAATCAGATAAAATCTCTATCCTTCTGTCTTGGTACTGTCTGGCTAGTCCTAGGTTGGCACAAGACAAGATGCCATAGATTTCTGACAGGTGTGTAACCTTCAAAGTCATTGTATGCATCCTGGAGGAAATATCTTGAAATAAAGTATGTACAGTGGAACCTTGATAAGAAGACCGTCGATAACAAGTCGCCCTTGATAACAAGTGTCATTTTCAAATCCCCTAAACAATTATTTTACCCCTAATCACATGTTATTACAAACCTCGATAAGAAGTCAACCTTGATAACAAGTCTTATTTTACAATCCCCATGAGAGTCTTGTTATCAAGGTTCTACTGTATATACTTTTGGAGAATTTTGAACCATCCAACTTTCGGGCATTCTACATTTGACTTGGTTTGAGTTTGAACTTTGAAAATTACTGTTTTTTTGTGCCAGGATGCCTCTAGAAGACGTAGTTACACACTTTACCGAACTGGTGATTTGTCGTCTGCTCAATCGTAACTTGTTCGCCGTAGCTCGACGTGAGTGGCGTGAGGCTGTGTTCTCCGACTCTTGGCGCTGCGGCGCATTCGGTACCTCCGCAGACCGAGCGGGCGGCGCAGAGGACACATTTCTGCGCAATCCTCAGGTAGCTACTGCATTTGAAATATTTTACAAATTTACATGAGCCAACTACTTTTGTGATTTAAGGGTGTATTAGTAAATGCAATCTAAGAATTTGGTGCTGTAGGAAATTTTCTGAAGAGATTAGTATAGTGTAGTATAATTATTGTCAAAAAATTTTGCCCATTCCGTTTTTAAAGCAATTTTTAAAAAAGTCAGAAGAAGCACTTTGTGACTTAAGTAATTGAGTTTTGAAGACTTTTCCGAGTCTAAACCAAACTTCCTGTTATGTAAACCATTCTAGTTAAGTTACGCTTGTTGAGTGTTCGTTAACAGGCCCACTTTTATAAACGGGCAGACTGGGCATATGCCTAGGGGCACCGCCCGCCCGCACTTGAAAAAAAGGGGGCGCTGCTTTTGGGTTTGCCCATGGCTCCACAGACCCTTAACGCGGCCCTGTATGTAAATACAGTATCAGTGTAACAATACAAGACCTAATTATGAAGCAAAGTTTCAATTATTTGCATACCTGATGATGATTCCATGTGAACTGAAAATAGCGCGCCACTGCAACCTTAGGCAACCTTTGAGGAACAGGTACTTAAACCCCTTACCGTATGTCTTGGTAATCTGGAGGTGAAATATTTTTAAAATATATCATTTTCCTGTTTCAGTATATCTGTGATATTAAGAAACAAGAAGAGGAATTGCTGGTTCAGTTATTGCAATTTCATGAAATTGACAATGAATCTAATGGATTCACAAATTTCCTTATCAACTTTTTTATAATCAAGGTAAGATATTTGCTTATGAATCTTAATTAGTATTTGTGATCCGTCAGAGTCTGCTTTACCTATTTCAGGTACTATGGTATTTTATTGTTATGTTAACAAACATAATTAAATATTTGGAAGTACAAAACAGGATCCAGCCCTCGTGCTTTTAACTAATGAAACAGCTAATCTTAGTCAGTCAGTAACAAACCTTCACGGTTTATCTACTTCCTAATGTACAATATTTTCTATCTCGGACTATTGCATTGTACAGCATGCGTTTCTTAGATTTGGATATCCAGTGTTATTTCTGTGTAAAGAACACTTGGAATGTTTGAAACACCATTACAGGTTAAAATGGTGGAGTTTAACTATGTAACTTAGAGCTCAAGGGCAAAGGTTTAAGTTTTTTTTTATGAGGATAGCAAGCTTACCTGAATGTGCAAGGGGTCACCTCTGCCCTGAGAAACGAAAAACAAAAACAATTTAAAACATACATCAAATTAAAACATTTCACTGTCATTGACAGCATTTTTAACCGATGAGGACTTAGAGATGGGAAGAGAAATTGTTGAATTATGTTAGCTCTATCTTAAATGTCCAAGTGGATGGATGTTTTTAACGATGTAGCAGCTTAGCTAACAAATTTAAATTAATAGAACACTTTTGACACGTCCGCGCAATTGAAACTTCTTCTTTATTGCAAAGTTGTTCCTGTCATGACAGGTAGAAGAGAACCGTCAGACACGGCTACACAAGCAGTTTGACCACACGCCCACTGTGGTGAGGTTGGACCACAAGCGGAAGCGGGAGTTGAACTACCGAGGGTGCCTGGCCGCCGGCCGCTACATCATCATCCCCACCACCTTCCGAGCTGCTGACACGACCAACTACATGCTGCGAGTGTTCTCTCAGAACGACATCAACCTCAGGTCAGTCTGATTAAAACCTTTTTCCTAGTAAAATGCATTGATATAAACTGACTTGAGCTTACAGAACTTGTCAGCAGTTACGATTGGAACAATCAGGATGTTACGTTTTAACAGAATGCCATTTTCAAACACCTTTGTCCATAAAGAAAATTAAATCTCCTTGAATAGCTTTGCTGATGGCGTTGGTTTAGTCATTAAAGCTAATCAAGGACTCTTATCTAATCCACAATCACTACTCATGTTAACATGTTTTACTTACTGATAACAGCTGATTCTTTACCATTGATTAAGGCCTGCTGGACTCAGCTTCCAGCCATCAAAGAGCTACTGACTATTGAAGTAAGCATCATGTCCCTCATTGTAGCGATAATATTGTTGATGATTGTTTGCAGGGAGCTAACCAATGATCTGCCCAAGAGTCTGTTATGTTCGTGTATTTCTGGCAATGCTGAGTGGGTTACTGTAGTCACCGTACACAACGCAGAGCTGAATGCTGAGCCTGGAAAATGGTCGTCCAGTGAGTCAACTTGGTTTTTTTGCTTCTCGTTTGTTACACAAGGCTTTTTACATATCCTCACCTCTTTTATTAAACCTTTTGGCTAGTCTATACAAAGAGTTCCTCAAATGTTAAACAACTATTTTATTTATTATTACTAAATACATTTTAAGAAAGGACATTATATAATATTTGGCTATAACGAGAATGACGAAGCACCTGTGCATTTATCTATAACCTCTGTACGTTTATGTGCTAATAAACATGATTTGATTTGATTTGATTCATTAGTACAAGTCGATAATAGTTTATCTTGGTTACATAATCGTCAAGTTCACCCAATCACATCAACTTCAAGCTTATCCTTGTCTGTTTTTAAATGCTTAGTTATTAAGTTGATTATTTACAATATGGGGAGTGAGCTGGTCTAGTAATTAGAGCGCAAGACTTCAGTCCCTGATGTCCAGGTCCAAATCCCGCCAAATCACCAAACCAATGGATTTTATTTAAGTGATATTGCCGCAACCCCTAGGTCTAGCCTGAAGTAATGTGGAAAACAATCTCATGCTCTTGCCTAGCGTCCTAGGACAAAAAAGTAGATTATCTATTCTATATATAATTCAGTTTTAAAAATCTTTGTACAACTAAATCTGGAGTTCTTCTAATGGACCGATTTTATTAATTAATGGGTCGTTGGAAAGCTTAATTTGTGTAGATTTGCAAATAATTATTGAAAGTTTGTTTTTGTTATGATTTATGGTGATAAATTAAAGAAAACGTGTTTTCCATAAGAAATACATTGAAAACGGTGTTTTTCACACTTTTTATTTGGGCGCGACTTTTAGCTGCCATTTTTGAATATTTCTAAGAAGTGCATGGTATCAATTTGTAGGAAATTTTATTCTCTTTCAGAATATCACCTTCCACTTTGGTCGATTTCCTTACCATTTAAAAGTTATTTGCAAAAAAGCTAAGCAACCTCCGAATTTATAGTAATGAGAAAATATTGAGTTTGGGATTTTTTTTTTAACTTTGTACAACTAAATCTAGACTTCTACTGGACCGATTTTGTTAATTAATGGGTCATTAGAAAGCCTAACCCATGTAGATTTGCAAATAATTATGAAATTGTGATTTTATTAAATATTTGTGGTGAAAAATTAAAAATAACAAAAATACATTAAAAACTGGGTTTTTTAAGTTTCTATTTTCATGATTCTATTTGTAGCCAGCTTTTGGCTGCCTTTATTAAGTATTTTCAAGAATTGCATAGTAGTTATTTGTAGTAAATTTTATTCTATTTCAGAATATCACATTCACTTTGGTTGATTTGCCCTCCATTTAAAAGATATTGGCAATAATCTAATTGATCTCCAAATTTATAGTGGTGACAAAATACTGAATTAGATATATTTTTGTTAAACTTTGTACAACTAAATCTAGACTTCTACCGGACCGATTTTGTTACTTAATGGGTCGTTGGAAAGCCTAATTTGTGTAGATTTGCAAATAATTATGAAAGTTTGATTTTATTAGATATTTAAGGTAAAAAAATAAAGAAATAAAAAATTAATACATTTAAGACTCCTTTTGTTCCAAGCTTATATTTTCAATTTTATATTTGTAGCCAACTTTAGGCTGCCTTTATTGAGTATATTCAAGAAATTAATAGTAATTTGTAGGAAATGTTATTTTCTTTCAGAATATCACCTTCCACTTTGGTCGATTTCCTCATCGTTTCAAAGTTATTTGCAAAAACATTAAGCAACCTCCAGGTTTATAGTAGTGAGAAAATACTGAATTAAAGATGTTGTTGTTAAACTTTGTACAACTAAATCTACTGTTCTACTGAACCGATTTTATTAATTAATAGGTCATCGGATAGCCTAATTTGTGAGGATTTGCAAATAATTATGAAAGTACTGTTGAGGTTGCAAGCAAGATCGTTTGGCTATAAATCGATGATAAATAACTCTATTTTTTGAACAATTTGTGTTGGTCGTGATTTAGCTGCGTGCTTTAATGAAATGGAAGCTGGTATTTCGATTGAAAAGTTTTCTTACTTTTTATATTTAAATAAATACTCACTTTTTACATTAAACAAAATTATTATTCACAAAACCAACAACAAGATTCTCAAACACATTCCACTAATAGTTTTTATTTACACCATTAAATTGTTGTGATGTTATTTTAATAATTTCATTACAGCTGTTCTTTTTCTAATAAAGGCAGGCTTAAACAAACATTTTATTTTTATATTATATTTAACACTCCCCCTTAAGAATAAAATGTTTTATATATTTCTCAACGCTAGATTCTTGTAAACCCATACTGCTAGCTTAGTTAATAATATTGTTTGTGTTTTACAAAGTTGAAAAAAAAAAGTTTTAACATTTGAAAATACACTGTTTTTATTAGATTGTCTATTTATTGTCCATTTAATTTAATGAATAATATTTACATTATATGTACAGTACATTGTTTACCTCATCATCTTATTTCTAAGTTTCAACTCAAAATTAGGCAAAGCTTTTAATGAGGATTTCTTTGAACTTTTGAAATTTAGGGTAAGTAAGAGATTTTGTGAAAATATCACCTAACTGTTCATCAGACCTACAGTATTGGAGTGCAAACAGACCTTCATGAAATTGTTCACTTATGAAGTAATAGCGTACATCGATGTGTTTGCTTCTGCGGTTCATTTGGCCGGATTGAATCATTTTCATTGCGCTTTGATTGTCAATGTTGAGTGTTATTTTCACTGGCTTGTTAGTAAGTTCACTAATTAGAGTTTTCAAATATTTTAGTTCCTTGCAGCATTCAGCAGCGGAAATATGTTCTGCTTCAGCTGTTGAAAGTGCTACAATGGGCTGTTTTCTTGAGCTCCAAGTCACAGGTCCACCTGCGAACATTATTACATAACCACTTGTACTTTTTCTGTCTTGAGTGTCTCCTGCAAAATCAGAATCACAATAAGCATTCAGCTCAATTTTGTCACGTTTAATTGAAGAGAATCTTATTCCATGGGTTTGTGTTCCTTTTAGATATCTAAGGGTTCTCTTTACATTTTGGATATCATTTTTGTCAGGATTTTCCAAGTGTCTACTTTCATAACTGACTGAAAAACTCATATCAGGTCTGGTTTTGTTAGTGAGATAAAGCAGACTTCCTACTGCTTCTCTGTAAGGAAAAGCTCCTTTAGTAGTATTTTCATGAAGAGTTTCAGTTGTATCTTTCAGGTTAATTGGTGTATTTACTTCTTTGCAGTTCTTCATATTGAATCTTTCAAGAATTTGTTTTGCATACTTTTCTTGGCTGATTAAAATTCCGTCCCTGTTACGTTTGATCTCCATCCCTATATAAACTGTTGGATTTGGACTGATCGTCATCTCAAATTCATCTTCAAGTTGTTTTAGTAGGTTTGCAATTTTTCCTTCATTTTTACCAATCAAAATGCCATCATCTACATGGATAGCTAAGTAGAGATCGTTATCGGGATTCATAAAAATACACTGATCTGACTTCAGTTGTGTCAATCCTTGACTTTTAAGAAATGAAGTAAATTTCTTGTTCCACAAGCATGGGGCCTGTTTTAAACCATACAATGATTTATTTAGTTTACAGACTTGACCTTGATCTTCAAAACCTTCTGGTATCAACATATACACGTCTTCTTCCATTAGACCATATAGAAATGCTGTTTTAATGTCAAATGTTTGTATATGCATGTTTTCTTGTGCTGCTATAGCAAGAAGTAATCTTAGTGAAGTACTGTCCACTACAGGACTAAATGTATCTTTGAAATCTATTTTCCCTTTTTGCTGACATCCTTTAACAACAAGTCTCGCCTTATAGGTTCCATCATCTTTGACTTTGAAAATCCATTGAGTTGTTAAAATTTGCTTTCCTAAAGTTTCTTTTCTGTCAACAATTTCCCAAGTTTCATTTTTCTTCAGAGACTCTTTTTCATTATTTATTGCAATTTTCCATTTTTCTTTTTCATCTCCATTGATACATTCATTGTACGTCAAAAGTGCGTTAAGATCGTAGTCTTCATATCTGACAGGTCTTTTTATGTTGTTTCTTTGTCGAAGATTATATCTTTGGTTTCTTATTTCAGGTTCTTCTTCATCAGTATCATTTTCTTCTTGATATAGGTCTTCTGGTTCCTGTTCATGTTCTTCTTCGTGTTCAGGTATAGTGTCTTCTTCTTCTAGTTCTTCACTTTCATCTAGTACAGCTTCTTCTTTAACATCTTGTGGATCATCGGTTTTAGGTTTAGTAGTAACACTATTCTTTACAAAAATCACATCTCTTGAAATGATTATCTTTCTTTTCTCTTCATCCCACATTCGGTATCCATTTAAAGCATAACCAACAAATATCATTTTCTTGCTTCTTTTGTCGAGTTTCTTTAGTCGACCTAGTGTCTTACAGTATGCTTCCGTTCCGAATACTTGTAGTCTAGAGAGATCTGGTTTCTTGTTATACCATTTTTCAGCTGGAGTTCTATCGACAGTTATAGATGGGATTCTATTTAACAGATATGCAGCTGTTAACACTGCCTCTCCCCACATGTCTTTTGACAGATTTGTATCAAAGAGCATTGCTCTAGCTTTATTTAACAGAGTTCTGTTCATTCGTTCTGCAGTTCCGTTCAGTTGTGGTGTATGAGGAATAGTGTAATCCAGCACAATCCCTTTTTCCTTGCACCAATTTTTTAGGTTTGTCGAAACATATTCACCTCCATTGTCACATCTTATTTTGTGTGCTTTAAGGTTAAAGTATGCTTCTGCTTCATTGATGTATTCTTTAATGTATTGATTGGCTTCATCTTTAGTTTTCAATAAATATACTTTACAGAAATGAGTATAATCATCAATGCAAGTAAGGAAGTAACTTTTTCCGTCATGTGTAGAGGGTTCTATTTTTCCACACACATCTGAATGGATTATATGTAAGGGCTTTGATCCTCGTTCCCTAACAGTATTAAAAGGCAATCTGGTATGTTTTGCTTCAATGCAAGCTGTACAAAATATGTTCTCACATTTTGTTATATCAGATGGCATTCCACTTGACATTTTAGTTAGTTTCTTGATGCTCTCATTATTTAGGTGTCCTAACTTTTTATGCCATATTTTCATTAATTCACTAGAATTTTCTTGATTTTCACCGTTGTCTTCTTGTTGACTGCTGTTATTTACCACCTCACCTGACTGAATTGTGACATTGCTGGTATTACCATTAGAGAGACTATTTTCACTACAAATGCTGCTTCTTAAATTGACTATATACAATCCCTGACTATTTTTATTACCTTCAAGTATCATTTCATCGTTTTTAATTACTTCTACTTTATTTTTAGTGAAGACAACTGTACCACCTTTTTCCGTAATGGCATTTACAGACATTAAATTATTACTAAGTTCTGGTACGTAAGAGACATTATTTAAAATACACTTGTCTGTTTCAATGCTACCAATACCTAGAGAAAACATTTGACTGGTTTTTCTTAGCGACTGATATTTCCTGTTTAAACTCTTTTAAGTTACTTAAAATATTACTGCAGTTGGTCATATGGTTTGGGGTGCAACCACTGTCAACAACAAAAGCCTTGTTAACTTCTTTTACTTCATTTATATGCTTAGGCATACTTGTTTCAAGGATTAGGCCTACCTGTTCCTCCTTAACCTTGGTCAGAAAAACAGTTTTATGGGTGTTTTTAGGATCTTTGTTATTGTTATTTTCACTAGACCTATCTCTAAAAAAACAATTCTTAGTATCATGGTTACTTTTCTTACAAATAGTACACATCATTGGCCTATTTTCCTTAACTTTATTTTTAAGATAACAGTTTGACTCATAATGGTTATTCTTTTTACAAAAAGAGCAAAACTTTTTACTAGGACAATTCTTTTGAATGTGACCTATCTTTTGACAAGTGAAACATTTTACATTATTAGGCTTATTAAATTTAGTCATACCTTGTTCATATTGAGTAGAGCTAGCCTTAACAACTGTACATTCATTACCACTGCTGCTGTCCATAGATTTCATCTTACTTTCCTCTTGAACAAGTCGAGCTTTCAGATTTTCGAGTGTCCTTTCCGTAGCTGATGTCGAGTCCCAGGCACTGTTGAAATGTCTGAAGCTTTCTGGTAGTATCGTCAGGATCTTCGTTATCACCATTGTGTCATCTATTTTCTGGTCGAGTTGGTTTAGTTTATAAGTTAGGTTCTGTATTAGGCAAAGGTTACTCATCATATCAATTTCTCTATTGTACTTGAAGTTGTAAAAGTCCTGAAGTAATGCACATTTTTGGGTTTCAGTATCTTTTTGAAAAAGTCTTTTTAGTGTTTGAAACATTTCATGGGCGTTTTTACAAGTTAAAATATGAGGTTTAATTTGGTTCAATTGTTAGCAATATATAATGTTGAGCCTTGGCATCCTTTACCTTCCACTTTTTTATTTTTGATGCATCATCACCTTGTTCATCTAAGGTTTCAGTTCCGTCAACTACATCTATCAGTTCTCGTGCTTTGAACAACACACTAATCTCAAATTCCCACATAGTAAATGTTTCCACGTTTTAAAGTCTTTGAATAGTGTTATAATCATTTTCACTGGTCATTATTAGTAAATGTTGATATACTCACGCTAAGAGACAACTTCAAACTTTGTTCTTCTAGTTTTAGTTTTATGGTATTAATAGCCCTGTTCTTACTTGGTTTATTTTATGGCATGAGCAGCCCTGATTGTTAATTTTTAGCTTTATGGCATGAGCAGCCCTGGGCCCACACCTGAAAAGTTTTCTTACTTTTTATATTTAAATAAATACTCACTTTTTACATTAAACAAAATTATTATTCACAAAACCAACAACAAGATTCTCAAACACATTCCACTAATAGTTTTTATTTACACCATTAAATTGTTGTGATGTTATTTTAATAATTTCATTACAGCTGTTCTTTTTCTAATAAAGGCAGGCTTAAACAAACATTTTATTTTTATATTATATTTAACATCGATGAAGGTTCTTAAGTCAAAACAAATAGAATAACGTAATTAGAATTAAGTAAATGTATCTAAAACTAAATTCCATATCCAAGATATAATCAAATTTATATTTTCTGATTGAGCGATACAGTATCTTGAACTTAACTGATTAAAACTATCAATATCTCAAGTGAAAGCCTTTGAAGTATTTTAAGACCAAGACATATAAAATAACTTAAATAAAAATAGAGTTACGTATCATTGATTGCAGATAGGTACTAAAACGATTGTATTTATTATTGATTCGTGATTCAGCAGTGTGCTTTAGGTAGTCCGATCTTAATAATCAATAGCTCAAATGAAAGCTGGTATTTCACTTAAGGTTTTTAGACCAAAATGTATAATGTAATTAGAACTGCTGGAATACATCTTTAATTGAAGAGAGAAAAATCTTTGGTCGAGATTACTCGACCAAAGATTTTTCTCTCTTCAATTAAAGATGTATTCCAGCAGTTCTAATTACATTATATCTTATTTTGTGCTAAGCTAATGTATTAACATTAGCTAAATTAACGATGATGCTTGATGAGAAATATGTGCTTGCATAGCTTAATTTTAAGACCAAAATTATGAAAATTGGGCAGGTAGAAGAGCCCTCCTGTAAACCATCGCTCGCCTGCGAAACATTGAACTCGAAAAAAACCAAATTTAACACCTATAAGAAATGTATAGGCAGGCAGTTTGTGCATAACTCGAAATATACGTCAAAATGAATGCCGATGCTTTGATGGCAAATCTGCGTTACGTCCATACCTTTAGTTTAAGGCCAAAATTATGAAAATCGGTCGGATAGAAGAGCTAACCCGACTCGGAAAAGAAAAGCCAATTATTTTTATAGATGGCAATAATTGGTTTACCAGTATGCATAATCTAATCATACGAAACATGTGTCAATATTTCAACAGCTTATTGTTATATTGTTATCTAATTAATTTTTCTTTGGTTAAATGTTGTTGTTAACAATTTGCATTCATGTTTAAAGTGTGTTCCTTATGTTAAATGTGTGATTCTAATGTTATGTGTTTAAACTGTACCATTAATATTAGTGAGTAAAGTGGTGTATGAATTTCATAACCATTATTTTACTAGAGACCGTTGTATTTAACCACAACGGGCACTGTTGCTAGTTTACAATAAAAGCCATTCCTAAAATTATTCAGTTATTTTGACGAACCGTTCACCTATTGTGTTTGAACAGATTACATACATTTATGTAGTGTTCTATAAAGTGTGTGATTTCAGAGCTCAACCCCTATTGTGTGCTAACCTGTGAAGGCAGCAAAGAGAAAACTAAGGTTTCTTCAGACTTGGATCCTGTGTGGGAAAGTTCCTTTGTGTTCTACAGAAAAGACATTGATAAGCCTTTGAGAGTACAGGTAAAAGAATAGTTTTAGAACCCTGGGTCTTGAAAAGTGTGTATGATCCTTGTGTCATAAAGACACGTTTTTGTCGCAATAAATTTTGAGTAGTAAACCTACCTATCAGAATCAGAAAGTATAAAATCTTGGTAGCAAATGAAATGTCGGTGTTTACTGTTTTTGATGTAATTAGTGAAGGAGTATGCGTTAGGTAGTAATAGTGATCCGTTCAAGTTTCAAGAGCAGTGCAGGGCAGTTTTCGAGGGACACTTTAGAATCTAGGTCTTTACAAATCAGGTTTTTAGAAACAAGGTGTTTAGAATCTAGATGTATTCCCTATTTGTAAATCTTATTGATAAGTTTGGCGAACAGTTGAGAATGCCTGCCCTAGTAACTGGACAAAATAACTCGTGAGTGAATCGTGGAAGCAGAGTGGGTTGAGTGCTTACCTTTTCACCCAAAGATTGTTGTTTTTTGGAAACAAAATCAAAAATATTATGCGCTCACTCATAGATAAAACATATCCCTGAGTAGATTTATCATCCTTGTTGATCATCTGAAGCCAATTTTATTGTTAGTTCTGTACGGTGCACTGTAGAGGTCGTGTTTTGTTTACTATTTATTTCTTGTTATTTCAGTCATTTAAAACCCTATCTAACCAAATAAAATGATCTAATCATAAACAATGATTCTTAAAAAAGTTTAAAAATTGTCTGAAACAGTATTTGATTAAAATTGCCCCTTATTCTCTTGAAGAGTTTTGGGAGAACAAATAAAATAAATATTCTGTCTTATTATTAGTTCTTAAATGTAAAACATTTTATTTTGTAAGATCTGACTCTATTCCTGTACAATTGTACTTAAATGAATAAAGGATATTTTGATTTGATTTGATTTGACTAACTAACCAAACAGTAAAGCACAAATCACGAAATTGACCCTAAAATAAAAGAAGCAAAATTTTGTCAACACTAGCGGTCAGTGTTACCAGACATGAACTAGACACAAAAACGAGCTTCAAAATTTACAACGGGATGAGGAGTCTACTTGTGTTAGTTAGTCTATCGCTCACTGATGAGTCAAATTAACTAGATCAAGCATTTCTTATTTAGAGGGTTTTAAATCAATCGTTCTGTAAAAAAAAAAAAAAAAAAAAAACAGCTGATCTTAGTGACTTAGTCTGTTGTACATTCAAAACTCATGTTTAGCTAATCTTTGCCTCATACTGTGTCAACGCTATTGTGGAGTGAAAACACAAGGGAACAGCACTGCTACTCTGCTTTATCCAAAAATCCAATATATTTATACCCGACCCAAGTTTTCCGAGAGAATTGTGAGCGTTTTCGAACAGGAAAATTTATGAATACACCACTGCTATCAATCTAGTTCTAACTTACGTTGTTCAATTGCTGGTTGAAAACAAATGACCACAATAATTGTCGGTTATCAACTTTCAAAGCCCAAAACTAAAACTTTTTGTCGTAGGATTTTTACTGCCAGAGGTGATGTACCGTTATGATGTTGTTAACCTAAGTCATGTGAGCATCAAATACTCCTCTTCTTAGAAGTTTGACATATTTTAACACTTGTTTCAGGTCCTAAATCATAATATGATTTTGCCTGATGAGGTTTTGGGTGAAAGCGAACTGCCGGCGCTTGTGAATCATTCCCCCACTCCACTGGCAGTCACGCTTAACTCACCCGAGAAACCCAAGGACCCGGACTCACCCTTGCCACCCACGGGTGTTGTCTTTCTCACCATCCTTAGTGAAGACAACCTTATGGCTGTGTGATGAGATTAACTATTTTTGTGTGATTTCATTTCTCTTTTTTGTCATCTTTGTAGTAAATTTTTATCCTTTTATTTTTCTCAATTTTAGGGAAAAGTAATGGAATATAATTGACATTCCCATCTGGAATGTTGTATTTTTTGAGAGTTATAATGCTTGAACAAATTTCTCAAGGTTTTACTAAGCTTTTTATTGATTGTAGGATTATTTATTTTTATTTTACTTAACTGTGTATTTTAGCTGTTGTTTTATACAAATACGCAAAAGGCGACATAGCTGTAATGTTTGTGATAACGGAATAGTCACTTTTATCTTAAGAAGATTTGCTTATCTTAGGAAGATTTGCTTTGTCTTAAGAAGTTGGATTAGCTTTGGCGTAATATCATACTCTTGATTTTTAGTGCTCAGATTTATTAGTGCTTGTTTACATTTTAGTAATCAGAAGGTCGCTGGTTCGATCTTGAAAAAAGTCAGAAGCTTTTTGATGGTTGGAAACTGAATCCAGCTGTCCTCAAGTGGGCTATAATTGTAATACACTGTAACTCAAATAATATGGAGTTGAATTCTTAGTTACCTCACAAAACTAAGAAAATGCTTGCAATAGTGTCTGCTGTAAAGGACTATGCACTTAAATAGCTTCTGGGAATGATAATTTCCCAACTAGAAAAATTATATACTTAATTATTGACCTGTTGGAATATAAGTACAGTATTGGGGTATTTTTTTTAAGTGCTAAATGTCTATGACTATGTGTAGTCCTAAATACAAGTACATAATTTTACAAGTGAAGTAGATATAATGTTTTCACTCACTAAGGCCCTGTACACATGTGGGCGGCAGTTGCCTCGGTTGCTATCGCCCGGGAACTGTGGCATTTGAAAGTACAAGGGAGCGAATGGGACCGTTCACATGCAACCGCCCACTTCCAATCAACTGCAACAAACCGCAGCGGTCGTAGTTTTCCCTTCGACCGCCGCGGCTCCCGTGCGGTTGGAGTTACTAGAGTTGACATGAGGGTGGTAGCCGCCACGGTTGGCTGCAGTTGCTACTAGGATCACAGACATCTGCGCGCTTGCCCTGTGGACACCGCTCTCTGTGCGTTGGTGAAGTGTGTAGCTGTGGCTGGAGTTGATTTAGTGCTTGTAGCGTAAGTTTACTATGGCCATGCGTGCTGTTGTGGAACCAGAAAACTTTGACACTGAACTGTTCATTGAAGAAGTACAAAAATGATGCATTTGGGACATACAATGCAACAACAAAACATTGCGTGGCAAGAGTTAGTTGAGTTTTTTTGCTGAAAAGAATTGTCAAGCGTAAAAAAAGAAAAAATTGGGTAAATACAGTACTGGCTGTCAAAATCGCGGCGGCAGCCGCTGCCATATGTACGGTCCCAGGCGGGCGCCGCAACGTGTGTACATGGCCTAAGTGATGATTAGATTAGACTGATGTTTGCTTTAATACTGATTGCAACTTCAACTAATAGGAGAAATAGTTTTTGTAGTTAGTTGTCACCGAGTACTTATACATTCTGGATCTCAAACGCAAACCTCTAATGTCCTCCTATCCTCAATAATTGCTCATCATCTGTTTAATTGGACGGAATCCAATCTAGTAAATACCCTTAATATGTTTGAGTAAAGTTATTTTTGTAGGAAAAACTGATGGTTAAAAAGTGTCGATGTAAAAAGATAAAGACTTTCAGCTTAAAACATTTGACCTGTGATCATTTTTAGAAAAATTTTTACATGACTGCAATATAATGCTGCAATAACTATGTGATATACCTCAATATTTTACCAAACATTATTTGTATTAAACGTCCCTTACAATAGACCAATGCCGTATATAACTAGATATTGTATAAGCCAGCATAGTTTGTGTCGTGTAAGGAAAGTTTGGCCAGTAGTACTTTATAAGGTTTTAGTAATTTAATAAAAATGTGTATGATTATGACATTTGTTGGTAAAGATGGCCTTAGGCCTGGGTATTTAAAGATTTTGTGGTGGATTTGTTTGACAGCAGTCTTATCTTTCTGATGAAAATGCACATATAATACACATACAATTTTTGAAACTAGTATTTTTTTCCTACAGTCACCCGACAAAGGGGGCTTCCTCTCACAGATTGTAGTACAGAAAGCCTTACTTTGGCTAGTATACCACTACTAGTATTCCAACCAAACAAGACAAAGCAGCGTGCTTTTATTATGCACGTAATCTGTGTAGGGTACGCTTAAAAATAAGTTGGCAACACTTAAAGATATTACAACTACGATCAGCTGGTGCAGCGTTTCCCATTTCGTTCAATTTTTGGATTTAACCTAACTTAAAAACGGGTTGTACAGTGTTTGAAAGACTAATATTATTTATATGATTTATAGTAACTTTAGGAAAAATATGATGTGTAACACGAGTAAGTGCCGCTTTGCCCACTAGTTGCACAAATAACTATTTTAGTTTGGCTACAAGGACAAAGAAAGACTTAACTGCTGAAGAAGGAGCTAGCAGCTAGTAGCTTTGAAAATTCCAAGGGTACAAACAGACAGGACGCGGCGCACTAAAACAAATACGTACGGTACTTGGTAATGCGAAGGAACTCACAGAGAGCGTCTAGGCAAGGGGGGGGGGGTGTGGTCGCCCCGTGCTGTGCTGCGTCCTGTTTTTGAGTTTATTTGTGCATTTTCATCAAATTTCATCAGTTATGTAATCCTGCTGTTAAACCAACCGGTCACAAAATCCTGTATGATAATTTATAAGTATTATTCTAAACTCGTTGAGAGTGTTAACGTAATGTTGTATCCAACCCTAAGGATTGTGATTTGTTTGTTGTGCTGTGACTATTGTTTGTAGTTTAGTTTTAGATTATAGCAATAAGATAAGAAGTTAAACTTAGTGCCTCGCACATGATTGCCTTTAGTATACAAATAGTGTTGTGACTGTAATCATAGATAAAACAGCCTTAGTCTGTAGGGTAAAGTGCAGACAAATATCCAAATAAATATGTTAATCCATGACAATTATTTTATGCAATGTCAACATATTTTTAATAAACAGTATTTTTAATAAATTGGCTTCTTTTACCTTATGACAAATATGTTTTTGTATTGATGAGAAACATTGATATTATATGGTCCTGGATTATTTTATTATAATATTTAATACTTTAATTTTACATACTACTTTGAGAAAATCTATCCTTAGGATTCTAGGAGAGTAAAAACTAAACATTTAAACTTAAACATCTTTATTAAATTCTCAAATCAAAATAATCATGACACAAATTTACAAAATAAGTACAAGTAGCATCATTGACAGTGTTTCCATACAGGGGATTTTAATTCCAAAAACGGGACTTTTTGTGTAATTTCAATGTATTTGTTTTCGCGTAGTATTATAGCAATGTTTAAAGAGCTATTACAGATATGCATTAAAATATCGCTTGAGATTTAACATGATCTTTTATGAAATTCATGGAATTTACGGTAAAACAGGATTTTTCATGACATAAAAGTGGGGATACAAGCAGGATTTTTCTTTTGGTCTTGTGGAAACACTGATCACTGAGCATTTGGTAAACAAGATCATATTCCAACAATCTTAACATAAGCCAGGTAATATTTATTTCTTGCCACCGGTGTCTTTTCAACCTACAGGGTTTGTAACACACTACATAATCACGAAACATCCTGTAAATAAACGGATTAAGCACGAAACGTAGAAATAAAGATTACCTGTACAAAAAAAAAACAAAGCACCACAACTAGTGATGTCATCAAATTCAACAATGATGTAATATCAACCCTCAGCACTTCATCAGTCTCTAAGTTTCTCATCTGTCTGCTTACAAAAAAACTTTTAAGGTTAAAAAAGTACTACGTGATTTAAATGGGGTAGTTATAGTGACATAAATTATTTTTATAACATCATCGTACTATAAAAAAATTTTGTGTTTTGGATAGCATTTGAAAACCGGACCAATGTTAGCTTTACAGTTCAACAGATTACTACGATCCCTAATGTCCTTTAAATTTATTTATTCCATTCCTCCAATCGAGTAGGTAATCATTTAAGATATTTGTTCATATAGTTGACTAGGTGTTTTAAAATAGCAGGATAAGGCCAAATAGTCATTTAGCACCAGTAGTGCATTTTGTTTATGAGGTCTACAATTTGTTGTTCTAGGTAGTATATTTGACTATTGATACAACATAGAAAATGGTACGGATATCGATATAGATCAAGTGTTCTATTTTGTAGAAATTATTAAAAGAAAATTATTACCCATCAAATCTCATATAGTAAGATTGAGATCATGAGATAACGGCCTTGCAAAAGCCCAAATTCACAATGCTTATTACAATATCAGAGAATTTTATTCAGTACTTTTTACTCTAATACACATAATAATGGCACAAAAACATTCCTTAGCACTGATATTCATTGACAACAAAAGTTTATAAAAACAAACATTATCAACATCAAGATTAAACTACTCATGCTTTGAAAAAAAAAACATAAACAAATTTAAAAATAGATAAAACTTCATCTTAACATGAGCTACATCAATATAAAATACGTGGAAAATACGATGATTACAGACACACAGTACTAAAATGCAATTCTCAATGAATTTACTTAACCCCACCATCGGGAAAGTTGAGATTCATGTTGAGAGGTTGAGAAAGGTCGAGTTCATCGGAATATTTAACGGAGGGAAGTTGTTCAATTGGTGTCAAACCACTGGGAGGCTGCGAGTGTCGATTGTCTTCAAATACAATCGGGTGGCGGCCAAAATCATCCAGTTCCACAAAAAGATATCTGTAGACATAGTTGCCAGATTCATCCTGTAATACAAACGAAAACATTTTTTAACTAACAAACCATGTAACCAGGTTAACCTAAACTTGAAATTGGCTGAAGTTTCGTAAGCGATTTTCAATATGATTGAAAGTAAAAGAATTGAGCCCAATAGATAAAATGTTTGTGTAGATAAATATTATACAAATGGGGTAGTCAGAATGAAATGTTTACAATGCCAATATTTTTGCATTGACTTGGGATTCCTATTGGATAAGCTGAAAGACTTTGTTTGTCAAAACAGCAGTAGTGGAAGTAGTAGATCTTCCACTGCCCATACCATGATATACAACCAATATTTATAATTTTTGATGAGGTAGTTCATATGCTATGCTTTCTTGATAAATGAAACTAGATGATCTAAGCTGCTACACAGTAGGCTAAAGTATAGGCCTACAGTTATAAAAAGGGTCTCCTGTTACTGCAGGTCGTCTAGAAAGTAATGGTCAATGGTTTTAGCAACCTAAATATTTAAAACCTTAATAAAGGAATAATTGTATCCAAACATGTCTAAGCTTAAAAATGAGAACACAGTAAAAAAATGCCTACCTCTTTCATTTCTAGATGGACAGTAGCTCGTTTTCTTGAACCATTGATGTAAAACTTCATCCGAAGTCGTTTTTCACCATCTTTTTCATAAAGGAGATGACTAAAGGGAATAAAACAGTTTAATTAGACTCAGCCTGAAATGCCTGTAAAAATTCTTATTAAGAACATTGTAATAGGCCTGCCTGAGGGCTGCTGGGTTCAACCTGGGAAGTTCAACCCAATTATTTTTGTTTTATGACAACTTAGTTTGCTTTAATAATGGTACAACATGACAAAAAAATTAAGTTCATTACACAGGCAAAAAGTGTTTTTTAACCCTCACTCATTTTTAGTTGTGAAACTTGAGCTCGAGTTGAAAAGAGTCATTTTACACCCTAGTGATGAAAATATACTAATATCCAACAACAATCAGATACAAAAATCTAGAAAAACCACATAGAGAACTGTGTAGTTAACTGTTTAGAGTTGGTTTCACTAAGCGCGCTGCGGCGGTTGTATTAGGTTGGGTTATCATTAAGATGTTTGTAGGACTTTCCTTGTTTGGTTATGAATCGAACGATACCAGATGTCACACAAAATGTATAATAACCCGACCTAACACAACCGCCTTATCACGCTGTCTAAGAGTGGCCTCCGTACAATACGAAAGAACAGGTTTTTCTTTGCTAAATTTTTCAGGTTTGGCTAGGTCAAGGCCACACTAAAAAAACAGGCCGTAATGCTCGTCCAGCATGACGTCACGATAGAAGACGGCAATGACGTAATTTTGCCGTTTGTGATCAGCTGCTTGTTTTAATCTTTCATTGGAAAATAAATAAATAAGTACTTATACGTCATAGCCGTCTTCTATCGTGACGTCATGCTTGGCGAGCATTACGGCCTGTTTTTTTAGTGTGGCCTTGGCTAGGTTTATACATTCTCACCTATTAGGCTAGACACGGTAATCAAATTCTAGATTCTGAAACCTTGCGAAAACATGCCTTACCAACTGTGGTAGAAAATGTCTGCAAAAATCCATCACATATTAGTTTTGTTTATTTCATGGTTGTTAATAGCCTCTGGAGTAGCTCAATTCTAAATAATCAAGTTTACGTAGCCTACCTTATTCAGTCCAAGCAACTTCTTTTCTATTACATTCGACTATATATACATTTAAGGTTGTATTAACCCATCATCAGCAATAGGCCAAGTTTCTATAGACCTGATGAAGGGTTAATACAACCCGAAATGTATGTAAATAGTAAAATCTTCTATAAAAGGAGTTGCTTTGCCTGAATCAGATTTGTAGTCTTAAAATTGTTAAATTTTGTTGAATACAATGTAGGCTAATTGCAGAAAGTGGAGAGTTACCTGACATGTTGACGTCTTCCTCTCCTATTCTCTTCACCGTATCCACTTATCGGTTCTCCCAATGCATCTTGCACACGTGTGTCCGTACAAATTCTTTCCAAAGCCTTGGAATAAACATTATTTGGACTCTTGCTAGAAAACAGTTCTTTGAACACAGTAACAAAAATAATCCCTGTAATACCGACTCCCAATAAAATAACACCTAAGTACGAAGCTGTTTTTGTTGTTTCTTTTACAGTGTTGAATGTGATTGGTTTAACGTCTTCGCTGAGTTGTGAGCCAGATTGAGTTTGTAATCTTGTTTCCTTTTCTTTTTCACTGCTGAAGTACCTTCGCTGATATACAATCTTGACGTCTATTTTTTTTAAGCTGGCCGAGTTTTGTAATAAGAATTTTGAGCTTAATCCTCTTAAATAGTACTTAAAATCGCAGACTAAATGTTTTCCAATTATTGAGGTGAGTAACTTGGCCATTTTACCTGAAATGATAAAAAAAAACATAGTATTTTAGACTGAAAATAATTTTCAAAACCAAAATGTTTGACTGGACCTAAAAGTTAATAACTCAAACTCAGTTATTATTAATCATAATTAGGGATGAGCATCGATAGGTCAACCATTGATATTCACCATCGGGTAACATCCATGCCAACCATCGATGTAGGCTACCGATAACATCATCGTGAAAACATCAATGTTTTGACAGCTAAGTCAATCAATACGTTGCCTACCTAGTTAACACAGAAGTCAGCCTAACCTAAATTAAAATTCAGGAGAAAAATTCATAAAGCAAAAAACCTTAATTAATTGCTGACTAGTAAAGAATGAGGTAGGGATGAGCATCTATAGGTTAACCATTGATGTACCGATAACATCGTTGCGAAATCATCAATGTTTTTCGTCTGCTTTTTTAACTCTCCAGTAATGGAAAACATCGGTATCTCAATACTTGGCCAAAAACATCGATGTTTCAAAAACATCGATGATCGATGCTCATCCCTAGAATGAGGCAACTCACAAACTACGGTACAAAAACTTCCAAGGGCATCTGTCACATTTTATTTTAAGCTGTAATATTAGGCTACAAAATATCCTGAACACCACCTCTTTTCTCACCAATAAGTGGTGGACCTTAATAAATTCCTTTTTTGAATTAGTGTCAAAACTCAAAAATCTAGTCCCCTAGAGTTATAATTAATCCTAAGGCCCTAAATCAACATAATCCACATCAACATAATCAACATAATTAAAATAAGTCTATGAAAATACCAAATTTGATGAGAAAAACTCAAAAAAATTTAAAATTGGCTAGGCCTAATTACTTCTTACCTGAAAAAAGTAATGTAATGATTTAGCTTGACAAGATTTTACTTGATAGTTTCGATCAAGACTGTGCTCATTTTGTCAGTTTAGATTTCATAAGTGGAAGAAGAAGTGTCTTAAAGAAACTTAGGCCTAAAAACAGAAAATATAAAACATTGAAATTTATTTAATTGTTTAAAAAATTTGTATTGTTCGATTGGTTCTTTGATGTTCAATTCATGTTCACAAAACGACAAGTTTAGTTACGGTACCTATGCATTCAACTAAGAAGGCCTACAAAAATAAAAAGACCAAACAGTGGGGAATTTTATGGAAGTATAGGGCCTATTGTAGTGTAACTGCTGGTGTGAGAGGATTTCTGAAAACATATTTTGATATAAGCATTATCATGGCAAAGGTCTCGGCACAATAACAGTAGTTGGCCTGATCTGATGCTCAAGCAGCAAAGCTATTGGACCTTACACTGAGAAATAAACTGTAGGCCTGAATAGCCTAATGCATAAGTACAGTAGGCTAAAAATTATATTAATTAATATCCTAAGCACATAGGCCTACTTAAAACTATCTTATATGATACTTTTAATAGCCTACTTAATACTCATACTTTAATCTAGATTGCTACTGGCAGTGTGCTGGTAAGTGGAACTTCCCATTTAGAGTCATATCCTTGCATAAAGATTCCATCACCAAGTCCGTTTCTGATATTATCAGCAAAGTAGTTCAAATTAGATGACTTAGTTTCATGACTATTTATACGGTCTAATGACGAGTCATTTGCTTTTGTAATATATCGCATGTCGTTTTTAGATTCCCTTTCAAGAGCCGCTATGGCATCAGGCTGGCCAAGCTGGGCTGCTTTGGTGAATAATCGACGGGCAGTGTCGATATCAGCATTTAAACCTCCCCAGCCATGGGCATAAAACACTCCGAGGTTATAGGTGGCAGTTGGATGTCCTTGATCTGCAGCTATTTTGTACCACTCCGCAGCTTGCTTGAAATCCTGCTTAGTTCCGATACCCAGTTCGCAGCATTGACCCATATTAAAACTTGCAGGAGGGTATTTTAATTCAGACGCACGTCTGAAATACTTCATAGCCTCTGAGCCAGTTGCTTTAGACAGGCAAGAAATACCCCTTCGGTTTAATGCTTCAGCGATGGCTTTTTTATGTACTACTAGCAATTCTTCAGCAGCTTTGTCAAATTCATCATCTACGTCTGGGATGTCTGATTTCTTACTCTTTGACGGTGAAACAGGTACTGGTAAAACAAATGACGCTGGTGGCTGTGTATTTACTAGGCCTATATGAGACAAGAATGAAATAAAATTCTGGTCAGATACAATCCTTGTGGGTCGTGTGTCTTGATCTTGAGTCCAACCATGTCGAAGCCAAATCTGTTTAGATATTACCCATCCGAAAACCAAAGCTCCGCTCCAACCAAAGGCTTCAAAAAATGAGTGGTGACCAACATTCTCTGGCCCTTTTTTCCCCTCCCCATACTTTTGTTTACCGTCTTTACATTTTGATAAGTTTAACTTTTGTAAAGCACAAGGGAGAAGCTCCTTGATACAACACCGCTGTTGGCTACTCTTGCCATCCTTCAAATGAGTGTCAGTTTTATCAAAACAAAGACTTCTTTTTAGCCCTTGATTGTTAAAGCCTCTAGAAAAATATCTCCACATGGTCAAACGTTTAGGTCACTTTGCTGATTTACCTTATGGCAAAAAGAAAATGTACCCTAATTAAAATCATGTAGACTTAAAATAAAGCATTGTCTACATTTAGTAACTTACTACAAACCTAACTTTTAAGTTCTTCAAGCCTCCAAAATAAAGGCTTCTTAAAAGTTGGTTTCAAACTGTATTCATAAAATAACTCGAAAATAGAAACAGAAACTAAGCCATCTCACATATTGTTGTTGATCAGTCTTGTTGAATCCTGATTTAAAAAAATATAATAATAGGCCTATTACACTTGACTATTTTATTGTCCAACAGTTTGAAGGTTACAGAATAGAATAAGAATACACATTACACACAACGAACCGAGGCAGACCGACGACAGCGGAAACTTTGGTTTTGTTTTTTGTTTGTTTGGCAAAGCAGCTGGCATTTATCGAAATATGCAGACGAAAAAAGATGCATCTGTCATCTGTCGTCGGAACGTCTAGAGACAGATGTAGAGGAATTTATCCGTATCCATAGCAACGACAAAATGTACACAGATTCATAACCTGAATGTAAATAGTGAGTGGAGGAGTGGACTGATAAGCTCCTGTGAGATATTCTCAAGCTTTGCTTTGATATCGGGTTGTGCTGTTTTATTTTTGTGCTAAAAGTCTGGTTAGTACAATTCAAATACTATACATTCCATTTAATTTACATTGTGTAAGATTTAGAATGTGACTAAGTTAATCAAATGCTGCTCTAGTTAACTTAGTTAGTTACTACATAATTTTGATTGCCCTAATGAAAGTTTTTTTTTATTGTTATTTAATGGCCCCAATAATATTCACCTTAATTAAACAATTACTTACCTATTATAGCAGGTACACTTCCATACCTGTTGGCACAAACAACGGAATGAGTAATATTGATTATTCCATTGTTTAACATTTGGTTAGTTAGGTTAGGTTAACCTTACCTAACTAACCAAACGATAAATCGAATAATCGATATATCGATCGATATTTTCATTCGGTGGTTTATGCCAATAGATATGGAAGTGTACCCATTATAGCTCAAACCGCAGTTCCAGAAAACTCAGATAAAGTTAGAGAAATGGTAAAACTTTCAGGAGGGGTTATACAGTAATAACAAGTTTATTACAAGTAATAATATGTTAATTGTCTGGGTCAGGCCCACTTTTATACACGGGCAAACTGGGCATATGTCCAGGGGCGCCAGTGGTTGAGGGGCACCGTACAACTACTGCCCGCCCGCACTAGGAAAAAAGGTGGCACTGCTTTTGAGTTTGCCCAGGGCTCCAGTGACCCTTAACGCGGCCCTGGTCTAGGTAGTAGAGGGGATATTGTGGTCGCCTTCTAATCTGAAGGCGGCTGGTTTGAATCCAAGCGAGATCATTTCCAGACCCAGATGCCATTTGTCATTGGGCTATGAATTAATGATGCTATCCAACAAAAAGGTTGACGGTAGATAGTAGCAAGACCAGGGTTTGGACCGTTCCCTTTCAAAACGTAAAATGTGCCACTGGCGTAAAACACTCAAAAATAACACAATGTACATGAAACAACAACATTTAAAAAGCTACAGTACATACATTTTCTCTTAAAATTCATATAGGTAAATATAACAAATAATCCAAATTGTTCCATAACTCTTTAGAAAAATAACAATAAAGCTACAACACACAATAACTTACAGCTCAATTTATTTAAGTTAAAAAAATCAAAATAGTAGCTATATTTTTAGTTAGATTTTTAAAGAAAAGAAAATTCATAGCAATGTTTAGGCATTTTAAAATGGGAGATTTTTTATTGATTGCATTATAGGAACAAGATTTTATGTGTTAAAAATTGCTTTTTCCATTTTTTACCGACTAAACATGCACTTTCTTTCCATACAATTTTGTTGAACTTGAAAACCAATAGTTTGGCATATTTTTTGTGTTTTCGTACATTTTATGGTTACAGACAAAAAACCTGTAAATTTGAAACTGTCAGTTATTCTAATGGAGGAACTGTTTTAGGTCGCATGCAAATGGATACATTTTGATAAAATTTAACAAATTCTTTTATTTCTTACAGTACCAAGCTAACAGTTTTTTACTAAAAAATACACTTTTTTACCTTCCTTATAGCGTTAATCCACACCAAGGTGTATTGCATCCACAGATCATGCCTATGAATATCCACAATTTTTGATCTCCAAGTGTAGCTGGATTACAGGACGACGCTACTGTCCCAGTGTTATGAATGTTGATGATTTTTTAATGAGGATGAGGTCAAGTGTTTTATTTTTAAATAATCACAGTTGATATATATATATATAGATAGGTTGGTTCTAACTTGTTGTTGAATTACACTGATTCAATCCATGTGATGATAGCAAGCCATGATGTACGACGAAAGCATAGATGTACCAAATGCAGAAGAAGTGCGAAGTCCAACGCCAGAGAGCTTAGCCAGCAATACAAGTAGAAATGGCCATGATGACCCCAAGATGAAAGAACCTATGCGGCAGATGACTTCACGGGTAATTTTCTCGTTTGTGGTATAAAGAATAAGAAAGTAATATTTTGTAATCAAGGTGTTAGGTACACAAATAAAACACTATTACACAGCCCACTAGGACTATAAACATCCCAAGAACAAAACAACCTGCGCAGAAACGAAAAGAAACCGGTAGGTGTGGCGTACCCTTCATACCTGCGTGGCTCAAAATGGCCCAGGGTTCTTTTGTTTCTGGGATGTCTAGATAGAACTTAGAACTTTACTGTAGGTAATGCCAGGGCATATTATAACATGTTAACTGGGCGACATATGTGTCACCCAGTGCTGAGATTTTGTCGCCCAGTGGCTATGGGTGGTGCCGGCTTATTTTTGTTATTATTCCCATTTAAATTTTTTTGGAATTTTTAAAGTATAAAAAAAAAACATTGTAAATATTTTTCAGTATTACGTAATTAAGTGAGATTATATGGACTATTTACATGCAAAATAATCTGAAAATTCATTAAAAGATACATATAAATGTGTGATTTTCACCCTAGTCTATGCAAAAGTTTTCTGGGGGAGAATCCAGACCCTGCTTTTTGTTGGGGAGTATTCCATTTCCCCCCCCCCCCCCCCCAACAACTTGGCATCACTGTCACCCAGTGTAAATCCATTAAAATATGCTCTGGGTAATGCAGTGGTTGAGAGGGATTGTTAACATTGGCCTCTTGAGGATTGATTGCACATTGATCTCAGTACCTGAGAAAGTGCAGTGGAGGGTAAGCATTCGTTTTAGCTGTGGACGTGTTTTTACAGAACAGAAGCTCTAGGGCTTCAGGCTACCTAGAGAAATGGAGATTCTGTAGCCTTGAAACTCTTATGTTTTCAACATTTCATTGAGCTACTACTCTTTTGGATGGTCCTTTTTGTTTGGTTTTATCGAATTTCCCCATAGGGAAGTAGCTATTACCGTAGGTCTCATGGTAAGACCTAGGCCCGGGACCGATTTACTTTTTCATTTTGATGTCCCCAGAGGCCAAAAACACCATTGGTTCAAATTAGTAGAACCCCTCATATCCGAACTAGGAATAACCGACTCCTCGGGATATCTGACCTAGTGTCCAACCGTCTACTTGTTTCCTGTCTGAGGAACCAGCTACCAGATTCTTTGGACATTGTTGTTAGAAGATGGGTTATTTGATTGTCAGATGAGCAAGGCGAGGCCGATGTCAGGCGTTGTCCGAGGCGGCACTCAACAAACTCACGTATCTGCGGAGCTGGACTCTGATCTCTCGGACAACAGTGAAGACGATGACGACGATGTCCAAGCCGCTCTCCTGGAGGGGTATGTTGAGAGTTTGTATGTAATCATAATTAATTGTTAAAGTATGCTAGAAGGTATATTTCTAGGAAACAGATGACTGTGTTCTAGAACTGACTGGTAAGATAACTAAGATTTGACTGTTCACATATCATCAACCCTTGCACAGCATGCAAGTACAATTTGTGTTCATTTATCACAAATTATTTTCTTAAAACTTTATTGAACTTGAATTGAATTCTCATTGATATTAAAGACAACTGTATTAAGATTAGTTACTGGTGTATGTTTTTTTATTAGCACATGCAGATGAAAACTTATAAAACAATTTTTCCAGGTCGTACAACCCGAGAGATTACGACCACCTGAATGTTTCTCAGGACATCAGAGAAGTATTTCAGTACATAACTTGGTAAGTAGGTAGTTGAAGAGGTTGTCTGATATTGTTATTGTTAACGTTTTTGACAAACATCAGAAGTATTTTACAGTTATGATTAGAACACTTACTAGTGAGTTCTAGAAGAATACAAATGTGCCAAGTAAGAATTGATTTGAATTATTTTGATTAGTATTTATCCTTGTAAGATATTTTTGCTAAGTGTTCTTTGCTTGGATTGCATTCCAATCCTAGAAGTAAGTGAGAGTAAATGATTTGGTTCCTTTACAAAATGAACATCATAAAGTTCACAAGCCACCCGTATTGTTTCTACTATTCATTGTTCAGTTAAAGAAAACAAAATGGTAAGTTGTGTGCTCAAGTTCAAAATCAAGCTTAAACCAACTTCAGTTTCAACTGCGCTACCACTGCAAGCAAGAGTAATAATGGTTCTATCAAAAATGTTTTGAAAAATAATTTCAAGAAAGTTTGATATGTTGAGTACATTCAAACTTCTCTATTGAACTTTACAGCTAAAATTGTTGTCTAGAATCACGACAGTGGAATGATGAATGTCTTTGTAGTGGGCTCCCAGTTAGACAACTCAAGATTAGAAACCAACTCTGCTAAAATTCTATCCTGGCTATGCCTCAGCCAGGAAAGCCCGCCTTTTTATTGGCCCAATATTATCCCAATTGCAAAATAGCGAAGTAAACTAATTATAAAGTTATTTTTGACTTTGTGTATTTTTGCAGTTACACTCCTCAGAATATGGAGTTGGACTACAAGTTGAGACCATTTGTCCCAGACTTCATCCCAGCTGTTGGTGACATTGATGCGTTTCTGAAGGTTGCCCGACCTGACGGACAACCAGATGGCTTGGGGCTGACTGTACTAGACGAGCCTTGTGTCACACAGAGTGACCCGGCCGTGCTGTGTCTACAGCTGAGAGTCACCACCAAGCAGTCCTCGGCCAAAGCTATGGTACGAAGTGATGACGCTGTATATACATGTTACATATGGGTTCATGTAAAACTGACTGGATAGCCAAATGGTTATATTCTTCAATTCACAAACTACCTGCTTTGATTCTTCATGTGTGATTTTCTGCTATCAATTAAATTTGTGATTTGGTAACAGGTTGATGTCAACTAGTAATAAAACCGTAGTTTGAACACTTTTCGTGAACATATATACATATATTTTTTCTAGGTTGTCAAAAAAGTAGAAGAAGCTGACAAGAACCAGAAGGCCATTGACAGGTGGATTCATGACATCAGTGAGTTGCATAAGAGTAAGCCAGCTCCTACTGTGCAATACTCTAGGTGAGGGAACGACCAAAGTTTAAGTAGTAGAAATGTCATAAGGCATTTCATAGTTGTAGACAGTTGTATTATGAATTAATCCGCTGGGTGTGGTATAGCTGAAAACTAAATTTGTATAAACGACAAACAGCTGATCACCTCTTCATCAACATATCTTTTGGGCTGGAACCAGTGTCAGAACTAAAAATAACCACTTCAGCAACAGACAAAAATTTAAACGATTTGTGAATAGATTTCTGTTAGTCCAAGCATATGAGGAAAAAAGATTATGTTTTCAGGAAAAAATTCCCGAAGTTTTTTTCTCAGTGGTTTCTTATGTATTTTTTGGCGCTGAATCCGATTTTAAACTTTGCCACCTCGCCAGAGGTGAGCTAACTTCAGAAATCGCAAAAAACTAATAAAATACTGTACTTGTTTTACTTTTTTGCGTATAACTCACAAACGGAGTATTTTTTTGCAATAACTGTCATTTACTAAATTAAAGTACACTAAATTCCCTACAATATACGTACAATAACTTTATTTCTATGATGTTCCAAACTGACGCTAGAGCGCACTCAAAATTCATCATTTTCTTTTACCTATTGGAAAACGTAGGAAACACCATTATAAATCCTTGGATTAGACACCCAACGAAGTCTATTTGATGAATATTGATTAATTTATCATTATATGGTACCATTAGGTCACATTTAGTGGTAAAAAAATATAAGTGATGTTTATAGTCGGTAACCATAGCAATAAATAAATAACAAAACAATTTTCAATTTAAATACATTTGAAAATTAAACTATTATTATAAATCATAGAGTCGATTAAAAATATAGTTTAATATGCTGGGGCTGTAGTATAGATATCATTTTCCCCATATACGTACATTATATAGATAGTATCATTATAAATGGAGACACTATATACAGAAAATAGACAGGGATGTTGACTGAAATGCTGTAGACGAGCTTCTATTTATTAAATTAACATGTACAACTATAGCTTTTATTTTCCTATTTTCACCTCACTTGCCGTCTTTATTTTGTTGACTGTCTTTAGTGCCTTTACTTTACCTTGTTGGAATAGAGCGGACGTCGAGTCATAAGACAGTTATAAGACATAACGACCTCTATACCTATCTTTGCCAGTTTTATAATCCCAATTCAACAACAAACGAAATTACTGAGGCAGGGGAGAGACTCTTGGTGGCCTTGTATGGTGGTAACCATATCACTAACAAGCTGAATAAGCTGCGATTCAAGAGTTGTATTACATCAGCTTATAATATGAATGGTAATATATTATCTCTTCTACCAACTGATGCTGCAGCTGAACAACACTGAGGGTGTTTTACCAAGTTCAAGAAAGAAGTTGTCACCCGAGGATTGGGGCTGGAGAAGGACTGCAAACTCATTTGTTCCTATTACTACCTTACGGAGCCCAGCCCCAGATGCTCTCTTGAAACTGGTAGCATGCTCATGCAAGAAGGTAACTGCGGCTGCCGACGAGGCTCTTTTGCTCAAAAATATGTGGGAAGTGTAAGGGGAACTGCTCCAACGCCGAACCAACCATCGTAGGAGATGAAGTAGAAGATGTTCCCTTGGATAAGGACAACATCCCAAGTCCTTCTACAGAACATCCATCTCAAAGCTCAGCCCACATCCGAGGACCCATAGCCAGTCAAGAAAATAAAGACGACAAGTGAGGAGAAAATAGGAAAATAAAAGTTATTGTTGTACATGTTAATTTAATAAATAGAAGCTCGTCTATAGCATTTCAGTCAACATCTCTGTCTATTTTCTGTTTATAGTGTGTACATTTTATAAAGATACTATCTATATAATGTACATATATGGGGAAAATGTTATCTATACTGCAGCCCCAGCATATTAAACTATATTTATAATTGACACATTGATTTATAGTAATAATTTTCAAAGGTATCTTATATATTTAAAAAAATAGTTTTTCTTTTCCGATTACGTTTGGCTCTTCTACCCGACCGATTAACATGATTGAGGTCTCAAATTGAAGGTATGCACGCCCAGATTTGCCATCAAGCATCGGCATTTATTTATCTATAATCCCACTCGGCTTATATGTAAACAAAATTTGCTCTCCATGTATTTCTTATGGGAGTTAAATTTGGTTTCTCTTTGCCGAGTTCGTTTTGGCTCTCCTACCCAACCGATTTTCATGATTGAGGTCTCAAACTGAAGGTATGCACGCACAGGTTTCACACCAAGCATCGGCATATATTTACCTACTGAATTACTTGACTAAAAAATATAATTTGATTATTTTCAAATTCTTACATCAATTTAAGATGTATTTCACCAGTTATAATTATATAATCCTATATATTTTGGTCTAAGAACTTTCAGTGAAATATCGGCTTTTATTTAAGCGATTAAGATACTGTATTGTTCAATCAAAAATCATAAATTTGATTATTCCTCGGATATTATATTTATTTTAACGCTGCAGAGCAGCATGGGTCCTCTAGTTTAAATTGAAAATTGTTTTGTTATTTATTTATTGCTATGGTTACCGACTATAAACATCTCTTAAATTTCTTTACCACTAAATGTGACCTAATGGTACCATATAATGATAAATTAATCAATATTCATCAAATAGACTTCGTTGGGTGTCTAATCCAAGGATTTATTTATAATGGTGTTTCCTACGTTTTCCAATAGGTAAAAGAAAATGATGAATTTTGAGCGCGCTCTAGCGTCAGTTTGGAACATCATAGAAATAAAGTTATTATACGTATATTGTAGGGAATTTAGTGTACTTTAATTTAGTAAATGACAGTTATTGCAAAAAAATACTCCGTTTGTGAGTTATACGCAAAAAAGTAAAACAAGTACAGTATTTTATTAGTTTTTTGCGATTTCTGAAGTTAGCTCACCTCTGGCGAGGTGGCAAAGTTTAAAATCGGATTCAGCGTCAAAAAATACATAAGAAACCACTGAGAAAAAAACTTCGGGAATTTTTTCCCGGGAAATTCCTTATATGATATGTGGTTTAAGGCGTCAACCGCGATTTAAGTCCATTGTCAGTTGACAGGTGAATGGAGTAGGGTGTTAACGTAGCAAATGTGCTTAAGAGGTTGATGGATTTTGGCGGTGTTTGTAAATATTATTTTCATAATGTTTACGATGTTTTGCAAGGTGTATGCTAGCTTAGGCCCTTCAACCATTTCAATTTAAGGCAGAGGCCAAAGTTTTTCAGGCTTTTTGAGGAATTTAGCATGTGAGATTGCCAAACTTATAGGGGATGTCTCTATGAAGCCATCAAAGAACAACAGTATATCCCGGTAATCTTAAACGTGCTGATAAGGAAGCAAAGTTATATCAACTTTATTCACTGTCTCAATTGAAACTGAATGCCAGGTTGGCAAACGTGTGCTAGTGTGTTGATGTATATGGCTTTCTATGAACTACATAAGCCTCAAGTGCGTATTACTTTTCTGCTTACACATCTGTCTACAGGCAGTTAAGGTTCAGACCCCCTTTCCACAAAAACCTAACACAGAAAGTGATTACAGCTTAGCAAGAGCTTCGTTTTTCCCTCACTCAGTTTTTTACTACTACAGTATAACTAGACTAAAAGTCACTTATCGGTGAACCGGCTATAAGTGTAGTGACCACGTCGAATGAAGTAAAGAACACTGTCTCAGATTTGTATAAGCTCGCTTTTCTGCGACAAGACCTCAATACGGACCTAAATTCATCACATGCCCTCGTATTGCTTCTTCTGACATCTCTTCTTATGTGAGAACATCATAGCATTGACTATATAGCCAGTTTGTTATTTTCAGACCGATGCCGGACATTGACAGTTTGATGCAGGAGTGGCCGCCTCAGTTTGAAGAGAAGCTCAACCAGCTCGGACTATCTACAGGAGAGTTGGATTGTGACCTGCCTACCTTGGTGGACATCATCTGTGGTAACTATACCAAAACTAGACATTCTATCCTTGTGTTAAAGTTTATGTCAGTTTTTAAATGAAAATGGACATAGTTTAATTGATTCACTGTGATTCTGTGCTGATGTAGGTTACTGATTTCTGAATGAATACACTAAAAACGCATAACTAAGTCAAACCATTGACTATTGGATACTGAAGTAGACATCCCATCTACAAGGAACAGCTGTTGCCAGTTTTTTATTTGAAAAGAACATAGTTGTGTGAGCCAGTCACTGAATGCAGTAGGGTCTACAATTCTATCTTCCACCTTATTTATTGTTACAGACCAAGTTGATGGGTCATAACAGTCGCTATAGCTCACCATAAGTCATTCCATTAGTTTGACTGTGTTAAAAAGTCTGTGTATTTTACAGAAATTAGTGATTTAGCCCTGTGGTATATCGTGATAAAAAAGGCTCCCATTAAATAACTAGTTGATGGATCGGGCAAAGTTGACAAAATGGATGGATTCTCTGCCCCCTTTGAATTTGCATTTCAATACTTTTTACTTTTCCTGTATGTTTTTACACCATGCACTTTTTTAGAAATTATGAATTTCCATGTTCATGAGAGAAGCGAAACATTGAAATTAGGCTTTATTACTTCAATAAATAATCCTTGGGGTTGAGGAGATGATTGTACTTAAGCATACGGTGTAGTTTTAAAATGTTATGATACATATGCATCATAGGTCCAAAATTATAGTTTTTTTCTCCAGAAATTATTCTTAGTAAGATCAGGTATTCGTGTAAATACATAAATCATGTTACAGAATTCTAACCATGCATATGATTTTGTTGCAGCACTTTTTGATATTCCTCGATATGAATCAAGGATTGAATCTCTGCATGTCCTGTTTTCTCTTTACTCGGCGATAAAAAACTCCCAGTTCCAAAAACCTGAGGATAATTAATTTTTATTTTAAAGGTTAGTTTATTTTTTTTATATTATACTTTGTAAAATTTGTTTTCAGTACCCAGAGAAGTGAAATTGTACAGTACTGGTAGTAGTAAAGTAAGTGTAATTAAATATTTCTTGAAACAAAAAGATTAAAGCCTTTTTACCGTCCCCAACTGTGTAAAGCCCGCTACACACGGTCAGTTCGGTGTGTCAGTTTGGTGTGTACACATCGAACTGACACACCGAACTGATCGTGTGTACGCCAAATTGATGTGAGCTCACATCAAAAAACTGAACTGATGGACTGATGAAAATTCATCATTTCGGTGTGACACACCGAACTGATGTCAGTCCGAAGTGAGCGTGTGTACCGCCGCGTCAGTTCAGTTAGTCAAATTTTGGTATTTGAGCATACGCAGCGTCATTATATAACCTATACCATAGATAAAACACACTTCCTTAGTAGAATTCTCATACTTAAGAATAAGCTGAAGAAAATTTATTTGTTAGCTCTGTCCGGTGTACTGTAGATGTCATTTTTTGTTTACAGTTTGTTTATTGTCATTTAAGTCATATACAATCCACAACAAGTAATAACTTTATCAACCATATCATTCTTTTAGGTATTGTGGGAAAGGTGAAAGAGATCCATCTCATCACCAACAAATCTGTCGTGTGTAGGAAAATAAACATTTTTATGAAAATACATACGAACGAGTACGACTTCCCAGGAAGGGAAAGCGTACCTAGGAGGATTACACCCCCAGGTAGCACGTTGAACTGACACACCGAACTGACCGTGTGGATGCAAATGCTGCGTTCAGTTAGAAGTGACAGTTAGAAATGAACACACCAAACTGACACGCCGAACTGACCGTGTGTAGCGGGCTTAACACCAACAACAACAACAACAATCAACAACAGGTTTCCTAGAAATTAGCCACATCCACCTCTGGTGGTATTAACCCTTTGCGGTCGAATGGTGAGTATAGGTCGCCAGACGCCATTTCCCCGACTGCTCGAAAGGCAAAATATACTCGCCGAAAAATTGAAAAAAAATTTGACCTCAGAGGGTTAATGTTTTTACAGCCTGGAATCAGTAAAACTCATTGTTAGAACAAATAAATTTATTTATATACATTTTTGGTGTTGCACAGTAAACATAAAATCAAAATTGAAACATGGATCACATTCAAAAAGCATACAAACCAAAGTACATTTTACAATACTATGGTATATAAAATTTTAAATACTAGTTAGTAGTTGTACCCTGATCATAAAGCAGAACATAATATTTTTTTTAATATTGCACATATTTTTGGTGCTACGATTAACCTAATGTGATGTAAGTTACATTTCTATTTGCAGTAAAATTTATGGGGATTAGTCCAAATTTCTTTCAAGCTTTGATTCGATACTTAATAACTCAAAAGACATTTCATTAAGTAGTAAAAAAAAAAATTTAATTCAAACAACATATCTCAAACACTTACTTTATTTACAAATTAAGCCTTAATACGTGTAATTACATGTAATCTTTTCTTATACTTAGACATAGAACAATCAAGTTTGGTGTAATATACATACAATACTCTTACTCCAAATATTTTTAAAAACCTAAGCATATGAACAACAAAACACTGAATATTACTACCAATAATCGTTGATACAATAAAATATAAGTATAAATAAATATAAATACTATAAAATATAACGGTTAATCCTCAATTTAATTGATCGTAACAAGATCATGGAAAACAAATTAAAAAAAATTAATAAATCATACTTATAAAGGCTGTCTGAACGGCACAAAACGATGACTAGCTGGGTGTTCTTGTTCTCCCACCTTATCAAACACACAAAACATAAAACTAATGATGAACCTTTCATAGAAACATGAAATAGATTATTTCCTACTACGAATTGCAGAATGGAAAAGATCACAGACAAAAGTGGTATTTAAAAAAAGTAAAAACCTGCTGATAAAATACTGTGTGAATATAGTTACTGTGATTGACACACTACCAGATATTTTCATCATTATTTTAAGTAGAGCGATTTTTTGTGACAGGTTTCATACAGCTTTATAACTTTTATGTATTGTGTTATTTGCATAATATCATTCAATTATATTCCTTTATTATGTAGAACCTACTCTTGCTTCTACTGTACCTGCTTTCAATAATCTCACTTTAGTCACAAGCTTTCCATTGTGAGTTTCAAATCTCAACCATGATCTCGTCCAGGGGTTTCCGAGCTAGGTTAGGTACAGTAGCGTCTTCTGCTGGATAGCCTACGGGCAACAGCAGAGTAAGCCTCTCGGACATGGGCCGACCAAGCAGAGTACGCAGAGCAGTGCCACAGTTGAGGGGCGTGCTGGTCAGCGACACCAGTCCGGCCATCTTGAACAAAAAGCAGAGCTCTAGACTCTATAGAGTCACCATCTCACTTGCAGCATAGCATGTCATATATTCTGTGGGATTATACATTTGGTGAAAACTGAACCCAACTGTGATTGACCAGTGGGTCTTCAATTAATGGTTTTGACTGAAACATTTACTGATCTGAGTTAGTATATAGCTGCATCTCATTAGAAACATGCAGAATGCCCTATGAGATCAGGAAGGAAAATGGGTCATGCTTGATTTGGTTTGAGACAAATTGGCTCATTTAAGCAAGTTAGTAACAAAACTGCAAAAAACTATGGAGAAGAATGTGAATGTTGGGAGTACACTTTTTTACTCATTTGCAAATGCAGCTTGACCTATGCTTTCTGTGAAGCAGACACAAAGAAATTAAGGGAAATTATCCACTTGCAGATTTGAAATAACGTGTTAATCAAAACTTCCCAAAAGAACAATGGGGTAATTAATAATGGTTGGGTAAGGAATAATGGTTTTTATCCTTATCTAACTTAAGTAGTAGGCCGATATCCAAATCATGTTTAACTTATACTTAAGCGATATATTGTGGCCATAGATTTTTTGTGTCAATTCTGTCATCAGTTGAACTACCATCATCAGCTGTCAATTCTTTCACTACCAAATGTTTCAACTTTGATGTGAAGTAGGGTTCTCTGTGATTAGGTTGGGACTAAAATTAAGTGTGTGTTGGATGTCATACTAGGTATCAATCAATACAACAAAAAATCAGCTTGTATCACTCACGTGAATGGCCGTGATGAGGATACCAGACGCGATAGCAACACTCTTCTCATTGTAGTAGTGAACCTTCCTTGCGCCGTCCTCCGTATAACTGAACATCTGTTTGAACACCAGGATCAGGTAGGGAGCTGTCGTCAAGTATTCCTTCTTCCAGGAGGTCTTGAGTGGCCGCAGATCCATCACCCACTTCTTGCCTGCATTCATGGCAGGTGTTAATTGGTGGTCAAATAAACCTTACACTTTTTAAACAGCTGTTGCAATATATAGCTCATCCAATCAGTGGCAGACTTACTTATATTACAGACTTAGTGATAGACTTACTTATGGTGCCCCCCCCCCCCCTAGGCCCGTTTGGCCGACCGAGATAAGAGACTGCATAGTATTTTATAATGGGCTACCACAATGGCAAGGTTATTGTTACAAAACAACACACGCTGAAGAACTGTGTAATAATTTAAGCTGCAGCAACATTAATATGTTCTCCATTCAACACTTACAGCAAAAGTGTATTTAAGTGATTTCATTTTCAAACAGTAACAATATTGTTTACCCATCCTCTTCTTGTAGTTTTCCTCTTCTTCAGCCTCCACAATTTCTCTGATCTGCTGTTTGATGGTCGGGTCCGACACTACCACATAAGTCCAAGGTTCGGTGTGTGCTCCACTAGGGGCTGTGCCTGTGCAACAATTCAGGATTAGTTATACTTATTCTCCCAAGAGGCTATTCTCTTTTAAGAGGTTGGCAACCTATTTAACCTTTACATTTGCCCGTCAACATAGACTATCTGTGCGTGGAACGTATCCAGCAAAGCAAGGGGTGAGCCGATAAACCACTGAAGGTGAACTGTACTGATAAAATGTTTGGGGCATTGACCAGCATCCGAACCCATGACATCGCTGACTTGGGTCTGAAGTCTGTGACGCTACCAACTGAGCCACCGACTCACACTTGGAAGTCGGGTTTGAAACAGCTATACTTAAGACTTTTGATAAATCAATTTAAAACTTTGTGTTCATCATATTAGGGAAATAGCAAAATATACACAATTAAATCACTGAATGTGAATATAACCAAGAGATTTCAGGGTCAATCCATATCAAGTGGTCCAGAAATAAATTAATTGGTTGCTTCAAGATTTTTAATTTTTTTCATATTTTTATCCTTGAAAGTATATATTATTAGAAGTACAAAAATACAATTATTTTATTTTTATTTTATTTTTCTACTGTATGGCGGCCATTTTTTTGCTTCTCGAACGGCCGTTTTCAGCGATTTCGGAGCTCTACGTAAAATTAAATATCTCTGGTTCTACTAATCATAGAACATTAAAATAAAAACCAATCTCTTCAGAAAGATCTGAACTTTAATATGATAATACAGGGTGATTCAAAAAGGACTTTACAACTTTGAAAATTCATATAAATCTTATTAAACAACGTACAGAGCTGGTTTTGGTGTTGTTTTAAAGGAAAACACTTCAAGTTTTTTTACCTTAAACTAAAGATGTTCTATGTGACTTCCGTTGGATTTGGGGAAAATAATTATTTAGGTATGAAAAAATAGTGAAAACCGTTACAAGTTTGAGAGAAATTTACAACATTTTGAAAGTAGGGCGTTTTTTGACGGTGAAGGAGTGCGATACACCCACTTCTAGATGTGCTAGGGAGTTGAAATTACGCACACTTGTAGTTCTTGGTCCCAAACCACCCATAACATTCCAAAAAGTCGCATTTTCAAATTTTAACCCCCCCAAAAATTCCAAAATGGCGGACCTCTGAAAACGACAAAACACGTTTTTTTCAAACGGCTATAGCTCGAAAACGATAAGAGCTAGAAAAGATTTGAGGAAAAAACGTAGGTTCGGAATTAAATTTCCTACAAGCCTCTATTATGCGTTTTTCGAAAATCGCACTCCCTCACCGTCAAAAAACGCCCTACTTTCCAAATTTTGTAAATTTCTCTCAAATTTTTGACGGTTTTCACTATTTTTTCATACCTAAATTATTATTTTCCCCAAATCCAACGGAAGTCACATAGAACATCTTTAGTTTAAGTTAAAAAAACTTGAAGTGTTTTCTTTTAAAACGACACCAAAACCAGCTCTGTACCTTGTTTAATAAGATTTATATGAATTTTCAAAGTTGTAAAGTCCTTTTTGAATCACCCTGTATACAGGGTGTTTTTTTAAAAACTTGCATCTTTATTTATGTAAAAACCGCAATAGATAGAAATATGCAGTTTGCGGGAATCATCTATTGACGTAGGGGGACCAATTGTTTTGAATTCGACGTTACATTCACATTCCCCCCCTTTCCCCCCCTGCCCCCAACCTAATTTTTTTAAATAGCAAGGTACCCCTTGTGACATATCAAATAAAAGAGCATGAAAAAAGAAAATTTTTGATGAAAAAAAATTGAAAATCGGTTCATAAATTTGTGAGATATTTCCCCCCTCACCCCCCCGGAACTTAATTTTTTTTTTAAATAGCAAAGTACCCCTTGTGACATATCAAATGAAAGAGCATGAAAAAAGAAAAATTTTGGCGAAATTTATTTTTCATTTGATATGTCACAAGGGCGGGTACCTTGCTATTAAAAAACAAGTTATGGGTAGGGGAAAAGGGGGGTGATTATCTCACAAATTCATGAGCCGATTAAAAATTTTAAGGGTTTGTTTTAACAAAAGTTAAACATATCCTTATCATTCAAAATTTGGCTGTCTATGGTACATTGTAGACTCTATTAGTGACTTTGCTCTTGGTAGTGCCTCCTACACCATTGCAGGAATTTTTTCCTTGCGCAGTAGCAAAAAATGCCTCGCAGCTGGTATTGTAGTACCTGTGACTGAATATTTCTGTAAGAAATCATTTTATGATACTGTATAGCCACAGCCACCTTTAACTCCAGGCCGCGTAGAGTTTGCAACGTCGTAAGTAGGGTTGTTTAGTGCCAGACGTCCCATAAGATAACATGTCAGACATGTATCAGACATGTAAAAGATAACATGTATTATTAATTCAAATTTAGATTTATGAACATAAACAAAAAGGATTGAAAATAAAACACAGAATTGAAAACCAAAACAATATTAATATAAAATCCATTTCTATACATTTAAAGTGGAGTCAATATTTTCCGATGGTGTAGGAGGCACTACAAAGAGCGATGTCACTAGTAGAGTCCAAAATGTACCATATGCAACCAAATTTTGAATGCTAAGAATATGTTTAACTTTTGTTAAAGCAAACCCTTGAAGGTATTCAATACTTTTATGTAGACAGCAAAGAAGTAGCAAAAATATTAAATTAGAACTTCAATTTCGACTCAAAGGACGTCACCAATTCCCTGAACACAATCCTCTCACAGATTTGTACCTGTGGCAGACAACAAAGAGTGTTTTAAAACATCAAAATGCTTAAAATATATGATTAAAATATAACATTGTTAAAAAATACATTGATAGTGAGTTATAATATAACATTATGCTTCCTACGCTATTACGGCTTTAACGCTTATTTAGTACTTTTCAATGTTTCATAACTTTGAAACCAGTTGAGTCCACAAAATAAAATTATTACAGCATAATACTCTTACTTAGTACTATATCTGAGCCAAATTTGAAATTTTTATTTTCATGCCCAACAAAGATATTAAGCATCAAACTTTTGAAATTTTGAAAATTTTAAGATTTTGACAATTTTTATTTAAAACCCTATGCAAGTCCACAACTTGAAACTTTGAGAATTTGGAGTACACACCTATAACTATCAGATAAAAAAATAACAAACACATAGTCAATTGCCTTTATGTAAAAATAAATTGTTTAAAATCAGTATTCGTAACATCGTTGCGTTAAACTTTAAACAGGTAATTAGACCTATATATTTAGTTTTAAGTGCATCAATATATTACCATATGAAAGTTCAGATCTTTCTGAAGAGATTGGTTTTTATTTTAATGTTCTAGGATTAGTAGAACCAGAGATATTCAATTTTACGTAGAGCTCTGAAATCGCTGAAAACGGCCGTTCGAGTAACAAAAAAATGACCGCCATACAGTAGAAAAATAAAATAAAAATAAAATAATTGTATTTTTGTACTTCTAATAATATATACTTTCAAGGATAAAAATATGAAAAAAATTAAAAATCTTGAAGCAACCACCTCTGGACCACTTGAAATGGATTGACCCTTCAAAGAGTTAACAAAGTTGTTAAAATGTACAAAATACGAAGCTTACAGTAAAGAAAACAACTTTTAAAAGAACCCAAGCTGATTTTAAAAACAAGAAAATCATGTGGTCTTATTATTCACCCTGAAGTAATATTGAGAAATATGTCAAAACAATTTTCAGTTCAAACCAAAGTACAGAAGTGTCAGAAACTTTATTTAATGATTGTCTAAAAAGTCTTAGAAGGCTTTTCCTTTTACCAGCTGCTCGGATGATGTTGTAAATGACCTCTTTAGGCACAGGATCAGCACTGAAGTAGCGAACTGTGCGACGAGTGTTCATCTTCTCATAGAATTCCTTGGACCTGAAATGGATTAGAATTTGTATTTCATTTAGGAAACTCAAACGGTTTCATAGGTAGCCTAAATTAATCAGTTAAAAGTTCAATGAAAAATCTCTTGCATCATTTAGTGTGCAGAAAAAGAATCGATCTTATATTGTCTGGTAAAAACTGGTCAGAGCTATAATTTTGTTCTAGCTTAATTGACACAGGATACAGTAGCCCACAACAGTTGTTCAGATAGCAAACAATTTTTAACGAGCCCACAAAGGTCGGAATAGTATAAAATAAACATCAAATTTTGGTCAAGACATTACTGCAGGTGGTTTAATACATTTTCTTTGTACCAACTATCCACAATATTTAATCAAATAGTATAACCAACATACAAATATATAACATTAATTTTTTTTTTTATAAACTCACTGCTGTAATGACTCTTCAAGTGAAAGTCGAGTGAAGATGTAGGGCACATGCTCCAAGTCCCAGGGTAGGGCTGAGGCTATGTCAGGGTCTTGGCCCCCGTCTACACTGTCCATGTCTAGCTCGTCTTCCCCTATGAGCTCCTCCTCTGTCAACAGTCAGTAAAGTTATGGTATAGGGGTGCAACTGAATGTACTTAAACCTGAATACAAGTGAAGGATGAGTGTAGAAAGAGTGAAATGCCTTGTGTAGCTTGTTACTGACTAAGACCAGCTGTTTCCAGCCAGAATCCAGAATCATTCAGATTACACTTTTACGACCGATACAACAGGTTGCATTGTATATTATAACAATTAGAATAGATATAGACTGTCAATGGAAGGTTCCACGATGTGCAACTCGGTGTTCGATTCGCTCCCCTTATCGACTCCTCGCCATATGCTACCTGCAGACGCTGCAGCGGTGGGCACCGTAACTACACGGCAATCCTAGCGGTGGACGCCAGAACCTATACTCACCGCAGCACTGCTGACGGTCTATATTTATTCTATTTGTCTATGATAATTAAGACGAATATGAATATGAGATGACAGATTTGTTACTGATTTAGATCAGCTGGTTTTTTATTTATGTAGGATCATTCATTACCTCAACTGGGTCCAGTTTTAAACCATCTTAAAGCTATCAAATTTTGAAATGTATTATTTGTCCTTGTTCTATGTGATTCCACAAGGCCAAACCCTAGGCACTGCAAGAATGTGATAACAGTGAACATTTTTAGGACATAATGTAACGGCACAAAAATAAATTAAAATAATACCCAAACAAAACTATGTTAATTTGATTATAAAACTTGTGAACAAATTAACAAGGGATTTAAACGACTACCGTAGTTCTATTAGTAGTCGAAGCTAGAAAAATATTTTTAGCTTCCTATTCAGCCCAAACCAATCATTTGGGTTCTATATTTTAGTGTCTTGTAGGAATCGTATATGTGTCCTTTAAAAAATATTTAACTGTTACTTAGTCTAACGTCCAATCTAATACGTAATGGAAGGGATTATAATCATCAAGTGTTGAGTTGAGCCATTTGTCAACAGTATGAATGCATTATGAAGAAGACACTTGGACTTTATTGATTCATTTCCCATGACAACTTGCACAAACACGTGCAATTTCATAATACACTACTCTGTTGATTTGTTCATCACTTTGGTTTCAACTCTATTTTGAATTGTTTACCTAAGATTACTGATATCTATTACCTAATTAAAAATAAATCAAGTAAATCTTGTTCCCTATCTATAATAAGTTTACTTTAACTGTGCCGCAGCACGTGAAGGATTTGAAAACATTACTCTAGATACAGTAAAAAAAACTGCAAACAAATTTTGTTTCATACTGTCTACTTTAAGGAAATAAAAGTTGAATGTGTTTGTTTATTTTACGATATTAAACAGGATTCCCTAAGTGTTCCCGTTGACTTTTAATCAATTTTAATCAATAAATATTTCTTTTTTTAACTATTAGTCACATGATATAAAACAAAGTGACGATGCAAATTTCTCAATTTGATTTTAGGGTTTCAAATATAGTCAATGATATAACTGAAACTACAACCTTTTGTTTAGTGTATGTGGTAGCAAATAATTGGTACCAATTTCCAATTTGTATACTTGTATTAATTACAAATTAACAATAATTAAACTTGATGAAGTTTGTATCCATATTTTATCACCTGTGTTCCAATAGTTTATAATCTAAAAAGTCATCGGTTTTGAAAAAAGTGTCAAACCTTCTCCAAGAGTTTTTTCATCAGGAGCCTCCGAAACAACGGTGAATAGATATTTGGCAGCGGCAAAGCAAGCTACACCAGCCACCAGAAATGGCCAATAGTCTGTCAGAAATGGCATGTAGGGGAGCAGCATGTTGACCTGTATAACAAAACACAACAATTACGGACACGCATCATACAAGCCTGTGTTTATGAGCATAGCATTTGGATACTGAAGTAGACAGCTGTTATACCAGCTGATCAATTAATCAGCTGATTATTATTTTATTATGGTGTTTTTGATGTAATCCCTCCGATCCAGAGTTGAAATTTCTGAACTCTCAACCACTTTGATATTAGTCCAATCCATCTTTATTTCTCCCAGCCAATCTCTTCCAAATTTTGGTCCTACTTTTTTTCTCAGGACAAACAATGTTCCATAGAAATTTAAATCTCTGCATTAACAGTCGACAAAACAAGTTAAGAAGCAAAGAGTTGGAATCAGTGTATGATGCTCCTGGTAGATTAACTGTAGCAGGGGAATCTTATTGGCATAAATTCATCAAATATATTTTACAAATTGAAGATGAAAATGATTTTGAACAAGAAGAGTAATACAGATCTTATGTAGAAGAGGTATATTTAGAGATAAGAGCATTACAGCCATTCTTCACAATCACACCGAACAAAATTACAGATGAACACAAAACTTCTATCATCTACCTAACACTAACTGTACACCCTAGACCCTACACATGGAATGAAACGTTTAAAAACTCCTTGATGAGACTTGAAAGCTTTATTCAGTTGAAGAAGGAAGTTAATGAAAATTGCAGATGAAAGACCAAAAAATGTTTGTTTGTCAGTATAATTTCTCCATAGATGCACCAATCATATTGTGTGATACAATAGCTCCTTAGTGACAAAACAAAAACAATCATGATAAAATAATGATCAGCTGATATAACAACATCCCATCTAAAAAGACCAGCTGTTCCCAGTTTTTCCCCCTGGGAGAACATAGTTGTATGAGCCTCTCAGAGTGTGTTTACTATTCAAGTTTCTTAGTCCCCCTCAGTTTTTCATTCTGATGTCCGATGAAGACTTTTAAGATAGTTTACAATAAATAAATACAGTATATTTAATTTCTTAAATTAAATAAATGTCTACAATTAGGTTGGTATTTCAGTTTTCAATGTTTAAAAAGCTTGTGTGTAAGATAGAAGAATATTTATCAAAAAGTTATTTCAATATTTTATATCAGCACATTCTGGAGGGTGGCTAAATCAAACCTGATATTTTTTTAATAATTTGGGTTGCAATGTCGATTACCGGTTCCAAATAAATACTACACAATTTCAATTACAAAATTAAATGTCACACGAGGCAATGTAACAAGTATAAACGAGTTCATTTACAGCCAAACATAATTTTACCAATATTACGTAGCTTTTTAATAAATCTTTATCACAATTACAGCTTGAAGAGATTCCTAAGGAAGTGCATGGATCTCTAAGACCCAAAAGTCAATAGGCCTAATGCATGCAACCCATATTCGGCTACTCTTCTAAATCAGGCATCTTTTTACACAAACCAGTATTTTAAAACTTGATAGTGATTGTAGCAAACCATACTTTATAACAAGCTTATAAATCTTGCCTACAAAGGACCATATACAACACAAGCTTCAACCGTTATGGAACACAATAGTAACATTGTTAGTGTTGTATTGGATAAGCCCACACGTTTGACTGTTTCATGTTTTCCCGTACAGTGGAAGATAGCCAACCCGACAACAATGCTACAATCAGCTGATTCATATTCACTGCCAGTAGTGTCAGTATAGTTTTAAGCTGTTTTAATTTCTTACGCAAATTTTCTCTAAACTAGGATCGAATAAATTAGGATCATGTATGAAATAAAATAGTTATTCTATCCACACTTTGATGTTAACAGCTGTTTTAAAATCACCGTGCAATTAGTTGCGAAAAATCTATTAACTGTAATTTATTTCCATACAAATTAAGCCCACAGCCGTATTCAATAAGTTTGGATAAAAGATAGCACAAAGGAGGTAGTTTGTTATCTGCATTGTTGCCGTTGCCTAGCACCCATAAACTGAGTCGTAATGCGGAAATTCTTGCGCGCTGAAGAATTCACTTTTCAAAACTTAAATAATTTGGGACACAAAAAAATTGTATAGTGTCCAGTAAGTTGTCCTTTAAGTTGAACTTTTTGAAAGTCGGTAGATAAGTTGCACACTTGCTTTGTTCATTTACATTTTAGTCAACAATAATTGTTCAACCACAGATTGAACAGATTAGTGAAAACTCCATTATTTGTATTGTCGTCGTTGCTTGGTTACCATTAACCTTAAATTTCAAAACGAGAAACCATCAATATGTCGTTTATTGGTTAAGTGGTGACGAACTATTTTTTTCCTCTCAAACGTTTTTTCTCCACTTTCGGGGGTTATCACTTACTGTAGTTATGAACCATTTATCTGACAACAGTCCGAAATCAATATTATCCTTAACTTTAAAATAAACCTTTAGGCTCAAGTCGAAATCATTGGTCCTTGCCAAAACTAGGATCATCAATTAGACCACACCAAGTATCATAACCTTTTATCTATCACATTCACATAGTGTTTATCTATATTGAGAGGTAAACATTGTGTTTTGCAAGTTCTAGTCTAGATCATTTAAAGCCTTTGGCTGTACATCCGAACTTAAACACAAGTTTGAACTGAAATTATATACTTTTGATTATGTGGGAAAAGTCCGAATCATTTTTAATGTTTAAGTTCACCCTGTTTGAAAAAAGAATATATACCTAAATGAAAGTAAAGACATAAAACCTATCCAGACGATTAAAAGGGGCTGATATAGAGTTAATTGCTTTTTAATGCTCGTTTCCAACATTTATAGTTGTTAAAGTATGCAATTACATTTTATGGATAACATCTAAACTTATTATTTGCAATTGATTATTTTATATTTATTAAAAGTATCCAAAAAAACAATACAATTAGATGATATCCAACAAAAAGTCAATATTCTGTTTTTAATCACATTTGAGGGTTTATTTTAGAGTTTATTCCTAACAATACTTTTGTTATTTAGTCATTAATAAATCATTCAGTTGTGCAAATCAATAAACTTATTATTTAAGTGAATTAACAGATTAAAACACATTTTATGCAATTAATTTGTTTTTAAATGGTAAAAAGTATTAAACAATTACAACAATTGTTTATTCATAGAAACTGGTAATTTTATTTTAAGTAGGTACTACTGTATGTGTTTTTAATTTACCCTAAATTTAATTCCTAGTGGCTTTATTTATATTGTATTTTAGATATTTTTGAAACAAAGGTATATTTTTAAACATTAAAATGATTACATAATATTTAGCTACTTTATGTTGGCAACCCTGTGAACTTACTGCCATAGGAGAGCCTCCAACAATAGTTACGATTTCACCCTTCTACAGACGAGTACTAACACCAAAATCAGCTGTAAGCTGTCTGCGCAGTATTGTAACACTTCGGTCAGCTGATCAGTCGATACTTGTGCATGTAAACAGCTGATTATCTTATCTGGATGACAGCTGGTCACTCACTGGCCTACTTTCCAGTATAATGAAGTGGTTAAAAAACCGGACACTGATAGTGTAGCTCTTTAATAAAACAGACTTGTACAAACAAATGCAATAATATATTCTATTCTGACACATCCTAACAATTAGATAAGTGTGTTTTGATGTGAAATTAAGTAAAACGTGTTTTCAATGAATACAACACGGCGGCATTTACTATTTTTACTTAAACAACTTCTAAATGTTTGACCGAATTAATGATTTCTGTTTATAATAAAGTAGGGTTTAGAGGAAAAAATTACAACGCTAAAAATAACGAAAAGAAGATTATTCCAGCTTTTGTTTAACTAATACATTTTTTTTAAACGATCCCCAACTCAAACAAATTTGGTTTCATTTATGGAAAAACTAAAATATTTTTTCGTAAAAGTTTCATATTTGGACGGATTTTGTGATGAGGCGTGTAAGGTAGAAGTAGTGGTATTTCAATTCCAACAAACCAAAACTTTTATTTGTGCACCAACATTTTATGAATGTGTATTTTTCTTTAAAAACACCCTATTTTCTTTCACAACCCAAAATACAATTTCAAAAATTCTCCGCCCCTATATTTTCCCAGTTTATTATTCGCAACAGATCTGTTGTGCTGGACCTAACCAATTTTAGGCTCTCTGGCAACCAATTGTTCTTTTTATGTCAACAAGAGTAACCAGGCATAGCCTTCAAACGTAATAGGCCTAAATAGACATTTTTGTCCATTCAAAAAAGATTTTATCATATATTTTGTCATATCCAGATTGTGTTATAAAGGCTCTTGACACGTTTTACAGAGAGCTATTTTACTGTTCTAAACGGGAGGTAAACACTTCGTACAACAGATTGAGCGTGATTTAATTGACCGTTCGCAGAGATCTCATAAGGACCTATTACTAAGCGGAATTCCAATTGCTGAGCAATTCGCAATCTCCTCGTTTAGATTTAACGCATGAAACCTCTCCATGAAACCGTCTTGCTTACTGAGCTCAGCGGGGTTATATTACAACTTTGAATAAGCAGTTGCATTGTGGTTACATGGCTTTGGCTTACAAATGGCATATAAATGGAAACACGGACAATTACAGTTTAAATAATCTCCAAACTGGGAAAATCTATCTTGTTGCAGGGTTAAAGTTATTCTTACGCTGTACATAAAATCCATTACACCAAAACGTTAAAAAAAAACAGGCTGATAAACTTTGTTGGTCAATGAATTGCTGTAATCCTGTAATACAAACGCTGTAATACAAACGCTTTGTGGGGTGAGTGTTGAATGGAGTGTATAAAGTCAATGGTATTATGATGATAGAATGGTAAGGTATATCCATACCAATTAGGAATTTTGGGTACCTATGGAGCGAAGCGTATTTTAACCCGAAAGTGAGTTATGCTCATTTCGTCTTGATGCTTTGAGATGCCTTGTATAATTTTGTAATACCGACTAAGACCAGTTGTTAAGTACCCAGACTATTTATTAATAGTCCATTGCTTGAGGACCACTAACTGAGTATAGTTTTGAAACACCAGCGTCTGAAACTCTGGATCAAACCAATGGGAATTAATCAGGGTATTTAGCTTTTTTGTAGAAACTGGAGTTCATCTTGTCATTCAATATGAGAAAACTGTGGAATTCCTATCAAAATTGTGTTCTAACAGTGTAAATCTGCACATCTGGTTTTTGTCCTTGGTTTGTGTTGATACCTTGTGTAGGCAGTGTGTGGGTCGAGCTCTCTCTCACATTCACTGGTTGTGGACTTTCTAGCCTTCAGTGGCAAGTGAAAAAAACTTTCAACTGTCACCGTACTGTAGTTGTACGAGAAAGAGCATTGGAAAAGTCATCATAACTACTATTTTTTTAAACTTAGTTTGGGTTTCTTCATTTGCAGACAATTTTTATTGTAACCATTTTCTGGTTGGAAAAAATGAAATCACACAGAAAAATTGTTTGTGTAACTCTAATATAAAAATAATTTACCATTAGCAGACTAAGAATAAATTAGTTTACAGGAATTAGTAGCCTATATACCCATGTTTAAAAAGTTTACAAAAATTATATTCAATTACATAAGTACAGTACTTAATGCTACATGAAGCGTACTGCAACAATTTCCGGGAACGATAATATCGTTTCATCAATACAACCTTCAACGCCTTCAACTAGGTCCATACTGCTTTACCGACAGCACGACGTAGTTGTCGATGTCACCGCTAGGTAGCAGCGCTAGGTCTCACTGCCACTGCCCAGTTGTACTCGTTCTCGTTGTGTTTGTGTTGTTATGTACGTATCCTGCCAAGCCGAGACAGCTGAGCGCTGAGCTGAGCAGCTGAGCAGTCTGTAGCAAGGCCGTGGTAGTGTTGTCGCGTTTATTTTGACAGTTGTCACGCGCACCGCACCGTGTAGCATCTTCCGTCAAAGTTACACCTTTTAACTAGCAATAAAGTGTACAGTTACTCGGTAAGCTACAAACAAATGTGAACAGTGCCACTGTGACAGTGCGGAGTTGTTTATAGGTTATGTTCGTGTGTGATTGTTGACAATGGAGCCGGTGGCTGCGGTAAGGGTGCCTGTGGTGGTTGCTCCTCAACCCCCGAGAACTGTCATCGTTCCCGCCAAACCCGTTGAGATGGAGATGGTCACCCACGTCCTAACATACGGTAGGTTGGATGCGCGCCAAACGTTCAACAATTGCCAACTGCTTAACATTTCGGTTAACTGGGAAACGAAGCTATTTGTGTTTTCATTGTCATTACCTCGCTTTGCAACACTTTACGACTTGGTTTGTTCTGTTTGTGCGAGAAGTTTGTGTCAAGTTCAAAGATTTTCTTATGTAGGGGTAGGGTGACTGGTTGGAAGGAGATTAGATCGAGAACTGATATTTTCAATTTTTGCCTTATAGTGCAGAATAAATGTTGATATTTACATACAAAATCGGATGTTATGGAAAACAAACATTCAATATAAATAATGTCTTCAGGAGGTAATGTGTCCAAGGAATTATTTTATGACTCGGTAATAAAGCTATCTACTTTTATAAAGAGGAAAACATATTCTGAAGCTGACATGATCGTTGATAGGCATTGTAGCCACTTCTTTATAAATGCCAATGGATAACGATGTTGGACAATTTCTGAATCACTGGCAACTTGTGCCAACAATAACTAAGGAAAGGGACACAGCCAGATGTTTTCTGCCTGTTAAATTAAATGTGTATGTAGGAATGTAGTTGGACCTTAAATATATTAAAATTGTCTAGGTTAAAACTTTGTTTTCCGCCAAACTTTTTAATATTGAAAATATTGCATTAAGGCTTGTTACACTCGAATTTTTTGAAAATACTTTTGCGTATTATAATATCTGGAGCAAAATAAAACCGACTATAAAATCTAATCGATACGTTTCACCAAAAGTTTTACTGAGCAGCCTTTTTGGTTATTCACAAAATTTTGTTGTAAACTAAGAAAGAAATGTCACACACAAATTTTATTAACGGACACTAAACGACACTTAAGTAGAAATTTATTGTACAGAAAAGCCCGGCAGCCATTTAGTATCGGTACACAATACACATACACATTGAAGTTTTTGCCTCTAGCTTTTGCCTGATGATGAAAGCAAAGTCATCAGTTATGCCAAACACACACACACACAGGCGGGTTGAGGTAGACCTATTGTTGCGTTGTGACGTGGGCCGTGCAAGATGTTGAATGCACACAGTATATTTTACCTCCAGACAAGTTTAAGGTAATTTTCACTTCTCGGTGACCATAAATACAACTTGGCACCTGTTTACCTGTGTACATTACTCAGCTTTGAGTAAGGAACGTACTGTAATGTGGATATGACTTGGCAGTTACGACATTTCCGGAATTTTGAATGTGATTAATTACACCGTGATAAGTAGCTTAGCATTTCATAATATATGTAAAGATTTCGTTACAGGCTGGATAGAGTTATGCATAGGAAATTTAACTTGTTATTTCTACCAAGTGATATTGCTTAGTAGACGCTAATTATTTTTGGGATAAAAGTTAGCTGTCTCCAACTCATTTGAATACAAAATGGGTCAGGTTATGTTTGTTTTGGTCATTTCGTTTTCATTTTTTGAATTTGAAAAACAAAAGAAATTCTTATTTAAAATACAAATGTATATGAAATAAAAGGGGACCAGCCTCCATGCCAGAAAGTATTTGGAGGAATATTGGGATTAGCAGATGATTTATTATCAGTTTTCTTTTCAGTTTTCTCGAAAACTGTTAAGAATGAGTCTCTTATTACAACTTAAGTTTTGTTTGTACAATGTATATTTAGGCTAATAAATTGATAAATATAATAAAAAAACGAATATGCTGTACTAATGAGGAAAAAATGGCAATGCTGTTGTAAAATATGTTGGATAATAGGCCTACTTAATTATTTAAATTTATAATTAATTCCTGGATGGATTTGGATTATGCTGGAGTGTCGAATAAATGTTGTATTTTATAATGGATTTTACGTTTTTTTTCTCTTGATGATCTATTATCTATTATCAGAGTCCAGAGGACACACAACAGTCTTCGAATAGATAGTAAAAACGCTGTTAAAGTTGGTCAAATAACAACAAACCTATTGTAAACAATAAAATGCCCTTGGCATTTCTCTAAAATAGTAGATAGTATTCAGTTGACCTTGAAAATGATACACAAGGGTTTAATCCATGGCTACTATTATAGACAACTCAAGAACATTTGATCGAATAGTTTGTAGCCATCCATAATACGATTTTAATGATGTAGGTAATGATAAATGGTGGAAATAAGTGAGTTTTCACTCCATTGTGAAACTGAAAACCTTAGTTCAAACAATGAA